GAGTACGGAGACCTGTACGATTTCGTCAACTTAGTGAGTTTGATAGGGGCCGTATAGTGGGACTTCGGGAAGCAGGACTTTCTTTTCGGGCAATTACAGTTAGAGTGCAAAGAAGTGTAGACTCTGTGGTTAGGTGTTGTCAGGCATGGCTTCGAGAAGGCCGTACGCAAAGAGCAAGGGGCACTGGACGCCGCCGTAGAACAACAGACCGTGAAGATCGCCGCCTAAGATTATTGGCCTTAAGGGACCGTTTCTCCACTACCAGGTCCATTGCAAATGAATGGTTTGCAGAAGACGGAAGACCTATTGGCATGCGAAGTGTTTACCGACGAATGAGAAGTTTTGGCTTGTTTTCATACCGGCCACATTGGGTCCTCCCTTTAACTCGAGAACACCGACGTAATCGCCTTGAGTGGTGCAGACAACGGTCACTCTGGGATCAGGAATGGAACAGTATTGTCTTTAGTGACGAGTCTCGATTTTGTTTAGGCATGCACGATGGTCATGCCAGGGTTAGATGGCGACGTGGTGAAAGGAGGAATCCACAGTTTTTTGTTGAAAGACATGTTCATCACACTGTTGGAGTTATGGTTTGGGGTGCTATAGCTTATGGTTCCAGGTCACCTTTAATCTTCATCAGAGGTAACATGAACGCGCAGCGTTATATCCACGAAGTTCTAGAACCCCATCTTTTACCCTATCTTGACACCCTGGCAGATCCAACTTTCCAACAAGATAATCCCCGACCACATGTTGCAAGAGTCACAATAAACTTCTTTCAACATAATGATGTCACATTGTTACCATGGCCACCAAGATCTCCCGACTTATCCCCAATTGAGCACGTGTGGGATATGATGGGTAGGAGATTGCTCAATTTGCAACGTCCTCCTCAGACTCTAAAAGCACTTCGAGAGGAGTTGGTGGTTGCCTGGAATGAGATACCACAGGAGGACAATGACCACCTGATCAGAAGCATGCCTAGGCGCGTTGGAGAATGCGTAGCACATCAGGGTGCATCTACACATTATTAAAGGTCAAAGGGGTTTAAAGCAGTGCAATCATTTTGAAATGTTTATCATTTACTTATTATGCTTCATTAAGTACTTATACAAAATTTTATTAAAATAAAACCATTTAAACTGGGTGTTCGGATTTATATGTCACTTAGTATATTTTGGAGTGATTATTAATCTATTTATTATTCTTTATACAATACCTGCACAAGTAACTTACCGTGAATATTATCGTCAGACAATAAGCTTTACTGATTCTAAAGTACGCCTATGTTCACTTTGCCACTTCGATAAAGTGATTTAGTACCATTCAGGTCTACATTCACAGCATTCGCACAGATCAGTTGTTCTATAATTCCAATTTTATTGGCGTACGAGTCATAATGTTCGCGTATTAAAGCAAAGTAGGCCACGCTGACATGCATCACCAGCTGTCATTGCAGAGATTGAAAAATAGTGTCAAATAAATTTAGAACTATTACAAATAAAGATAATCCTTTGTGTTACTCATTTTAAATTTAAGGACACCACGGTTGCAATGAGGATCGCAAAGTAATTTTGTGAGTCCGATTTTTTAACTGCCTAAGGTTAATAGAACTGGGAAATGCCTTCTCTTGTAGATTGTTCCACAATCTCGACACTCTCGGAAAAAAGGGTGCAAGAGGGTCCCGAGACTGTCAGAGAAGAATCATCGAACAGTAGGGCTGTCCTCTGGACAGTATCGAGCATAAATAAACTACCGGTCATCAAGTGGAGGAGGAGATGCGAATTTTTGAATAATGTCATATAATGTCAAAATTTCGACGGCTTTGATAGAAGATTGCTTCGTCGATCTAGGTATAATGAATTTTTACATATCGGAAAAGAAGGTTCCCACTTTGCGGCGCATACACAGGAAATTTGTTCAAGAACACAATTACACTGGAGCACATGAAACTTTAAGGAAAGTGTTGAGGACAATGGGATTTCGTTGGAGGAAGGCGACAACTAATAGAAGACGTCTTATGGAGAAACCAGAGAGAAATTTTCTGAGAAGGACGAAAGAAAATAGAGGAAAAAGTCGTCCTATAATTTATATGGACGAAACATTCATCCATACATCACATACGCATGAAAAGAGTTGGAGCGGCCTTCAGTTTCAAAAGGACAAAGATTTATTATTGGGCATGGTGGTAGTGAAAATAGTTTCGTGGAAAGAGCATATCTAAAATTTAAATCCAATGGTAAGTCGGGTGATTATCATAGTGAGATGAACTATAGTAACTAAAACAGATGGCTTCAGGATAAACTGATTCCCAACCTGCCACCAAATAGTGTTTTGGTCATAGACAACGCTCCGTATCACAATGTTCAGATAGACAAATGTCCTACTATACGAGTCCCTTCCCACTTCAGTTGGCCCAACTATTGAAATCTTAGTTTTTTTCTTATCAAACACAAATAATAAAAATGTAGCAGGGTGTTATAGGTTTAAAATATTAATAATGAATATTTTGATAATATATAGTAGAAAACATCAACTTTATCACAAATTTGCAGCATAAAAATAACACATGTTGCAATTACAGCATATCAACCTATTTTCATTTCAATGCAAAATAAGTCTATAACGCATAGGTGGCTGTGAAAAATAAAAGCCATGACAATTGTTTTTATTAATCACAGCTGTCAGAATACGTTTAAAATAGTTTTGGGTAGTTAAGGCTTTCAAAATGGGTAGAGGAAAGGTTATTAGTGAGAAAATTCGGTTACTGATAATTAAATTTTTTAATTCTGAGAACTCAAACTCAGAAATTGCAACTTTGTTAGACTTATCGCGGTACAGTGTGAGAAATATTGTTAGAAGATATAACGTAACTGGTTCAGTTAATATTGAGCCACGATATGTGAAAAAAAGTAATATCACAAATGCCGACCGAAGAGCATTAAGAAGAAGAATCGTGAAAAACAGGCGTGCCAATTATTTACAATTAAGTGCTCTGTGGAGTGACGCTGTTGGAAGGAGAATTTCGAAGTCCACAACTCATAGAGAGGCCCACAAACTGGGATTTAGCACTTGCAAGGTAAGTTTTCTTATAAAAAAAAGTGAAGTAAAAACCCTAAAGTTGCACAACTTGTTTATAGGCCAAAGAAAAGCCACTATTAACTCCACTGCAAAAGAAAAATCGGCTTAGATGGGCTAAAGAACATAGACAATGGACACCTCAACAATGGTGTGCAATACAACGGAGTGAGAAGAATAATCGTGAAAAACAGGCGTGCCAATTATTTATAGTTAAGTGCTCTGTGGATTGACGCTGTTGGGAGGAGAATTTCGAGGTCCACAACTCATAGAGAGGCCCACAAACTGGGATTTAGCTCCTGCAAGGCAAGTTTTCTTATAAAAAAAGTGAAGTAAAAACCCTAAAGTTGCACAACTTGTTTATAGGCCAAAGAAAAGCCACTATTAACTCCACTACAAAAGAAAAATCGGCTTAGATGGGCTGAAGAACGTAGACAATGGACACCTCAACAATGGTGTGCAATACAATGGAGTGATGAGGCCTGATTCGAAGTTTGTGTTGGTGACAGTGGCAGTAGAGTTATTCACAAAAAAAAATGAAGCATTCCATGTTGACTGTCTGAAGAGAAAAGTGAAATTTCCAGCATCCATTATGGTCTGAGGCAGTATGTCATCAAAAGGAGTAGGAAAACTTCATTTTTTGAAATGGGTTTCTAGCAGTCCAGATCTGTCACCTAGTGAATCTTTGTGGCACGAGATGAAAAAGGTTCTACGACAACATCCTGCTCGTACAATCACCGAACTGAGACAAAAGCTTCAAGAAATATGGAATTTTTTTACACCAAATTTCTGCCAAAACTTGGTTAACACTATGCCCCAAAGAATTTTAGTCGTAATACAAAAAAAGATGATGTTACCCAATGGTAATATTTCAATTGTTGCTTTGTTAACTTCGCGCATTTATTCGCACATTGTTCATTTGTTCAGATGTTCTACTAGTTATAGTCTAAGTGATTTCAAATATGTATTTTTTATGACTAGAGTGTATCTAAAATGCTTTTGAGAAAATAAATTGTTTTAGAAGTAAATAGTTTCGTTATGTTTAGTTTATAAAGGCATATTTTGCCAAAGGTTTTGAGAAGCAGTATATGGAAATGGAACCAGCATTCGACTTAGTTGTGGATCAAAGAATAATAAACCTAGACGAAGATAGCGATAGCGAAACCGAAGATTTAAGTTTAAGTGGTAGCTCAGATTCCGATTCCGAACTTTCACAATTATTTGATCCTCTGTGAAACTTCATAAATCTTCAAGATATTGCCAACTTTATCTACTACGATGTTAGTTTTCTAACCTAACTTTTCATTGTTTATTAATTGAAATTATTAAAAGTCAAAAATAGAATGAGTACCAATTTCAGTCTTATAGCTTCATAGCGCGCAATACTTATTTTATGGAATAAATTGTTTTAGTTTCCTTTTGACACATGCCAACAATTTAGATTAAAAAAAAGCAGGCTTCACATAATACGTATTCCATTATTGAAATTATTCGATTAATATAGGACGAAGACTGTACCACTCAGGATCGAATGGCAAGTATTGTACGTGCCATCTCTTTTGCTCCGAATACATTCTCCCTCTCTCATGTGCGCAATCCCAGAAAATCCTCATCCTCATATCTCTTCCTACACTTGACGAGCTGTACTCACGGCCTTGTATAGAGTAAGGAGCTCAGTTCAAAAAAATAAGTAGGTGGGCTTTCTGAAAAGCGTTGGATGTAAGATAAAAAGTATCATTTATGATAGAAAGAATCTTTATATTTTGATTATGGATTATCTTATTTAACGACTAGACGCAAGATACATGAGTAATCAAACTGTGGAACACCGTCTCAAAAATTCATATTTTGTAATGCACCTTGAACTTACATTTCAACTTACATTATGTGAGAATATAAGCCATGCTTATCTTTTGTTTCAGGGTACGGACAACATCAGGCGAGCGATGAGCTCCGGGGCCTCGTTTAGGGGCTACGGGCCACGCGCCTAAATATGAGGGAGGAAGAACTAGAAGTGGCCCTGAAGGTAAATATTTCACAAGAACTTTATTTTAGTTAATTCTCCGTACGTTTTATTACAACAAATTCAGGGGCGTAGCAAACGCCTATCAGCCGTATCAACGAGACGCGACCCTCAGCTTACAGGGGTCAGTAAAAAGTTAGTTTCTTAACACCTTTAGGTAGAAATTCAGTCGGTAAACGTGCCTTTTCCCAGTAAATAATGCGCTCACGAATAGTAAGGTCGGTGCTCTCATTAACACTTAATTTCACTTCCCAAGATATTATACAGGGTGTTTGGATGGTCCTGGCGAGGGGATAGGGCAGACCATTTAAAGTCTTTTAAGCCAAACATTCCTCAGTACAAAGTCTTACGGTTTTCGAGATATTCGGATTTTCAAATTTAAATCATAAATTAGTGAACTAAACAAAATACACTATTGAAACATGCTCGAGCTCTACGTGATACTTCGGTAGTTGTTGTATCAGGTAACCAAATAAATTCGTGCGGTTGCTGTATGTCGTACATTGCCATGGATGTTGTTGATCGATAGCGAAGGCTAGTTTTCTTTCAGGGAAACAAAAGATATTAAAATCTAAAATATAAGCAGAATATAAATAAAAATGTCGTACATTGCACGACTTAATACCCTCACAAAACTTCATCCGATTCGATAGCATACCATAGTTTTCAAGCAATTTGATTTTTTGTGAATAGAATTACGCACAATAAAAATCGAAAATCTCCAATAACTCGAAAACCGTAAGACTTTGAACTAAGGTATTTTTGACTTAAAAGATTCTAAATGGCCTGCCCTATCACCTCCCCAAGACTTTGTATCGACCTTCCAAACACCCTGTAGAACAAAATTGCTAGTGCTTGTCCACTAGAGGGAAGCTATTTGTTTTTACTATAGCTATTTTTTAAAGGCTAGTTTTCTTTCAGGGAAACAAAAGATATTAAAATCTAAAATATAAGCAGAACATAAATAAAAAAGTCGTACATTGCACTACTTAATACCCCCACAAAACTTCATCCGATTAGATGGCATACCATAGCTTTCAAGCAATTTGATTTTTTGTGAATAGAATTACGCACAATAAAAATCGAAAATCTCCAATAACTCGAAAACCGTAAGACTTTGAACTAAGGTATTTTTGACTTAAAAGATTCTAAATGGCCTGCCCTATCACCTCCCCAAGACTTTGTATCGACGTTCCAAACACCCTGTAGAACAAAATTGCTAGTGCTTGTCCACTAGAGGGAAGCTATTTGTTTTTACTATAGCTATTTTTTAAAGGCTAGTTTTCTTTCAGGGAAACAAAAGAAGATATTAAAATCTAAAATATAAGCAGAACATAAATAAAAAAGTCGTACATTGCACTACTTAATACCCCCACAAAACTTCATCCGATTAGATGGCATACCATAGCTTTCAAGCAATTTGATTTTTTGTGAATAGAATTACGCACAATAAAAATCGAAAATCTCCAATAACTCGAAAACCGTAAGACTTTGAACTAAGGTATTTTTGACTTAAAAGATTCTAAATGGCCTGCCCTATCACCTCCCCAAGACTTTGTATCGACCTTCCAAAGACCCTGTAGAACAAAACTGCTAGTACTTGTCCACTAGAGGGAAGTTATTTGTTTTTACGGTAGCTATTTTTATAATGGCTAGTTTTCTTTCAGGGAATCAAAAAATATTAGAATCTAAAATATAAGCAGAACATAAATAAAAATGTCGTACATTGCACTACTTAATACCCCCACAAAACTTCATCCGATTAGATGGCATACCATAGCTTTCAAGCCATTTAATTTTTGGTGAATAGAATTACGCACAATAAAAATCGAAAATCTCCAATAACTCGAACACCGTAAGACTTTGAACTAAGGTATTTTTGGCTTAAAAGATTCTAAATGGTCTGCCCTATCACCTCCCCAAGACTTTGTATCGACCTTCCAAACACCCTGTAGAACAAAACTGCTAGTACTTGTCCACAAGAGGGAAGTTATTTGTTTTTACGGGAGCTATTTTTATAAAGGCTAGTTTTCTTTCAGGGAATCAAAAAATATTAGAATCTAAAATATAAGCAGAACATAAATAAAAATGTGGTACATTGCACTACTTAATACCCCCACAAAACTTCATCCGATTCGATGGCATACCATAGTTTTCAAGCCATTTGATTTTTTGTGAATAGAATTACGCACAATAAAAATCGAAAATCTCCAATAACTCGAAAATCGTAAGACTTTGAACTAAGGTATTTTTGGCTTAAAATATTCTAAATGGCCTGCCCTATCACCTCCCCAAGACTTTGTATCGACCTTCCAAACACCCTGTAGAACAAAACTGCTAGTACTTGTCCACAAGAGGGAAGTTATTTGTTTTTACTATAGCTATTTTTTAAAGGCTAGTTTTCTTTCAGGGAAACAAAAGATATTAAAATCTAAAATATAAGCAGAAAATAAATAAAAAAGTCGTGCATTGCACTACTTAATACCCCCACAAAACTTCATCCGATTCGATGGCATACCATAGGTTTCAAGCCATTTGATTTTTTGTGAATAGAATTACGCACAATAAAAATCGAAAATCTCCAATAACCCGAAAACCGTAAGATTTTGAACTAAGGTATTTTTGGCTTAAAAGATTCTAAATGGTCTGCACTATCACCTCCCCAAGACTTTGTATCGACCTTCCAAAGACCCTGTAGAACAAAACTGCTAGTACTTGTCCACTAGAGGGAAGTTATTTGTTTTTACGGTAGCTATTTTTATAAAGGCTAGTTTTCTTTCAGGGAATCAAAAAATATTAGAATCTAAAATATAAGCAGAACATAAATAAAAATGTCGTACATTGCACTACTTAATACCCCCACAAAACTTCATCCGATTCGATGGCATACCATAGTTTTCAAGCCATTTGATTTTTTGTGAATAGAATTACGCACAACAAAAATCGAAAATCCCCAATAACTCGAAAACCGTAAGACTTTGAACTAAGGTATTTTTTGCTTAAAATATTCTAAATGGCCTGCCCTATCACCTCCCCAAGACTTTGTATCGACCTTCCAAACACCCTGTAGAGCAAAATTGCTAGTACTTGTCCACTAGAGGGAATTTATTTGTTTTTAGGGTAGCTATTTTTAAAAGGCTAGTTTTCTTTCAGGGAAACAAAAGATATTAGAATCTAAAATATAAGCAGAACATAAATAAAAAAGTCGTACATTGCACTACTTAATACCCCCACAAAAATTCATCCGATTCGATGACATACCATAGTTTTCAAACAAATTGATTTTTTGTGAATAAAATAAAAAATAATGCAAAAAAGTTTGACTATTGAGATAAGATGCATAGTTGTTCAAGTGTAATTAAATTGCAGCTGTGCATTTCAGGTTTGCACATTCGCTAGCATAAGATGATAAAGGAAACACATTTCCCTTTCTTCATACCACCGTAATACTCTTACAATTATATGTGTAGCATAACCAGTGAAAACTACCCACGAAAGTGGAAAAATGATGGTTATTGCCAGCCTGACTTCCTTTTTTCATCATCGCTACAAGCGCTGCGTTTACTCTTTGCATCCGACAACGGTACTTTCTCTTGCCATGTTTTATACTTTTAATGGCCAGTATGTAATTGCGCGATGGTATCTGGTTACAAGACCGTGCTAATGTTTTGCTGATCCGTTGGTTGCTCTTGAAATAACATGCATGAATAGGTACTGATTCCGATATTGTACCGTATGCCCTGTCCTCACTTGGTGCTGGTCGCAGCGTAACTAAAGCTTGTCGTACAAAAAAACTGCTTTGGATTGTTTGTAGAATCTTCAATCGACGTCAGATGAGTGGGCCATCTTAAACAAGAATAATCGAAAGCTGATCTTAACAGCTACAAAGTTTTAGCTCTGCTCTGTGTTGAATATACAGGGTGTTTGAACATTATTTGCCAGCAGCGTGTAGTTTTTTATTTATAAACTCACAAAGGGTTACAAAGAAGAACAAAAAAATGTAGGTCTCAATTTTGAATTTCTGTAAAAAAAACTAAAAGCGTTCACGTTCTTAGAATTGTTTTAAAAACTACTCTAGTTTAGCCCGATTCTAACGGTATGCCACAAGTCACAAAAAAGTTTGACTAACCTATTGAATTTGCAAATTTTGTGTACAGGGAAAGGAAAATAAAAAAACGTGTAAATACAAATACTTATCGAACCGCCCTCGTAGAGAGAAATTACGTCACTTGAATAACATTTTTATTTAGCTGATAGTAAAACGAACGAAAAATTTAAAAATGTTGTTTCCGACTGGAGGTATTTAAACTATGATCAAATCGATGAAAGCGTGTTACAGTCTTATTCCATCCTACTATCAACGTAAGACGTTTTTATTTGAAAATTTGAGTTTTGAGGAGCTTTGCTATCGTTTACATATTTCTAATCGGAAAAAATAATTTCATATTTTTAGTTTATTTTATTATTATCAAGTAAATAAAACCTTGTTTTTAAAAGGCATTTTTTTATTTTACCTATTTATTCTCAGCCTTATTGCACTGACCAAAAAATATCCTAAATAAAATCAACAAAATATTACTATTTTTAATGTGCTAAAACCGGAATGAAACTTATTTTTTCAATATTAGTTCAAGTTTTAGAGATACGGTAATTATATGTGTTCCTGCTGTGACAGTGTTAATATACTGTAATTCACAAGAATGCACGTGCTACATTTTTATATTCGGCAAGGAAAGGTGATGTAATCGGCATGATTGTGTTACCTTATACATACGTGTACATTATATTGTTTTATATTAGCCATTTTTTCCTCAGTTGGCTGACAGCGTTCATGCAAGATGTCTCGAAAGTGTGTAAACAATCCAGATCAGTTTTGTTACGTGTGTGGTGATGTGACTTTTGCGTCTCAGAGACGGTCTATTACTCCACTAATAACAAAGGCATATCAGCTTTATTTCGGTTGTACACTAGGTGATCAAGACAAACAGTGGGCACCCCACATCAGCTGTAATACATGTGCTTCAAGTCTGAGGAGCTGGTTAAATGGCAAAAAACGGTCTATGCGTTTTGCTGCCCCAATGGTTTGGAGAGAGCCTACAAATCATATTAATGATTGTTATTTTTGCATGGTACCTTGTGTTGGACAAGCCACAGGTATGTCCAAGAAAAAAAATCGGTTATTAACTACCCAAACATACCATCTGCGATGAGACCTGTGCCTCACAGTGACGAAAATCCCATTCCAAAACCCCCAGAATCCTACACTTGCGAATCAGAAACCGAATCAGATCATGGCGATCGAGTGATTCGTCAAGAAGAAGATAATATGCCATCAACGTCAAGAGATCCTGATTTTATACCGAGCACGTCATGCCACCAACCGCACAAAATAACAGTCAGAATTAAATGATCTTGTAAGAGATTTAGAACTTCCAAAATGTAAGGCAGAGTTACTTGGATCAAGACTGCAGCAGTGGAACTTGTTAGAAGACGATGTTTCGGTATGTGTTTTTCGTAAACGCCACAAAGACAGAACCATTTTTCAATATGGAGAATAACTTGGTTTCCTGCAGTAACATTAACGGCTTACTGGCGGCTTTAAATATAAACTATAACCCAGAAGAATGGAGATTGTTTATAGACAGTTCAACATTGAGTTTAAAGGCAGTGTTATTGCATATTGGAAATATTTTACCATCTCTTCCTGTAGGGTATGCAGTTCACATGAAAGAATCATATGACAATATGAAGTACCTATTGACATGCATAAAATACGATGAGCACCAATGGCATGTTTGTGGCGATTTGAAAGTTGTTGCACTTTTACTTGGGCTGCAGCTAGGCTACACAAAGTTTTGCTGTTTTTTGTGTGAATGGGACAGTCGGGCAAAGGCACTTCATTACACCAGACAAAACTGGCCTGTTCGTCAATTCCTAGAGCCAGGTCAAAAAAATGTACAGCATATGCCATTAGTAGATTCGAAAAAAATTTTATTACCACCACTGCATATCAAGTTGGGCCTAATGAAAAACTTTGTCAAGGCATTAGATAGAGATGGGTCAGCTTTTCAATACCTGCGTCAGAAATTTCCAAGACTAAGTGAGGCAAAGGTTAAAGAAGGTATTTTTGTTGGGCCACAGATTCGAAATATTTTGAAAGATGCACTGTTTGAAAACACTTTAACAGGTATTGAAAAAACTGCTTGGAATGATTTCCGTCTGGTGGTCACTAATTTCTTGGGAAATAGAAAAGTTGACAACTATAAAACCCTTGTCAAAAATATGCTGTCATCGTATCAAAAGATGGGCTGTAATATGTCTCTTAAGATACATTTCCTACACTCACACCTGGACTTTTTTCTTGACAATTGCGGAGCCGTAAGTGATGAGCACGGCGAACGTTTTCATCAGGATATTTCAACAATGGAAAAAAGGTACCAGGGAAAGTGGAATCCTTCCATGCTTGCAGACTACTGTTGAAACGATCCATAAAAGAACAGCAAAAAGACAGCGCATATAGTGATTCTTATAAGTATATGAATCTTGTTACTTTTTTTAATATATCCTTAAAAATAAAAAGTTTTTTTTCTAAACCGCAACTAATTTTTTTATTTCATTGTCACTTTTCCCACAAGATACAATTAAAAAACTAAAATTTGTTGTCCAGTGTTGTTAGTGTTGCGTGTGAACCTGGCTTCAACTACATATCTCAGTGCTATTATCCTATCTGCGTCGTAGACTTCTTTCAGCCAATTTGAAATTATGCATCTGTTTTCTTTGTTCCAGTCTGTCGTTTTCTAGTAATGGCAAAAGTGAATAACCTAATAACCGAAATAGTACTCGCCAATCTAATTTTCGTATGTATTATGCCGCAAATTTTGATGGTGTCGGTTCTAAAATCGTCAGCGACGATCAGTAAGTTTCCGGGTGTGATAGCCGGGATAACGTAAACATGAAAATATTTTTTCCATTGACTCACTGATCAAAGGTACGTTGCCCACATAATTATCAGAAATAACAAACACGAACCTAGATATTCTCGAAACAAACATGTACTGCTGTGCTTGAACTGTCATACTATTTTCGCGCTGCCAAAAGTGATTCATTTGGCTGGTTTTGTTTTTTTTTTCTTAGAAGACAAAATGAACTTCTCAGCGTAAAATTAGATGTTATATTTACATGTATAAAGGTTAACAGCCCTAGAGTAAATTATTATTGTAACAAAAACATGTATTCACTGAACAACTCCCTACTGAGCGGGGCCGTGGCAAATGCTTGTTCCGGAAGTTGTTGTATCCAGTATTCAAATTCTTTCCGTCCAAGAGATTGTACACGCGTTAAGGAATACCTCAGTACCGATTGCCGGGTGGAGGTACAAGTCCGCCAACGGGCCACTTTAGGTCTATTTAATATCACTAACACGTAAAAAGGTGGTAGACAAAGACCAGTCGACCGAGGCGGTACCACCCGCTAGCTTTTCCCAGGGTGTCTTATAAATGACCGCATGTTTCCACACCTAAGCTATGCATTCAGTTATCTTCCAAAACAAAGAAATTAATGATTGTGGAACAATCTACAAGAGGAAGCTTTTCCCAGTTCTACTAACCTTAGGCAGTTCAAAAATCGTATTAACAAAATTTCTTTGGGATCAACATGGCAGCCGCGGTGTTCCGGCATTTAGGCTTCTGCCTGCGCGGCTGCTTCGATATAAAAACAAGTGATTTATTTCTTCGCCTATTTATAACGGTACTTATTACTAATTCATAACAAATTCGCGGATCGCTGCTCTTTGTTGACTTACTCATGTATGGACACGAGTTTCAACAAGACGGTGCTCCAGTAAACAGTGTCTGTTTTTGCTTACTATAGTGGGTTATTTTTGAGAGACAATTTTCAAATTTGAACCAGTGCTGCATCTACATGTGAGCAATTTTTATAAATTATACGCTGAAAAACTGCAACTCAGAAACACTGATTTTGAGGATTAATTACAAAACGCAAATAAGTACACAAAAAACAGCACGAGAAAAATCGACAAAAACGACCAGTGAGTATATTCCTAATCACCATATATTTACGAAAGACAAGATAACAAATAAGAAAACAAACAGGCCCGTATCCAGTTGAAAATGGTAGCTAGGTTCAAATGTTGCAAAACAAAAGAAGCTCTTTCTTATTTTTGCATATCATGCCATGCAATTTTTCACGCGAGCTGTGCAAATAGATTGAGTTCAATTGTAAAGCTCTCAAATAACAGAGTATATTGTTCTGCTGCCTGTGAATCGGAGGATAACGAGCATCGAAACTACGATTCTTACACTACAGAAATTAACTCATTAAAGCACGAGATACAAGATAAAGAGAAACATATAATTAGATTAACGAAGAAGGCCAAGGATTTTGAAGAAGATGTTTTTGAATCTGAACAAAGTTTCATAGAGGAGCAAAATTCTTTTAAAGACCAATTGAAAAACCAAAAAGAAAGAATGTGTACACTACAAAAAGAAATAGTCGACGCAGAAGAGAAGAACAAAAACCTTCAGAAACAGATGGACAGTTATGAACAAATGACAAAAGACATGCAAACAGAGATGACGAAGCTAAAAAATATTCATGCCGATATGCTGAAAACCATTAGTCTTTTGGAAAAAACAAACAATGCATACTCAAGGAAAATAGGCGAATTAGAAGAAAGAACAAAAGAAGACAGGTGTCGATTGTCGGAGAACACTGAAGGAAATGCCAACGATCAACAGAATATATTAGACGATAGGGATAAACAGCTGAGGACTGAGGAAAATGTATCTTTGTATGATGAACTTTTTAAACAATCCAGGAACAGTGCGAAGACTTCCAAGAAACTGCTCATTGTGGGCGATCAATTGGCCAGAAACTGCGCTAGAGTCTTACATAATTCAATGAAGAGCATAGGCTATATAGTTGAAGGAATTGTTAAGCCCAACACAGAGGCTGCAAATATCACAAGTAATATTTTCACTCAAACTATGGATCATGGACAAAGTGACTATGTAATTATTGTTTTCAGCACAAAAAACATAAGCAACCACAAAACATTGAACAGTTTTCTTAGAAATGTATTACCACTGGGTAAATTTACAAATCTAGTAATTCTTCTAAAGTCCGAGCCTGTAGATGAAGCCTTAGCAGTTCTATTGGAAAACAAAATAACTAGTTATATTAAAAATAACCCTAACTGTTCAGTGAAGTTATTAGTAGCAAAGAATGGTTTTCGCAAATCACTGGCAAACATCATAAGAAGTCATGTGCAGACGAGCTGCTCTACCCTCAAAAGAAACGTTTTGTTATCGCCTCCAATAATTCCAATTTATAAAATGGAACGTCGAGTGCATTGCAACAGTGAGAGTACTGGTGCTTTTTTACTGGCCAGTGGGAATCCGATACTAATCACCTAGTACGACATGATTCGGGTAAACAGAATGTATCGAAAAATTCCTTATCACACGCTCGCGTCTGTGAAGTGCGCACGAATGATTGTCGGTATAAACTTTTACATTTAAACGTACAGTGTTTGAGAAACAAGGTTGATGAACTTGAGTTGGTGGCAAAACAGCACAGTTATGACTTTCTTTGTTTGAATGAGCATTGGTTGACTTGCGATGAGATTAATACTCTGAATATTTGTGAATATATGAATGTGTCTAGTTTTTGCAGGTCAAGCAAAATCCACGGTGGTGTTTGTATTTATGTCAATAATAAGTTTAGTGCTAAGCCTTTGTGTGACAAAGTTTTAAACATTTCTGAGGAGTTACACTTTGAGGTTGCTGGTGTCACCTGTTTGGATGGCACACAAATTCTAACCATATATAGATCACCAAATGGAGACTTCAATATATTCTATAATAAGCTTCAAATACTACTTAGTACTTTAGACTATAAGCAAAATATAATCATATCTGGTGATTTTAATTTTAAATTTAACACTCACGACAAGCATGCCAATGTGATGTGTGATATTTGTGTTTCTTTTGGACTGTATCAGACTGTGAATGTGAATACTAGGCAGAATGCTTGTCTAGATAATATTTTCACCAATATAAACATGTCAAGCATAGTTGTAGAGGCCTTTGATACATGTTTTTCTGACCATTTAGGTATTGCATTTCATTTTAATTTGAAAACTCTAAAACCTGTTAGGAAGAGAATAAACTACAGGCCTGTCACTGATGAAGGTCTTTTCAAGTTATACAGTAAAATTGAAACAGTCGACTGGATCTTTTTGTCTGATATTAGTTTACCACTGACCACTAAACTCGAACGATTCATGAACATCTTAACAAATAATATCGCTGAGTGCTTACCAATCAAATCTAGGTTAGTATCAGAGGGTTGTCGCAACAAAATCAACTGGTTTGATCACGAATTGGCTCATATGAGAGAGACTTTGGAACTAATAACACAAATTAATAAAGATAATCCCCAAGTAGTATCAAAGAAGGAGATTAATGTCTTCAAATCAAAGTACCGATCAGAAATCAGAATTAGGAAAAAAAATGCTCATGATAAATATATACGTAGAGCGTCAGATAAACAAGCAGCTATGTGGAACGTGATTAAATCCAATGGTGTGCAATCATCAAAAGCACATTCGTCTACTCTCAGCGCGAATGATTTAAACTCTTTCTTCGTCAGCATTGCTGATACCATTATCGCTGAAATTCCAGCTACCCAGTCGAACTTCAAAGATTTTATACAGACTAGTGATACACTACATTTCAACTTTCGAACTGTTTCATTCAATGATGTTCGAGACGCAATCAAAAGCTTAAAGAATTCTAAAAGTAAAGATCCATATGACATCGATGTTAAAATTATGAAGACCTTAAATAACTTGTTAGTATATCCTATAACAAAATTGATAAACATGTGTATAGAAAATAATGTCTTTCCTGCCTTATTAAAACTTGCAAAGATTGTGCCACTCTTCAAGAAAGGCTGTGAGAATGATCCATGTAATTTCAGACCCATCTCTATAATACCAATTATAGCAAAAATTTTCGAAATTCTTCTGAAGAATCAGATATGTGAATACTTCGAAGGTAACAATTTATTCTGTAACAACCAGTTTGGATACCGTGCCAACAGATCAACGAAAGCAGCAATAAACAATTTTATCAGTTTCATCAACAAATGTCTGGAAGATAACATGTTTGCCCTCGCTAACTTCTATGATCTTACAAAAGCATTTGATTGTGTCCAACATCACATTTTGATTCAAAAGTTGTCGCTGTATGGTTTTAGTAATAATAGCCTGTCCTTAATTGCGTCTTATTTATCAGATAGAAGACAGTATGTTAGTTTTCAAAATTGTTTATCCAACAATGTGCATATTAAGCACGGAGTTCCCCAAGGAAGTGTCTTGGGACCGATTCTTTTTTTGATCTACATCAATGATCTGCCAAACTGTAGCATCAATCAGTATATATTATTTGCGGATGACACGACATCAATATCCTCCAATAGTAACTTTGATCATGTATTGCTCGATTCTCAGCAGCATTTTGACAACATTCAAAACTGGTTTAATGCCAACAGTTTGTCAATCAACATAGCGAAAACTCAATCTCTTCTACTCAGTACTCGTCCACATAGAAGTGATTTAGTAGAGCCCGTGAAATTTCTTGGAGTGATTATTGATGCAAGCTTAACTTGGGAATCACACATCACTTCTTTATCAAAGAAGTTATCTAAAATAACATATATGATACGTAGTTTAAATACCTACGTAACAAAATCGACTTTAATGACAGCCTATTATGCTTACTTCCAATCTAACTTGCAATACTGCATACTGATTTGGGGACATTCATGTCATGTATCGAAGGTGTTTGCTGTTCAGAGACGATGCTTGAGAATAATAGCAAACTTATATTTCAGACAGTGTTGCAAGACGACATTTATCGACCTAAAAATTTTAACTGTGCCATGCATATATATACTGGAATGTCTGATCCACGTTAAAAATAATTACGATGATTACAGAACTCCGAAAGAGATTCACAAATATAACACAAGGTTCAACAATGAATTAATACCAGAGTACACAAGACTTTCAAAAACTAGACACGGAAGTAATTATTTCGGTGTGAAATTTTTTAATGCGCTGCCCAAGTTTTGTCAAACACTCAACTCAACCATTTTTAAAGCAACTGTGAAAAGATATCTAGTGACGAAAGCTTTTTACAGCATAGATGAGTTTTTAAATAATGATTTTACCGACTTTGGTCCATAATTGTTGACTATTTATTACTTTGTTTTCGTTTGTGTTTTTTTTAATGTGTTATTTTTGTATTATATTTTATCGTTCTCCAGACGTGTGTAAGGACTTTTGAGTACAAACATGAAAAAATGATTAGTATTTCATAATTTTTTAACCATCTTATTTTATTGTTCCTCTAAATTTTAAAATAGTTTTATCAAGTTTTTTTTACCTTTTATTGCCACTTTGTGTTATACGTTTGTCTTATTTTTGTATTGTTTGTTACTTTTACTTACTCTTTTATGTTCTACTTTAAATGACCTGTACAAACACATTTTTGTGTAATAGTACCAATAAATAATTATTATTATTATTATTATTATTATTATTTTCTTTCCTAAACTGAGCTTCCTTTATAGCCATGTCTCTGGGAAGAACTGGGAAAAGCCTCCTCTCGACACCGTTGGTTCAAAGGAGCGGTCGTATCGGCCAGTTCTAAATGTACAAAGTTCGACACGGTTAGGATGGAAGACCGAAGTCGGTCGAGTATCCTTAGCTGTCACAAAATACGATAACTAATACGCATTCAAATTCATAATTTTCCTCTTCAATATATACTAAGTGACATATAAATCCGAACACCCAGTTTAAATGGTTTTATTTTAATAAAAGTTGGTGAATGTATTTATCTTACTGTAAATAACAAGTGAAAAAATTTTCGGCCTTATCAGTTGGACATTCCGGTTTTTATACTGCTTTTTTTTAATTCACTAACGCTCTAAAAATGAATATTTCAGCCGCAGTAAAGAATCAACGTTGGCGGATTTTGATTCTTGACATCCTTTACGATCGGTTACGATGCCTAGAGTATGGAGACCTGTACGATTTCGTCAACTTAGTGAGTTTGATAGGGGCCGTATAGTGGGACTTCGGGAAGCTGGACTTTCTTTTCAGGCAATTGCAGTTAGAGTGCAAAGAAGTGTAGACACTGTGGTTAGGTGTTGTCAGGCATGGCTTCGAGAAGGCCGTACGTAAAGTGCAAGGGGCACTGGACGCCGCCGTAGAACAACAGACCGTGAAGATCGCCGCCTTAGATTATTGGCCTTAAGGGACCGTTTCTCCACTACCAGGTCCATTGCAAATGAATGGTTTGCAGAACACGGAAGACCTATTGGCATGAGAAGTGTTTACCGACGAATGAGAAGTTTTGGCTTGTTTTCATACCGGCCACACTGGGTCCTCCCTTTAACTCGAGAACACAGACGTAATCGCCTTGAGTGGTGCAGACAACGGTCACTCTGGGATCAGGAATGGAACAGTATTGTCTTTAGTGACGAGTCTCGATTTTGTTTAGGCATGCACGTGCCAGGGTTAGAAGGCGACGTGGTGAAAGGAGGAATCCACAGTTTTTTGTTGAAAGACATGTTCATCACACTGTTGGAGTTATGGTTTGGGGTGCTATAGCTTATGGTTCCAGGTCACCTTTAATCTTCATCAGAGGTAACATGAACGCGCAGCGTTATATCCACGAAGTTCTAGAACCCCATCTTTTACCCTATCTTGACACCCTGGCAGATCCAACTTTCCAACAAGATAATGCCCGACCACATGTTGCAAGAGTCACAATAGACTTCTTTCAACATAATGATGTCACATTGTTACCATGGCCACCAAGATCTCCCGACTTATCCCCAATTGAGCACGTGTGGGATATGATGGATAGGAAATTGCTCAATTTGCAACGTCCTCCTCAGACTCTAGAAGCACTTCGAGAGGAGTTGGTGGTTGCCTGGAATGAGATACCACAGGAGGACATTGACCACCTGATCAGAAGCATGCCTAGGCGCGTTTGAGCACATCAGGGTGCATCCACACATTATTAAAGGTCAAAGGGCTTTAAAGCAGTGCAATCATTTTGAAATTTTTATCATTTACTTATTATGCTTTATTAAGTACTTATACAAAATTTTATTAAAATAAAACCATTTAAACTGGGTGTTCGGATTTATATGTCACTTAGTATATATTCTTATCTCTTTTCAGGTGGTCATAGTGGGCAATGGTGGAGTAGGGAAGTCAAGCATGATCCAACGATATTGCAAAGGAACATTTACCAAGGACTATAAGAAAACCATAGGTGTAGATTTTTTAGAAAGACAAATAGAGTAAGTACACAAATATCAAGGATTTGTTTGATTCCGCTCAAGCTTCCTTATATCTTCAATCCCAGGGAAGATTAAATTTTGCTCGAACTCGACTTAAGGTCGCAGTCCCCCTTTTTTAACTGCCTGGTTGCGACAGTATTCTAAATCCTTTTCATCTGATTATTTCGTGGTGTGTATAGAGATAACTAAGTGATAATTATACAGGGTGGCCCATCCATGTGTGGACGGAATATTACTCATAAACAAATACATTTTGGGAAAACCTTTCTAAAATATTGGCAATTATACAATTTTGCCCTATATATCAAAGTTGGAATGTCTCAAATTTTATTGCATATTTGGATAAACCAATTCAAAAGAAGAAGATTGATATAACAAACTATGGGGTTTTGGTAATTAGCTACTAAGATGTAAGGTGTTTTGTCCAGAAAAACCGTCCACTTTGGCAACCCCTCAATCCGCCATTTTTAAATTTGGAGTACCTAATTGTGTATAAAAAAAACTTATACACATCAGCTTTTATCTTATGTATTACTTTTTCGAATTTTCATTTTTGCTCATACAGGGTGGTCAAAAACGCGAATTGTACTTTTTCTCAAAAATTTCAAATGCATCACCCTGTATATTTGTGCAAGTTTGGATTCAATTTTATATAAGCTTTTTTTTGGTATAAGGTTTAATTCAGATAAAATAAGGATAAGGATAAGGAAAAAAATCACATCATCCATGGAAACAAAAGACAAACCGTGGGCTAGTTCCATATTGCCACTAAGAGTACAGATTAGACGTAAAAACTAATAACAATCAGAACAGTATAAATCAGCTTCAAGCGTAATAGAGAAACAACTATCACTACTCAAGGCCTTATCTACAAAAACTGCTACGAAAATATCTCCATCACGTTGATTACACAGCCATGGTCTTTGGATAAACGACCGTTGCATATCCCTCAGCATGTGTTCCCTTAAGTTCAGAAAGGCATCCTTAATCCTTTCCTTCATATTTTCCGGGATAGATCGTGGATATCTGTAAACCTCTTGCTCAACGTAGTCCCATAGAAAGAAGTCCATCGGTGTCAAATCTGGTGATCTATGAGGCCAAAATATAGGCCCATCACGACCGATCCAACGATTGTTACTCCTGGTGTCCAAATAGTTACGCACACGATTATCATAATGCGCAGGTGCGCCGTCATGTTGGAAATATACTAAGTGACATATAAATCCGAACACCCAGTTTAAATGGTTTTATTTTAATAAAAGTTGGTGAATGTATTTATCTTACTGTAAATAACAAGTGAAAAAATTTTCAGCCTTATCAGTTGGACATTCCGGTTTTTATACTGCTTTTTTTAATTCACTAACGCTCTAAAAATGAACATTTCAGCCGCAGTAAAGAATCAACGTTGGCGGATTTTGGTTCTTGACATCCTTTACGATCGGTACGATGCCTAGAGTATGGAGACCTGTACGATTTCGTCAAATTAGTGAGTTTGATAGGGGCCGTATAGTGGGACTTCGGGAAGCTGGACTTTCTTTTCGGGCAATTGCAGTTAGAGTGCAAAGAAGTGTAGACACTGTGGTTAGGTGTTGTCAGGCATGGCTTCGAGAAGGCCGTACGCAAAGAGAAAGGGGCACTGGACGCCGCCGTAGAACAACAGACCGTGAAGATCGCCGCCTAAGATTATTGCCCTTAAGGGACCGTTTCTCCACTACCAGGTCCATTGCAAATGAATGGTTTGCAGAACACGGAAGACCTATTGGCATGCGAAGTGTTGACCGACGAATGAGAAGTTTTGGCTTGTTTTCATACCGGCCACACTGGGTCCTCCCTTTAACTCGAGAACACCGACGTAATCGCCTTGAGTGGTGCAGACAACGGTCACTCTGGGATCAGGAATGGAACAGTATTGTCTTTAGTGACGAGTCTCGATTTTGTTTAGGCATGCACGATGGTCGTGCCAGGGTTAGAAGGCGACGTGGTGAAAGGAGGAATCCACAGTTTTTTGTTGAAAGACATGTTCATCACACTGTTGGAGTTATGGTTTGGGGTGCCATAGCGTATGGTTCCAGGTCACCTTTAATCTTCATCAGAGGTAACATGAACGCGCAGCGTTATATCCACGAAGATCTAGAACCCCATCTTTTACCCTATCTTGACACCCTGGCAGATCCAACTTTCCAACAAGATAATGCCCGACCACATGTTGTAAGAGTCACAATAGACTTCTTTCAACATAATGATGTCACATTGTTACCATGGCCACCAAGATCTCCCGACTTATCCCCAATTGAGCACGTGTGGGATATGATGGGTAGGAGATTTGCAACGTCCTCCTCAGACTCTAGAAGCACTTCGAGAGGAGTTGGTGGTTGCCTGGAATGAGATACCACAGGGGGACATCGACCACCTGATCAGAAGCATGCCTAGGCGCGTTGGAGAATGCGTAGCACATCAGGGTGCATCCACACATTATTAAAGGTCAAAGGGCTTTAAAGCAGTGCATTCATTTTGAAATTTTTATCATTTACTTATTATGCTTCATTAAGTAGTTATACAAAATTTTATTAAAATAAAACCATTTAAACTGGGTGTTCGGATTTGTATGTCACTTAGTATAGATGAATATAATTGAAACACGCCTAAATAGGAACTCGAACATTATTATTTTAATCTAGACCAAACTCATGCAAAACGCCCTGAAAACATTACAGCTTTCAATTTTTGTAGAGTTGACGGTGAGGAAGTCCGGTTGATGTTGTGGGACACAGCTGGCCAGGAAGAATTCGATGCCATCACAAAGGCCTACTACAGAGGCGCACAGGCCTGCGTTCTAGCCTTCTCCACAGTAGATAGGGAATCTTTCGAAGCCGCACATTCGTGGAAACTCAAGGTAAGTTTTCGGTTATACAGATCATATCACATACAGGGTGTTCCTTAATGATATGCGAATATTTAGGGGGGGGAACTACATGAAAAAGTAATGTACGTTTGCTTTATAAACTATGGTCAAAAATGTTTCCTTACAAAAAATGGAAATTAATTAATATTTTCAGAACAGCTCCAGATATTTCACTAATATTTAGTAGGTGGTGAAAGTTATAAAGTTTCATATTTTTCAATGCAAAAATAGTTTTTAGATTCAACAGTGGCGTGCCTACGGGTATTGACTTCGATATTTTTTAAGAATAAAATGGTACGTCAATGGTTTTTTGCTAAATAAAAATTATTTTTGAATTCCCCGTTCAATTTAAAACAAATGATCTCTCCTGAATTATTTTCCTTCGATGCGCCATTTTTGAGTAAAAAAATAAAAACCGTTCTATTGTCCGAGAAAATTAATGTAATAATTGAAGAATGCAATTTAGCAATAAATATCTAGTTGCTCTGGAATATGTCACTAGCTTCTGACATCTGACAAGTCTCTGTTATTCAAATCTGTTCGCTGTGACATCTTTTTCATTATTTAGTTTTTACAATCTTGTTAATAATGGTGAATTAATAAAAATGCAGAAATGGCGGAAATGCATTACGTATCTGGCCTTGCCGACGGTAATGGTGAGCAAGCCAGACGGATTTATCACCAGAGATATCCCGATCGTGCTTTGCCAGATAGTCGAACCTTTTCTAATATTCATCGTCGTCTTGTTGAAACTGGTTCTGTCCGAAAAGGAACATCTGAAGGTAGACCTCTAAGTGTGAGAACACCTGAAATTGAGGAAGCAGTGCTGCACGAGTACGAGGAAGATCGCTACTTAAATTCCATGAAAAGGAGGGCGGAAGCATGCATACTAAGTGAAGGGGGTCATTTTCAACAATTTTTGTAATCATTTCGTTGGTTTTAATGTCTTATGTTGTTGTTCATTACCCCTAATGTGTTTAATTTTTCCAATTAAATTAATAATATTTTTGCAAGTTAGACAATAGAACGGTTTTTATTTTTTTTACTCAAAAAGGCGCATCTAAGGAAAACAAGTCAAGAGAGATCATTTGTTTTAAATTGAACGGGGAATTCAAAAATAATTTTTTTTTTGGCAAAAAAACCATTGGCGTACCATTTTTTTCTTAAAAAATATCGAAGTCAATACCCGTACGCACGCCACTGTTAAAGCTAAAAATTATTTTTGCATTGAAAAATATGCGACTATATTAACTTCCACTAGGTACTAAATATCAGTGAAATATCTGAAGCGGTTCTGAAAATATTAATTAATTTCCATTTTTTTCCTAAAACTTCAACACCCCGAGTTTTTGTAAGCAAACATTTTTAGACCATAGTTTATGAAGCAAACTAACATTAATTTTTCATGTAGATTCACACCCTTAAATATTCGCATATCATTAAGGAACACCCCGTATACAGGGTGTCCCAGAAATAACACGCCAGAGTGACAAGGGAGGTAGATTGGCTTCAAATCAATCAGATAAAAGTTTTCTAGTTTTCGAGATATTGCTACTTTTAAGTTTTCCAAAAAAATACCTACTTTTTGCTTCTTTATTACCTGTTACTGCTATAAAGAACTTCTAACTCATTTTTTCCCTGGGTTACCATTAGTTAACATAGTATTAATTGTTTGAAAGCTAGCACGATATGCTATGGTAAGAAAACAAATGTAACATGTGATACAGCGTTGAATGCGTAGAAAAAGATGAAACCAGATACAGGGTGTACTTTTTCGATAAAAAAATAAAGTTGATGGTTTCTCGAAAACGAAACGTCGCCGTCGAGCACAAAAAATAAAGATGCCATCATGTAGTGCCTAAAAAGTGCCAATAAAAGTTCCAATGGTTTTTTGATATCTCTTAAAATAAAGTCGTAAAAAAATAAAAACGTTTTGGCCAAATTTTAGTTTTTCCCAAATACCTCAGTAAGCCATGAAATTTTTACAAATTGCTCAACGGCATGTATGTTAGATACGCTCCAAAGAACGAAGCTTCTTCCCAATTTAACCTAAACTCTGGGCGCTGAAGAAAGACATTAAACGTAAACAGTGATCAGCACGTGAACAGATCCCTCGAAAGCATCCACGGATATACTCCAGTCACTTTAGGTCTAAACATCCTCGGCAGTGTATTTCTAGTGAATCCACAGACCCTTTTTCGTGTCATCTTGAGACTAGAAAAAGGATGACTGTTAAAATAAGTTACCTTGATCTTTCATGAGCTCCCAGTACAAAACATCATCGATATATTTTTGATGTAGGAACAACAAATTGGTTTAGAAAACATCCACTTTGAACCTAAATTGACTGGAGTAACATCGATCTACAGACAAATTCAAGGTCACTAGCAGTCGTCGGCGCTCTACGAATCTGCACAGGTTTGGACTTGTAAACGTGATTGTAGATGACACGACAGGCATCTAACAGTTAATTCACGCACAGGATTGCATTGCATACGCATTACGCATTCAGTAGCGTATACTCGTTTTTCGCGAGTGGAACGTTTTGTTTATATATTGCCTAAGATACGATGTCTGACACAGATACAGCCGACGAAGTGGTTGACATCAGCGCAACCCCACCCAAAAAAAGGGCTAAGAAGCTACATTTAAGTGCAAATGAAAAACAAATAATATTAAATATATACAAAAACCAAATTCAAGAAAAACCCGATTTGGTCGTGGACGAAGTTATATGTAAGGTAGCACATATTTCTGGAGTATGTCGGTCCAGTGTTTATAGGATCATTAAGGAATATAGGAGCACTCACTCACTTTCTGAGCCAAAACCGTATCCTGCAAGAAAAAGGATAACGGACGGAGTAGATGACTTTGACAGAACTGCCATCAGGAGGAAAGTGCATAATTTTTTCTTCCGAAATGAGATACCTACAGTAGATAAGATATTAAGATTAGTTAATGCTGATGAGGATCTTCCATCATTTAAAAGAACCACATTCCGAAAACTTTTGAAGGAACTTAATTTTCGATTCTTGAAACGGGGAAGAAACAGTATGTTAATAGAGAAAGAAGAAATTGTTGTGTGGAGAAGGGAATACCTTAGGAAGATTGGGAAGTTTCGCGATGAAAAAAGAAAAATTTACTATTTGGACGAAACGTGGGTGAATGCTGGACATACTCAAGCGAAAGTTTGGGTCGACAAATCAGTAACATCATCAAGGCAGGCTTTTCTAGACGGTCTTTCGGCTGGATTGAAAAATCCTGCAGGTAAGCTCCTTCATCTATCCGGCAATTTAATTTTGATAAATTCGGGCAAATAATATGCTGTGATAGCAGATAATGTGTGATATTCTCCAAAAATGGTGCATTCGCAGTGTAGTCATTAGGAAAAAAACTTCGACCCTCTTTTAAGCGTTATTTTTAAATTTATTATCATTTTTGGGTGCAGTCAATTTGCTTTGAATGGGTTTTGAGAAGTCGCAAACTTCAATTTTCTACGTTTTTCAGTTTTTGATCAGCATTCCGTGACTCTTAAATTCAGCTAAATGAACTCAATTGCCTCATTCCTTCAAATTTAATCAATCCATAGTGTAAGGAATAATTTATTTCCAGGAAAAGGCAAACGGCTGATCATTTGTCACGTAGGTAGTGAAGACGGCTTTGTTCCCGAAGCACTGTGGGCCTTTGAATCAAAAAAGACAGGGGACTATCATGAGGAGATGGACGGCAATTCCTTTGAAAATTGGTTCTCCAAAATGTTACTAAAGCTGGAGAATAACGCTGTTATTGTACTGGATAATGCCCCGTACCATTCTAGAAAAATAGAAAAAATTCCCACAATGGCAACTAAAAAAGCAAACATACAACAATGGCTGGCCTCAAAACAGATCGATTTTGATGAAACAATGGTCAAGGGTGAATTGATAAGTATAGTCAATAGACATAAATACAAATACGATTTTAAAATGATCGACGAAATGGCCAAAAAACAAAATAAAACTGTCTTGAGACTGCCACCCTACCATTGTGAGCTGAACCCTATTGAGCTGATTTGGGCCAACATAAAGCAATACGTGGCGTCGAATAATAATACTTATAAATTTTCTGATGTTAAAGATCTCTTTCACATCACAGTCAATAGAGTTACGGCAGAGGAATGGAAAAACTGTATCCGCCACGTTCGGGAGAAGGTTGAGGTCAAAATGTGGGATTTGGACAATGTCATCGATACCCAAATTGAACCTCTAATAATTCATTTAAACGATTCAGAAGATTCAAGTTCCTCTTCTGAATGAGTGCGCGCAGCTTACTTACTAATAACTAAAAAGTGTAGTTAACTCATTTGTGAATCTCTAACTGAAATTTACTGTAAAAGATAATAATTATCTTGTATGAAATTTTTGATGACTACCCATAATATCTTGATGCGGTCCTGTAATGTCTCCTGCGCCTAAACACTCACTCACGAGCAATATGCGTGTATTTGTTTGGGTTTAGTTTCTTTCTTCGGCGCCTAGAGTATAAAATCTATCTCCCACACGTATCGTATACGTATTTGGTTCTTCTTGTTGCGCATAGTCGTAATTTTCCGGTCCATCCATAATTCCTTCGCACCAAGTCGGTCCAGTCACCAGCATGGCATCCAGATTGGTCAGAAATAAAATTTGGACCAGTTACATTTGCCAATTATTTTTTTAAATCCGGATTTAGGATGATGCCGACGGACTTATGTGCCCCACATTTCGGTTTGTTTGGAATTGCATACATGCCTCGGCGTAATGTTATTTCTGTTTCATTCAATTTGTAATTGGTGCTTGCGTTTCAGGTCGAGAATGAGTGTGGCGAAATACCAACTGTGATTGTACAGAATAAAATAGATCTTATGGACCATAGTGTTGTTAATCCGTAAGTATACTTGATATACTTTTTGATTTAAGAAAAAAATACAAACTTAATGAAATGAAAATATTCGTTACTATCAACATATTCGTAAATTCGGCGGGATTTATTTCCGTCTAAATGTTTGGCATTCCTTCGTTATGCAACTCCCTGTTGTGCTTGATGTGACTCTTTTTAAAACTTTTTGTCGGTAAAAATGTTAATTGACCGTTTGAGCTTGAGGCAGAAACGATGATCTGAAAGCACAAGATCCCGGATTCTGACGATATTTTCATCGGTTCTTGAAGATGAAGTCCTTCCGCTTCGTGGTTCAGAAATCGCAAATTAACTGGGAATCTAACCATGAAACGCCAGGTTGAAGATTGGAATGGATTTGCCATGGGGGGGAGGCGTAGTAGCCTGCGTACAAAAACCGGTAATAATCGTACATCCAGCAACACTGACTCAAAATGTCGTTGATATGCTTGGAACATGCCACCTTGACATGTCATTTGACCATAAAAGTTTTTTTTAAATTTCTTATAATAAGGAATCTATGGTACTCCGTCTGATCTATGACCCGCCCTGTACAACGAATCTAGGAGTCTTCAAACTTTTAAATTCATTTTTTTCGAAGCTTACTTTTTGTGACATTCTTTTTCCCCTGTACCCTAAAGTGAAGAAGGAATCATATATGAACAGGTCATTGAATGTATTGAAGAAAATAAGATATTGACAAAATTTCAAGCAGGATTCAGAAAAAAGTATTCTACTGAAACAGCAATTCAAATGGTAGTAGAAGAATGGAGACGAAATATGGATGAAAAAAAGTTTACAGTAACATTGTTCTTAGATTTCAAGAGAGCATTTGAGACTATTGTCAGGGAGAAATTGTTAACTAAATTGCATTGCTATGGCTTTCCAAGTTCATTATTCAACTTATTACAAAATTATTTAATCAATAGAAGTCAAAGAACTAAAATTGGCAATACATTATCAAACATTAAAAACATTTCGGTAGGTGTGCCACAGGGTCGCAAATTAGGTCCATTACTATTTATTTAATACATTGACGATATTCCTCATATTTTACAACACTGCAAAATTCAACTATTTGCTGACGATACATTAATATACAGGGTGTTTCAGTTTATTGTTGCATAACTTTAAGATTCGATAGAACTTTTAGAATTAATGCATAAAGTCTGTATAAACATGGGTCGAAAAATGCGTGGCATCCGAAATACAAGGTGTTCAAATTTACTTTCTAAAATAGTTTTTTTAAAATATTTCGAACAATATTTGATGTATAACAGTGAAAATTGGTATACAAGGGTTTCTTGGTACGAAAAAACGAACCATGGGCATAGTTTTACTGTAGCCGCTAGAGGGCGCTCTCTACTGTACCTGTAGTGAATTAAAATGACCGAAAAAATTTTCTTAGTGCAATTTTTTGCTTTTTGAATAAAAAAACTGACTCTTCGCACTTTTCAACATAAAAAAGCTCTCTTGTGAATTTTCGTTATAGTTAGCCGTTTTTGAGATATTTCGATTTTTAAGGTTCGATGCATTTTTAATTATGTAGTTATGGGAAAATAACGTTAAAAAGTCAGTATCTCGATAATTTTTAGAAGTAGGCTATGCCTGCAAATATGTTTGAAATTGAAAGCAGAATAAGGTTAAACGTCAATTAGTTGACAGTTAGTTTTGTTGTCTGTTGAAACCTGAAACGTTTTTTTGCAATTGTGAATGCACGAAATTTAGTTTCTTTTACCTGTTTTTTTTTTTGTAAGTTATATAAAAATGCCATTTTTATTCTCCAATCAAGAGTTAGCGGATATTCATTTTGTGTATGTCTTTGTAAATAGAAACGCAGCAGAAGCAGCTAGAGAATACGCACGAAGATTTCCAAAAAGACGACATCCAACTCGCTCAGTATTTGTAAGAGTGCATCGCCAAATAATTGAAAATGGTTTTGGTAATCTCCAAAGGGATCAAAACATAAATGTTCGTCAGCGCAGATTTACCCGTATGATTCTGCGTGAGTTTGATAGAGATCCGACCACAAGTGTTAGGAGAGTTTCTGGTGCCTTGGGAATTTCAGCAAGCCATGTTCACCGTGTTCTTAGAAATGACCATAGACGTCCTTGCCATTTGCAACCTGTGCAAGGACTACAGCCAGGGAACGGAGAACGAAGAATCACATTTTGTCAGTAGGTTCTTGATAGAACTGATAATAATAGGGAGTTTTTAAGTAACGTTTTATGGACCGATAAGTCATGCTTCACTAGACGTGGAGTGGTAAATTATAATCAACATATTTGGTCGTATGAAAATCCGCATGCAGTTCGGGAAAGAAATTTTCAGCATGAATTTAGTGTGAACGTGTGGATTGGTATCTACGGTAATCGACTATTTGGACCCTACCTTTTGCCTGCAAGGTTAAATGCTGCGACCTTCTTAGAATTTTTAAAGGCTGAACATGCAAATATGTGGGATGATGTTATGTTAGATTTAAGAAGATTGGCCTGGTTCCAGCTTGATGGTTGTCCAGCTCATTATTCGAGAATAGTTAGAAACTGGCTGGACGAAAATTATACAGAAAGATGGATCGGCCGTGGAGGACCAGTCGCCTGGCCTCCACGATCCTCTGGCCTAAATCCATTAGATTTCTTTGTGTGGGGATTTCTAAAAGAAAAAGTGTACCAGACTCTCGTAACCACAACAGATATGCTAAAAGACAGAATCAGGAATGCATGTGATGAAATAAGGCCTTATTTGAATAATGCTATACCACGTTCGATCATTCGTAGATTGTGTATTGAACAATTAGGTTTACATTTCGAGCAACTACTTTAGATTTTGTATGTTTGTCCTAATTATCCAATAGCATTTTAGTTGTAAATAATTAATTTAATTTGTTAAAATTAATATTGGAAAATTAAACAAATTAATATTCTGTTTTTTTGTGTTTATTTGGAGTTAGGAATTATTGCTGTGTTTAAAAACACAATTTAAACGATCATCTTAATTACTTGTAATGCCCAAATCGAAAATGTAAAAAAAATATCATTTTCCCATAAATAATTAAAAATGCATCGATCCTTAAAAATCGAAATATCTCAAAAACGGCTAATTATAACGAAAACTCACAGGAGAGCTTTTTTATGTTGAAAAGTGCGAAGAATCAGTTTTTTTATTCAAAAAGCAAAAAATTGCACTAAGAAAAAATGTTCGGTCATTTTAATACACTACAGGTACAGTAGAGAGCGCCCTCTAGCGGCTACAGTAAAACTATGCCCATGGTTCGTTTTGTCGTACCAAGAGAAACCCTTGAATACCAATTTTCACTGTTATGCATCAAATATTGTTCGAAATATTAAAAAAAACTATTTTAGAAAGTAAATTTAAACACCCTGTATTTCGGAAGCCACGCATGTTTCGACCCATGTTTATATAGACTTTATGCATTAATTTTAAAACTTCTATCGAATCTTAAAGTTATGCAACAATAAACTGAAACTCCCTGTATATACATATATCTGCAATAGAGCTGTCAATTAATGATATGAAAAACGTAATAAATTGGTTAAATGTAAATAAACTTAAACTAAACACAAACAAAACAAAATATATGCTAATAGGAAAATCTTTAGATCAAAATACGATAAATCTTACAATTAATAATGAAAAAATTGTGTCAATCGAATCATTAAATATTTGGGCATATACGTAGACAGTAAATTAAAATTTGAAGAGCACTATGAATATATTATTTCAAAAATATCCAAGAGAATAAATTACTTTTATAGAATTTCGCATAGCCGCAATCGTTTATTCTAAAAAAATTGTGCAAATGAAACTGCATTTTCAAAATTACAAATATTACAAAATAAAGCTATGAAAATCATCTTAAATAAGAATAAATATACTAGAATACATTTTATGCTGAAAGAACTACAATAGTTAAATATCAAAAATTTCATTTTCATATTCAAGTTAAAAAATCATCTCCTACCAAATCACTTAGAAAATTTTATTGTACTGAACAATGAGTACCACAATAATTGTTCTATTAGAGGAAGTATAGACTTTCATTTACAAAACTACAGTAGCAATATAGCGAGCAAGTCAGTATTTCAAAAGGGATTGTACGAATTTAATAAATTAAGTAATGATATCAAGATGTGTGTCAGTTTGAAAATGTTCAAAGGGAAATTGAAAAAATATCTCATGGAAGGCCAGAATTCATAGTAGTGAAATTTTGTATAAAAATATGTAGTCTTGAAGACATAATATATTTTGTGATATATGTACTGTGTAATATGGATATTGTAGCATTAATGCTAAATAAATCTGAAACAAACAACTGTGGACGCCTTTACGGCCTTCTTGATTTACATAGTTTTTCCTGTCATTCAGAGTCAGCGCTCTATTTTGAGGTTATGTCACAAATGTCTATTTGCAGCAAATTGTTCAGCTTTTGAGATTTATATCATCTGTTTAATTAAGTAGCCTGAAATTTCCTGCACTTCAAAAAACCTCACAATACGAGAGCGCTGACGCTGACACGGAACAGAAAGAAAACGAGAAATATCCCAACGTTTCTGAAGGAGATGAAAGAGCGTAAAAATCAAGGAGGCCATAATTATACTGCCCTAAAACCTCTTTCATCTTTGTGCTTTAGGTTTATGGCCATCTCATCATAGTAATAAAATTTGTTTCTGGAACATTGACATATACAATCAGGTCGCATTCATTAAATTCGATTATTGAGTCGGATAGATTAGGATATGTTACAGGAATCAATTAAATTATTTTTGGGGAAATAATATCCTGAGCATGATTCAAAATAGAAATATTTAAATAAAAAATATCACAGCTCTATTATCACTCATAAATGTAGGAATTCAGCTCATACTTATATGTTTCCCAGGTATTTTTAATATAGCAGTCCCAAAAATATGAAGATAAATAAAAAATGAGAATTTAAATAGCTATCTGGATATCAGCCAAGTAATTGTAATTGATGTAACAGAAAATTTCTGCCAGTCAGAATTGATATTGGAATAGATCAAATTTCACGAACGTCTCCTATACTCCCCCCAAACAGTAATTTGTTTTGTTGAGAGTATAATACAGAACCTTTTTGAAGTTCATATTTTTCTTCTCCCACATCGATAAACGAGAGATGTAATTTGCCATATCTATTATTTGGAGTTGTATCGAATATTCAAAATCAAACTACATTTTTACTATTATACTTTGTAGTCAAATAAGGCGAAACTTTATTGGTACAATGCTTCGCTTAATTTGTCTTGCTCAATGTTATATCTTATGTTAGACTCAATATTACTTTTTTCACAAATAACAGCTATAATTATGCGCCCGTGTACCCAACACATTCTATTATTCATTTTCCCTTCCCGATTACTATCTTCCTTTTCTCCTATAAACACAACCTAAGACATGAAATACTTCTAAACTCACCAGTCGCCAACGCTGCACAACGCTCAGCTCAAATGCATGGGAAAGTTTTTTAGAGTTATGACCACCGATTACGCACAGATCGGCTATCCTAAACACGAAAATCACTCCCGGACTCTTATCGAACACTTTACCGACACATTTTGTTGATTACGATCAAGTTTTCCCTATAAAATCAACAAAAACGACACCCCCGAAAGAGACCGTGTATAAAGTTCCTGTCGACATAACCATTGAAAATAATAGCATAGGAAACAAATGAATCTGCCCAATAACAAGTTTCGCATTTCCAGGAAAGTTGGGCGGCCCCTCGTGAAGTCTAGGAATCTTATAGTCCAGTCAAACAGGGACGACAAATTGACACGAATAGTATTTGGAAGTGTGATATATCACACTTCCAAATACTATTATATATTATGTCAAGGTTCTCGATTGAAGCTAGAACCTATATTATTACGATTGCATAATGTCTCGGGACTGTCTTTGTGAGATAAAATAATGGCAAGCGTGTACTTTCCATTATTATGGGAAATGGTTCTATTAGTCATAATAAAAGCTTGAGAGGCCAATTTTTGGATACCTACGAGGGATGTCTTTTAGGTTTTGCATATGGAAATAAAACAACACGGTAGGTAGTTTTAAATGACTTTATTGTTTTTCGAAGTATTCTCCACGAAGATTAATAAATATCTGCATGCGCTCGAACCAATTTTCGAAGCACTTATTCCACTCGTTTTCTGGCAGATCCAAAACGGAATTTTTGAATGCGTCAACTGCTTCTTCTGGTGACTGGAACCTTTTACCACGCAGTCTGTTTTTAATTTTCGGGAAAGTAAAGAAATCGTTACGACTTAGAACGGGACTATATGGAGGATGGTCCAATAATTCCACGTTTTCTTCCGGTAAATACTGCCTTGTTTTTTGGGCTGTGTGCGAGCTTGCATTGTCTTGGTGGAGGATGATTCTTCTTTCGGGGTTGATTTTTCGATGCTCTGTGATGACCTTTGGCAAACGAATGGTGGTATACAAATCCGCAGTTTACAGTGCTTTGCTCATTAAGAGGAATTGTTGCAATATGATCCGCTTTTGACACAAATGTCGCGACCATCTTTTTCGAAACACTTCTAGAACGGATGACTTTTGTTGGCTTTTCGTCACCTTGGAACACCCAAACAGCCGACTGTCGATTATTTTCTGGTTCATAACAGTAAATCCACGATTCATCACCAATGCTGTACACATTTTTTGAGTTTCCGGAATTGAAACGTTCATGCATTTTTAGACACCAATTAAACCCGGCTGCTTTCTGCTCTTCAGTCAACAGGTGGTATCCAACGAAAAACTAATTTTCTTACTCCTAATTCTTCATGTAAAATTTTTTGAATTGAGGTCTTTGAGATCTTCACGCCTCAATCTCTCGATATGTCACATGTCTATCTTCAATGATGAGTTTGCGCACAGCATCGACGTTGCTAAGTCTCGTCCGTCCACGTTTGAATTCTCCGTACCAACGGGCAACTGTCGACTGATGTGGCGCTTCGTTGCCGAAAGCAGACAGTAACTCAGCAAGGCATTCTTGTTGCGATAATTGTGTCTGAAAGTTGTAATAAATTACGGCGCGAAAATGTTCTCGGTTGAGATCCATTTTTCTAATGACTTGGTGACACTTAAAAATTCACTGTAGTGAGAACACTGCACGTATTGTTGTGAAACTTTGAATTAAAGAGTGAGGTTAAGACTCGGTACTGACGTTCGATCCGCGCGGCGTACTATGTTTCTATATGCAAAATTTAAAAGACATCCCTCGTATAATTTTCAAAAATGATGCTGTGAACGATTATGCGCTTGCGCATTTGATAAAAAGTGTTCCAACACTGTTCGTTTTCGTGACTGGGTTTCGTTCCAACCATCAGTTTTGGAATCGTTCTGGCACAGTTTTGTTACGGTGAATTTGGCGCATGCGTAAAAAGCGCATCAAATGATACAAAACTTGTATATGCGCGTGAACCGAAGACCATTTTTGACACTTCTGATTGAAATAACTTTCAGGGAGGAAGCAGAACTGCTGGCTCGTGCCCTTGGATGTCGGCTGATCCAGACGTCTGTAAAGGAAGACCTGAATGTAGGAGCAGTCTTCAGACACCTGGCCGCGCAATGTCTCGCCGAACTGCATGATCCCAAAGACTTTGACTACTATCCACCTGCCCCGAACGCCTTCGGGCCCAACCACCTTACCATTAGTAAGTAGCTAGCTTAGGCCCGTATCGTCAGTCGTCCCTACAATTGTAGGGCGCCTTTATGGCCTCCTTGATTGTCATAGTTTTCTACTTCTCCGTGTCAGCGCTCTATTTTGAGGTTATGTCACAAACATCTATTTGCATCAAATTGTGCTTGTTTTTGAGTTATATCATGTTTTATCAGCCTGAAATTTCGTACAGTTTAAAAAGAAAACGTATCTTCACAATAACAAGCAAAGAGGCCATAAACGCGCCCTACAATTGTAGGGACGACTGACGATACGGGCCTTAATCTGTTGTTTAAAATTGGAGAACAACGTAGATGTTTCAAAGGTTCGCATTCGTCGTCGACGTGCCCTAAAGACACTTAAACAGGATACATTCATGGTGGTTCAAGTATAAAAGAAATGAAGTACAAGGCTCTATCTATTTCCCATGTAAAGCGTTCAGTGCTTACTTTATATCAAATCAAAAATATCATTGAGTATATTTTATAGTTAATAAATATCATATTTTTTTTTCAGGTGCCTTCAACCCTAGTCGATCGTCCAAAAACCAAAACGGAACGATAGTATTGAGACCGCCCAAAAAAAAGAAGAAAAACGTTTTGAAACATGCGTGTAGGCTATTGTAAATTATTGGTATAAGACTGCAAGCAATGTTGTATTACAAAATGCAAGCAAAACTTGTAAATATTATTAAAAATTGGAATCGCTTGATGTTGAAAATGGACTGTAAGAACGTTTCAACATCGGAATGCCGTTTGATAATGAAATTATATTGTATATTTTGTCACCTATAAGGCCAATCGGTGAAGTGCTAATATATTTTTAAATTTTATAATTTAATTTATATGTAATCAAACACCTGTATAATAGTTCTTCTCTATGAGTGTATACTAACATTTTTGTTTACTTGTATCTATTTTTAAACATAAAGAAAATACCTGTAATAAATGCATATTTCTCAAAGCGGTGCCTTTTTGTTCAACTTGGAGAGGTGCATAAATCGCGAGGTTCTGGACTACCTCAAACGTCACGGCTTAATTAGCGACAGGCGGTATCGTTTCCGGCACCAGCGATCCACAGGAGACTTCGCAGTTTAAGTCACGTACTTGTAAAGTAAACGCATCCACCTTATGGGGAGGCTCATGTCGTTGCTCTCGATATCACGAAAGCGTCCGATCAGCTGTGGCACGCTGCCCTCTTATGCAAACTTCCATCCTATGCCCTCCCAGAGAAGTTTTGCGGATGGGTGGCTTTCTCTCTAACCGCAAGATATCCGAGGTAATGGACGGGTTCTCTTCATCCCACAACGTCAATGCGGGTGTTCCCCAGGTCTTGGCTCCGACACTGTTCCTCTTACCTCCTTTCCTGTACGATCGATCCAATTCACATCTTTGCTGTTGACAGCACTCTACATGCAGGAAACAGAGCGACAAGCCGATCTCTGCCGGTGATTTGAAAAAAGACGTCTGCTTCCAAACCATAGTACTGTACCCTGACTAACAAAAGGCGATGGCCGAGTTCTGCTAAGCCAAAGAGCCGTTCATTTCGGATGATCGGGAGTCCAGATCACCACTATTTGTTAAGGGCTACGAAGTACTTTTCTCCGCACTCTATACAAAATCACTCGCAGTGGGTGGGATGAGTATCATGAGTATATAAAGAATAGGCAACTGAGAGACGCCTGCCCTAATAGATACGTGGAATACGAAACCTTAATTGTGTCCCTGGGGCCGTTCAAGTATTACACGAACACTATGGGGGGCGGGGGGATATTTGCTTTGCTTATTTTGGATGACATGGGGGGTAGGGGAGTCTAGATGATGATTACGTCATCGGTAGTTATTTACTTTTTTACACGAATGGCCACCCTCACATTGTCTTCTTGAATACGAAACGCATTTTCGGGGATTCCCGCAAATAATGCATACGTTTAGTGAACACGGCGCGGTAATTCCCCTACTCGCTTTAGAACCGAGTAGGGGAATTACCGCGCGGTGTTCGCTTGTCTAAATTTCCTCTATCAGTGTATAGTTTCGTTTGGATACTATAGCGAGTAGACGTATTGTAAGCATAGTAAAGCAAGTTAACATTTGTGTTACCATTGATTCCATTAATGTTTAAATACTCGTAAGATGTCGTTTCACATAGACAAATCCAAGTTATACCAAAAATTGTTTGAAAGTTTTAAAAAATCTCATACAAGTACGAAAGTACAAAATGTACAAAAGTTAGTTAACGAAGTGAATTGCAAGCGGCGACTAAATCTACTAATTTTTTTTTCTGAGGTGAGTGACGAAATCATTTTAGGTACCTATGAGTACTAGAAATATTAGAAATCTCCAAAAAGTGTCTCTTTACTGATTAGAAAATATTATGGCCTATCTCAAAGTATAGAGGTAATATTCATTATATTATTATAGATTTATTTCTTATGATTGATTCCGTCAATTGGTCACAAAGTACAGGATGTTAGTTTTATACATATATACAGAAAACTAACACCGTGTATTTTGTGACCGGAACGAATTGCTCGTTTAAACATATTAGATTTAAAGCCATGGGGTTTTGTATTTACCATATATGTTGCCATACTTTGTATTTATGTAGCTTAATAAGAGAATCTTTAGCAGAAGCCATAGAAAGTTTTTATTTTTAGGCAACCTGTAAACCTGCAGAAAAAACACAAATTACACAGTCAGCTTCAAATATTAAAAAAGAGGAAGAAGATAAAATAAAACCCGGTAATGAATCACAACAGCAATGCGAAATTAATGAAAATACAGATAAACATATAGCAAAACCTTCTCAGGAAGCTATGAAAATTAAGATTGCTCTACTCGAAAAAAACCTGAATGCTTTGTATTCTGCCAGAGATACTATGCCAAGCCGTGCTGAAGTTGATAAACAGATCATTAAGTTGCGCGAGGAAACAAAAACAGCAAAACAGTCTTTAAACAGGAAGGTACAAGACGCAGTTGCCCAGAAGAAACACAGGGATGGTATGAAAAGAATGTTAGAAGATATTTGTCATGAAAATCCAGAAATAAAAAAAAGACTATCTCTGAGGGACTCAGTGGGACGTCCTAATCTTGAAAGCAATCAACATTCACTATTGAAAACAATCGCGGATATAGCTTTATTTGGGAGTGCAGCAGATGATAGAAGACGAACGGAATCAATTCGCAGCGTAAAAACTCTTGATGAACTCACACAAGAATTACGTAAAATAGGATTTGGCATTAGTCGCAGTGGGACATACCTTCGTTTGATTCCCAGAAAATCTAATTCTGCAGAGGGACGAAGACATGTATAGACAGTCCCTGTTAAGCTCATTCGGGCTCAAACTGAGCCACTTAGATAGCAAGTTCGCTGAAACATCAATCCATTATTTAGAGAACATAGCATCCATACTTGGACCAGATCAAGTATTTTTCATATCTCAAGATGATAAAGCTCGAGTCCCTATTGGCGTAACTGCGGCAAATAAGCAAGCACCTCTTCTAATGCACATGGAATATAGAATCAAATTGCCTGATCACGATTGGGTAATCGCTGAGCGTCAGAAATTAATACCATCTGTTTATGCTGGTATCAAAATCACTTCCAATATGCTAGGACAACCGCAAGCCGTTGGATATTCTGGACTAACATACATCGCTATTCGAAGTGGAAAGCATAGTTCATCTACTGCTAACACTCATGCTCAGGATTTCGAGACGCTTCTCGAACTTGAAGAGTTTCGACCATTAGCTAAAACTGACCATGGACTAGTAAAACCAGTGGTAATCATGACTGTTGATGGAGTGCCAGATGAAAATCCACGTTATCAAAAAGTCATAGGGTTTGCTATACAACGTTTTAAGCGACATGGTCTCGATGCATTGTTTTTAGCTACCAAAGCTCCTGGAAGAAGTGCGTATAACAGAGTAGAGCGCAGAATGGCTCCTGTTAGTCGGGAACTGGCTGGTTTAATATTGCCTCAGGACCATTTTGGGTCTCATTTGGATGAATGTGGCGTTACAATTGATGAAAATTTAGAAATATCTAATTTCGAATTTGCACCGACGAGACTTTTAACTAAGAGCAAAGGTCCACCGGACCGCTCTGACGAATAGTAGGACTTCAAATGTGACAGTGACTTTAGTCATGCGTCATTATAGTTTTTTTAGGCCTCCACCACATGGATAAATTCTTGCGATTATCAATCAGAAACACCCTAAATTCCAGTGAATGTATCCAAACTAGCCCACATCCATGTTGTTGAAAGTAAAGCCGTTAATGGGAAACACTAAAGAAATAGAAGTAGAACCCACCGATACTATACTCACAATAAAACAGAAGCTAGAAACAGAATTCGAAAAGCATCCCACATCACAGCAGCGATTAATGTATGAAGGAAAATATTTGAAAAATGAAAAGTCCCTCGAATATTACAGAATCAAGAACGGAGCATCAATAGCTTTGGTGAAAGCACTCAGAACTGCTTGAATTTGAAATGCAAGCCTATTATGAGCAATGATAATGTTTGTATTTTGGGCAACCATACTATTGCTATACTCATATTTCTTCATACTTGATTAAAGAAAATTTGGTTTCGAAATTGCTATTTTGTTCAAATTGCAAAGGTATGAAGAAACGCCGGACGGATTTATGTCTAATAGGGGCGTAGAATTACTGGGGTTGGAGGTATATACGTATACCAACCTCAAAAGTATACCCTGCAACTCCCAATTTTTAACCTCTACAATTTTTTACCGAAAAGCATCAGGACCCTCTGGAAATTAAAAAATCTATGACGTATTCTATTTTTTAGTTTTTTGCCTTTTCCTACGCCACCACTGGACAGATTTTTGAAACCTCCAAAGGTTTTTTGTAGTGCATAGTAGTAACTTTATGTGAAAAGTTCGTCGAAATCCAAGCGTCACTTTCCAAGTTATAGACGGTCCAAGCATTAGCGGACAGACAGATCAACACAGACAGACAGACCGACTGACAGGTAAAGTAGACGAAAACGATATTGGATTCGCTTAGTTTTTTGCCGATCGTCATTAAACGGCTATAAAACCGGGAACGGTACGGGTTACACGTATCTTGAAAAGTGACATTATGCCGATTTGTTTTTTTTTGACATTATGCTTTTTTTTGACATATAGGTTATTCTACAAGATGTTAACTTAGCACTTAGTTGTACGTGTTGCCTAAACGTCATGAGGCTTGTTATCAATCTTTGGCTTTTGGCTTTGATTTGCTGTAAAATCTGCTTCTGGGATGGCATTAGTGGAGGTCTAAGCTGTAAGTTGTATGTGTTGATGATAATTACAACATATAAATAACACTGATCAACAGCCAAGAAATATCCTAAATAAAATCAACAAAATATTACTATTTTTAATGTACTAAAACCGGAATGAAACTTATTTTTTCAATATTAGTTCAAGTTTTAGAGATACGGTATTTATATGTGTTCCTGCTGTGAGAGTGTTAATATACTGTAATTCAGAAGAATGCACGTGTTACATTTTTATATTCGGCAAGGAAAGATGATGTAATCGGCATGATTGTGTTACGTTATACATACGTGTACATTATATTGTTTTATATTAGCCATTTTTTCCTCAGTTGACTGACAGCGTTCATGCAAGATGTCTCGAAAGTGTGTAAACAATCCAGATCAGTTTTGTTACGTGTGTCGTGATGTGACTTTTGCGTCTCAGAGACGGTCTATTACTCCACTAATAACAAAGGCATATCAGCTTTATTTCGGTTGTAAACTAGGTGATCAAGACAAACAGTTGGCACCCCACATCTGCTGTAATACATGTGCTTCAAGTCTGAGGAGCTGGTTAAATGGCAAAAAACGGTCTATGCGCTTTGCTGTCCCAATGGTTTGGAGAGAGCCTACAAATCCAATGGTGTATTTTTTAATTCACCGGTTGAGCAACCGGTGCCACCGGTGGACCAGACATCTGTCCTTTTAATTCAACCGGTTGCTGCCATCACCATACAAAGCTGTCAACAGTGTCAACCATAAGCAGGGCATCCATCAGTGGTGGAATCAACCGGTGAATTAAAGAATCCACCTATATTAATGATTGTTACTTTTGCATGGTACCTTGTGTTGGACAAGCCACAGGTATGTCCAAGACAAAAAAATCGGTTATTAACTACCCAAACATACCATCTGCGATTAGACCTGTGCCTCACAGTGACGAAAATCCTATTCCAAAACCCCAGAATCCTACACTTTCGAATCAGAAAACGAATCAGATCATGGCGATCGAGTGACTCGTCAGGAAGAAGATATGCCTTCAACGTCAAGAGATCCTGATTTTATACCGAGCACGTCATGCCACCAACCGCACAAAATAACACAGTCAGAATTAAATGATCTTGTAAGAGATTTAGAACTTCCAAAATGTAAGGCAGAGTTACTTGGATCAAGACTGCAGCAGTAAAACTTGTTAGAAGACGATGTTTCGGTATGTGTTTTTCGTAAACGCCACAAAGACTTAGAACCATTTTTCAATATGGAGAATAACTTGGTTTTCTGCAGTAACATTAACGGCTTACTGGCGGCTTAAAATATAAACTATAACCCAGAAGAATGGAGATTGTTTATAGACAGTTCAACATTGAGTTTAAAGGCAGTGTTATTGCATATTGGAAATATTTTACCATCTCTTCCTGTAGGGTATGCAGTTCACATGAAAGAATCATATGACAATATGAAGTACCTATTGACATGCATAAAATACGATGAGCACCAATGGCATATTTGTGGCGATTTGAAAGTTGTTGCACTTTTACTTGGGCTGCAGCTAGGCTACACAAAGTTTTGCTGTTTTTTGTGTGAATGGGACAGTCGGGCAAAGGCACTTCATTACACCAGACAAAACTGGCCTGTTCGTCAATTCCTAGAGCCAGGTCAAAAAAATGTACAGCATATGCCATTAGTAGATTCGAAAAAAATTTTATTACCACCACTGCATATCAAGTTGGGCCTAATGAAAAACTTTGTCAAGGCATTAGATAGAGATGGGTCAGCTTTTCAATACCTGCGTCAGAAATTTCCAAGACTAAGTGAGGCAAAGGTTAAAGAAGGTATTTTTGTTGCGCCACAGATTCGAAATATTTTGAAAGATACACAGTTTGAAAACACTTTAACAGGTATTGAAAAACTTGCTTGGAATGATTTCCGTCTGGTGGTCACTAATTTCTTGGGAAAAGCTGACAACTATAAAACCCTTGTCAAAAATATGCTGTCATCGTATCAAAAGATGGGCTGTAATATGTCTCTTAAGATACATTTCCTACACTCACACCTGGACTTTTTTCCTGACAATTGCGGAGCCGTAAGTGATGAGCACGGCGAACGTTTTCATCAGGATATTTCAACAATGGAAAAAAGGTACCAGGGAAAGTGGAATCCTTCCATGCTTGCAGACTACTGTTGGACTCTTGGTAGAGATGCTCCAGAAACGATCCATTAAAGAATACAGCAAAAAGACAGCGCATATAGTGATTCTTATAAGTATATGAATCTTGTTACTTTTTTTAATATATCCTTAAAAATAAAAAGTTTTTTTTCTAAACCGCAACTAATTTTTTTATTTCATTGTCATTTTTGGATTCAGCGCCCCAAAATTAACAAAGAAGTGCACTTTTCCCACAAGATACAATTAAAAAACTAAAATTTGTTGTCCAGTGTAACAGGTCATGTTTGGCATATTCAGTAATGATTTTCTCACACAGCAAATATCACTGATTTCATACACGTGCAGACAAATACACATAATCATCCAGTTGCGATCTTGCTATTCAACCAACTTTCTTCTCAGAGATAAAAACTACAGACCCGGATCACTCAGCCTCACAAGACTATGCAACCAATAATGCGTAGTTTAGTTGAGTGACTCCTCCATAGATGGACGTTCACAAAGATTCTAGTGAGCAAACGTGGAATGACTGTTTGCGCCCTAAAAACTACCTAGTGTCGGAGGCATGAGGACAGAGACGGATCTGAAAATGTTCTCTTGCAAGTCTGGATGAGATGAGCGTTGACTGAATCAAATTGTTGAAGTAACGTTGACTGTTATTGTAATTAATTATCCTGACATTAGTTAAATATTCATACTATTAACCAAAATATACATACAAGGTGATTACTTCCCACCACGGATTTATCGAAAATAACTGATCAAAAGAAAAAACACCGAGGCACGTCAAAAGATTTGTCAAGAGGGAAAACTTTTTAACCAAAAACTACTTCACCCCTTTTCACGCTCTGCCCCCGAGGGTCATCCCCTTAAATATTTTAAATAACAAGGGGTATCGAGTATTAGCTTTTTTGAAAGGTCTGTCAAAGTTCTTTATTTTGACGTGTGATTTTTTTAAATCGGTCGATTCGTTTTCAAGAAAATTAGAAAAATCTTTATTTACTATCAATTACCTTTGAGACAATATTGCGATAGCGAAAATTGATTTATTGATTCAGATTTGTTGGGAAGTTTTCGAATGAATACCCTGTATATATTTATGTAAGTGTATAATTGATTCAATGCCACGCACAAGAATTCATTCTTCTGTGGATAATTGTAGTTTATTTACGTATAAGTATGTTAGTTTTAGATATATGTTTGTTCATTACGTAAATAAAATTATTATTATTATTATAAGTACCTAAACGAATATCTGAATCAAGATATTTAATAATAAAACATTATTTTATTTGTATGATAAGGACATTTATCGCAAAATAAGTTGAATCACCCTCTATCTATATTCAATGTATGCCGTCTAGGATAAGTCACGCATTTTTGTGTCACATGTGTTGCTGTTGTCATCTTCATCATCCATTCATTGACCACCGTCAGCAAAATCATTAAATTTTTGTATCTCGTAATAAATCCATGTTAGTGAAGGTAGGTCATTTTTCTACATATTAGCAGATTATCTTAAATACAGACTTTTGCTCAAATTTCGATATGCCACCGCATAAATAGAAAATCGAGCCACATTACCAAAAATAATTACTGCTCTTCAGAGGTCCCTCGGTTTGATCTGAAAATGCGCTCAACGTTTGGAGAATCTGCAAAAATGTGAATTTTGGCGTTTTGGTAACCTTTCCATTTTCTCGCTACTCCTATCATTGGGAAGCATTAGGTATTTTATTCATCTTTATAGTACACTTAAAACTCCATCCTTTTCAATTACTGCACTCGGCACGGGTATCACGTATCTTGAAATGTGACATTAGGCCGACTTTTTTTGACATTATGTAAAGGTTTTTCTACAAGATATTAACTTAGCAGTTAGTTGTACGTGTTGCCTAAACGTCATGACGCTTGTTATCAATCTTTGGCTCTGATGTGATGTAAAATCTGCTTCTGAGATGGCATTACTAGAGGTCTAAACTGTAAGTTGTATGTGTTGATGATAATTACATTACATTACACTTTTTCTTATCCATTCTGGAAATTACATATACAAACTTGCTGAATTTCAAAAATGAGAGAGATAAGAAATAATTATATTCACTGTACACTGAGAATTACAAGCCATTTACATGCTAACAGTAATTACACACAACGCGGGTGCGGTGATTTCCCGTAATTCTCCTGTTTTTCGTAATTTATAACTTTTAACTAGTGACCGACCGAATCTTGATGTTCAGCCGAAACCGAAACCGGAACCGAACCTTCGGCTTCCGTCCTGGTTTCGGCCGAAACCGAAACAGAAACTTTCCTTTGACTTATGGGCAGCAGCGGTGGCCGCAGTAGTAGACTCTTCGGTCTCCTGATCAGTCGCCGTGCGCTGTGCGGGTTGGAATCCCGTCCCAGGAGAAATTTTTCTCTTTTCTATGGATGTTGTGATTGTCCGTAGGTGGTAGACGGTATCTGACTGTCGAACGCGGAGGTACCACCCGACGGATTTCGTAGGCGGGGCCAGAATGTGTGCATGTTGCATGCACACGTGTTCCCTCGTCAGAGTCCGTGTGGCGTTCCCCCTGACCCCTGTATCCCCCTGTAGCCCCACAGTACCCCATGGGTGTTTAGGCCTTAGACCTTCGTGGTAGTTGGAGTATAAAAAAAAAGAATGAGGATGTACATGATTCTTCGATTTTACAGGTTTACCAAGTTATTAAAGGTCTTTGAAAACGTATCTCCCATAATGTATGTTTTTCTTGTTCAGTAAGGTTAGGTACTTGAAAAAACACAAAAGTTAATTTTTGAAATAAAAGAATGTATTCCATTAACATGTTGGTAGTTGAAATACTAGAATAATATAACAAAACGAATCATAAATAAATATCTATTATCTATTACATTGCACTTTATGAAAACAAACATGTATGTCCTGTAACTTCCATAAACATCACCAAAACAACTAAAAGTTTTTAACTCAAAATAGATTTTCTATATAGAAATTGACAATAAACTAGTAAACATAACCAAAAAGCCTTATATTATATGATAAAAAAAGTAGTTTTTCTGCATTTTCTCCTAGCAAATTGCTTCGCCGATCTGCATATATTTGCCCAGCAGCACTGAACATTTGCTCGCTGGGGATACTGGTCGGTGGTGCAGACAGGTATTTCAACACCGCTTTCCTCAACGTCGGGTAGGGGCTGGAGTTCCAATAAGAAAATATGTCGGCATTCCGCTGTAGTCGCGGCTCCGACAAATAGCACTCGATTGTTTGTTTTAGTATAGAAGTTTCATCATATCCATTATTATCACATGGTGTACCGCCGGGGTTATCGTCATGGGTATCCCAAAGACTTTCGTCTTGTTTCTGAATATTGGATTCAACCAGCACTGGTTCTGCATCCGATGTCAACAGCATTGGGAGTTAGATACTTCGATTTGAAACGTGGGTCCAGCAATGTTGCTGCAATTAACGATGGATGCTCTTTCAAGAGGGACATTCTTTGGTTCATTGTCTCATATAACCGATTTTTCGTCATTGTCATACCCTCATCTTCGTTTTCCATTCGAGCTTGTAAATTCCGATTGAGTAACGATATTAGAGGTATGATTATAGAAATACAAGCGTCATTCAATGATAAATCAAGGGTGGCTTCGTAAAAGAACTTCAATACTTCGACGAGTCGCTTCATAATTTCCCATTCGGTGGGACAAAGGGTATCTATTTTACCATGCTGAACAGTGTAGAGGTTTATAGCATTTTTTTGCTCTAACAGCCTCTGAAACATCAAATAGGTACTGTTCCATCTTATATCAATACTTTGAACCAGAGCATGTTCTGGCAGCCCGCATTGGATTTGGCATTCTTTCAATTTTCTTGTCGCTGGTTCACTGTGGTGGAAATGGCCTACTATCTTCCGACATTTTTTTATAATTTCTGTGGTGTCTTCATCAGCAAATAACGATTGCTTGATCACTAATTGCAGCGTATGCGATACACAGCCAAGAGACTCATAGTGTCCTGTCCGCATTGCACATGCCATATTTGCGGCATTATCACGCAACACTAAAAAAATCTTACAATTTAAGTTCCACTCATTGATCATTTCCGTAAATTTTCGTTCAATGTACTGACTAGTATGGTCTTGTTCCATAACAGCTACGCCTAATATAACTTTCAGGCGTTGATGCTCTATAATGAAATGACCTGTGAGACTGAGAAGGGAACATGATTTGCTAGTGTTGGTCCATATGTTGGCAGTCACACTTAACCAATCGGATTTTGCGATTAATTTTTTGACTTTAGCCTTTACTCGTTCGTAAGTTTGCGGCATTAATGTTGTTCGGAAAAATTTTTCACTCTTCAGTCTATATTTATGAAAAGCATCAGGATCAGCAAAATTAAGTCTTTGGAATGCTTCACCACTGACCAACGAATACGGCAACATATCGACAATCATCAAATCCATAATCGCTTTGTCTATTCTCCGTGAAATTTCATGATCATCTGGCCATTGTACACATTTAGGTCTAGCCAAACTCGGAATGGTCGACTGGACCAGGGTAGGTTGATTACCCTTATCAGTTTCTAAAACCGCTAGAGAGACTTTAGTTCGTTTTTGTATGTTTAGTTCATTTTTTATGTTCTCTAATTCAGACTGCCGCTTTAAAACTTGTCTGTGTTCTGTGCCATGGAACTTACTTAAATGCTGCTTCACTCCATATAGTGTTTGTTTTTTGGGTTCTTGACCTCCTAATGAGAGCGACTTTTTGCAGATTTTGCAAACTGCCTTAGATAAATCATTTGCGCTCTATTCAAAAAACTGCCAAATAGGATTTCTTTCTCTTTGAGACATTTCTATCTGAAACAGATAATTTTCAGTTTTCACTCGATAATCAAATATAAATTGAACTAATATTATTGATCTTCATTGTAATTATTCATTAATTACAGTAAAGTTTTATGAGCTTTTCTTTGCTGTTACTGAGATAATTGTGTAATATTCTACGCGTATGACCTACTGCAGAACCTGGTGTAAACTGATGATTTATTACTCTCCCTCTTATTTCGAAATAGAAATTATCAATAATTATAATATAGTATATCCAGAATACATAATTACTAAATACTTACCTTTATTTAATACGCACACTACCTAATAAATGTAACAAATGCGTGACCAGCTTGTCGGCGAAGATCAAGTGACGTGATGAAACGCGTACGGATACGAAGCGATCGCCCGACTACAACCGGACATATCCCGAGACCTTACGATCGTATGTGTCGGCCAAGCCGAAAGTTTCGCCCAATTTGCTGCCGAAACCGGAACTTCGACCGAAACCGGTTTTTTGGCCGAAACTTGGCCGAAACCGAATCCGAAACCGAAACTTCGGTCGGTCTCTACTTTTAACATAACCCCTCTTCAGAAAGCACAACATATGAATAAGCCGTCATATTCAGCATATTCAGTAATGATCTTCTCACACAGCAAATATCACTGATTTTATACACATGCAGTCCAATACACATAATCGTACAGATGCGATGTTGCTATTCAACCAACTTTCGTCTCAGAGATGAAAACTACAGACCCGGATCACTCAGCCTTACAAAACTATGCAACCAATAATGCTTAGTTTAGTTGAGTGATTCCTCCTTAGATGGACGTTCAGAACGATCCTAGTGAGCAAACGTGGAATGACTGCGCCCTAAAAACTACCAAGATGACATCTTATAGGTTTTTTTTGCCGTTTTATAGGTTTTTTACATGATACCCATGCGTTTTTCGTATTATTTGAAATTATCGTTTGTTAGGTAGTCACGTTAACGGGTGAAGAGCGTATGATAGAAGTCCAACCATCAGACAAAATCTTGACAATCAAAGAAAAGCTAGAAGAGAAAGAGGGTATACCACCTGAACAACAGAGATTGATATTCCAGGGGAAACAGCTAAGAGACGACAAGACAGTCAACAGTTATAAATTAAAAGGTGGAACTATGCTTCATTTGGTCGTGGCACTCAGAGGAGGCTTGGGCCCTTAAGATCGAACTTAAGACTGTTTTCATCACCTATGATGTAGAATAAAAAATAATCAATTATGTTGGTGTCTTATTCCAAAATTAAAATAGTTTGGGCATTTAGGAAAAATAAATACTTGAACTGTGACTGAAATAATGATCCATGGATGCCAGCTTTTCGCGGAATCAAGCAGCCATTGCAAAGAACATACAGTGTAGTACCAAAACGGAAAACATTGTACACCACTGCTAATCCTCGCGTACCGACTGTACTGATTTACGCATGGCGCGTTAGCAGTAGCGTGCGAAGTGTTGTTCTTCTCTCTTCCGTTTTGGTGTCAGAGTTTAGTCGCTTCCAGAAGTACAGCGAAGTTACTCATCGAATGTTTTTTTTCTCTTGATAAAAAGCAAAAATCTCTTGTCTAATTATTCTTAGTAACTAACCTATCGAATCGCTCAAGGTTTTATTTTTAGAGGTACTACCCCCTTCAACTATAAATGGAACTTTCGCATCCAGTTGAGTCTGACAAACACATTATTTAAACAACCTGCTATAGTATTTCACGCAGTTTCATGTTTCTTTGTCAGATGACTTAGTGTCAGCGGCCGATAGGCAAATACCTATACGATATTCTGTTCGCCCAAAAAACCTATCAGGTTGATTCAATTTTCAACAGGGTAAACAAATCCTGTATTGAATTTTACACATAGAGAAAGTAACGTAGAAAACCGAAGGTTGCCGTTTATCTGCTCTCGTAATCTCGGAAACGGTGTAGCCCTTATTCTAAAAATATAAAATTTCCAAAAACAACTGGCAATTTTCTAACACACAAACGCGGGAACGAAGTCACTTATTGGTTAATAAAAAGTTAGTCATAGTGGGGCAAATCTTTAATTTTTGTAATAAGTTGCTACATTAGTTGAAAGCCAAACATACAGTGTTTATGAATGCTACCACTTTAACTACGACATAGTAATGCTATAAGTCAACAATTATATTTTATCAATACTAAATGAGCAACTGGCATTATTCAAAAGCGCTGAAAGAGCTACAGTTCCACGAGCGCTCTTCCGTATATAATTAGCTAAAATTAACTGCAAAATATATTTGGGAAACTATCATAAAGCGGAACAATGTGGTTGTTCCTCAAAACCAAAATAGTTACTTCAACACTATGGTAATTACTGACTACCGATTTATTCTAATCAACAACTTTTTAAAGAGCTAACAAATCATATCACAGAACATTTAATATCCCACTGCAACACTTCTTTAATATCAATCTTAAAAACGTTCCAAAAATACATAAAAAAACTGAAATGAAAATGCATACAAATTTATTAACTTCACGCTATGTTAGCAAAGGCTTTTTTCATTACGATTACCACCCACAAAAAACCTTGTAACACTGACTAAAAAGGTACATCTTAGTATTTTATTTATTGCCAGTATCCAATAGTTACATCTAATTTGTACTTTCTGCCTTGTGTCCCATATTCGATCAACCGCAAACACAAACTCAGAATTCCGTATTATAGACATTCTACAGTGCTTTTCAAAAACGTTCTACCTACTTATTTTTTGACCGCGTCAGGTTAGCAAGTTGAATTACGGAATGTTTGAAAATTTCAAGGTGGCGGCAAGACGCCATCTTGGAACATTTTTTAATGGAAAAGTCAGATATGTTATTTCGATTCTCTTTATGAGAACCTACTTCATTACATTAGAACATGAAATCGCTATCTTTCGAGATGACAGACAGGCAGGCTGACATATGAGCCATTCCGTTAAAAAGGTTATTTTGATGATTTATTGTCGAGTTAGAATCGATTCAATGTACAACATGGCGCTTTGCGATGACTTATTACAATCCCCTCAAGTTTGACAACCTCCCAGTCCGATAATTTGAAAGATAGCAATTTATATCGTAGAGTTATAAGGAGCTTCAAAATGGAGTATCCGGTGACCCGATATTCCATTTAAAAATGCTCCAAGATGGCGCTCAGCCGCCACCTTGAAATATTACCTGTTCATTATCCCGAATATCAGCTTGCTAACCAAATCCGTTCAAAGATAAGAAGGGGCCGTTTTGTAGAGCACAAATTAACAATAATTATATAAAATATTTTGAAATCAAACGTCAAATGTCACACGTGGTGTACTCATAAGTAGATAAATTTACAAACGATATGCACATAGATATGGCCATCTTTAAATTAAGTAATCATTCTTATTTGATATGAGATAAAGCTCTTGAGTACCCAAAAAAGTAGCTAGTAATAGTCGAATATTTCACTTTATGTAGTGATAGATATTTTGCCTTTGCTCGCGGAGATAGAAGTTTGCTTGAAAACTCTACCAATATTAAAGCCCATTTTCTATTGCAGTTGGTTGTTTGACTACCTACATAGGCGTAGATTAATATGGGGATTCGCCCTAACTAATGTTTTAACAATATACAAATAGACAATCAGGTTAAAGAGAGTAATATCCCTATCAAAAATGAGCAACTAGATATGGATACTAGGTGCAGGCAAAATATTGAGCCTGAAGCCATCTATAAAATATCAAACATATGTTCAAAAGACATCACTTATCTGGCACGTACTCGTGTATACTGGTGTACCCACTATATTTGAGGAATGAGTTTATCTAAAGGGAATCAGTTGGAGAACACATGTTTTTATATATGCATTTCCCGAGTTGCCATCTCGAAAATCGACTATCTGGAAGATATTTGCTACAATCTAGTTATTGCGAGCCCTTATCGCTGTATTTTTTATCGTCGGTAAAATGAAATAGACCTTTCACGTATTTTATAATTTGATTCCACGATGCATGTAAGATATCCACCACGTTAATAATTTAGTTAAAACGCAGTTTGATTGGAACAATTTGCGATAAATAAAACGGTCAATAAATTCTGAAAATGTTTGATATCTTCTCAATGGAATTATCACAGTCGCCATCCACTTCAAATGCATAAGTATCACCAATGTCTCCTCTACGCCTTGACGGCAGGCATGGTGCATTAATAATAATTGAAGACTCCAACATATCCAGTTCCAGTTCTGTGCAATATTTAACTGAACTGAGTTCAAGAAATAAACCAAAGGTGACACCCCACTTACGGGTAGCTTCTCCAATCGCAAATGTTATCGCCAACCTGTCATATAGGCGTGCAATTTGAGTTTACCTTTTGCTGGTCTTAGTAATATAAAACAGGAATGCCTGAAAATACTACTAGCGGACAATAACAGTTTTTGCTAAATTTATTGGAGTATTTCCAGAAAGCAAAAATCCCTTAGTATCATATGTGGAAGATCAGCAATTTTTCCACGAGAGTTGAGCTCCGTCATGGTACAGTTGGTCGATCTGTTTACTTATTTCTTATGAAATTGATGACAGCCACCAAAAACCATGAAAAGACCTATACATACGTGCACGTACTCCTAATGCTTGCACCAAGTCACGGTTAAGATTTTGGATTGTACGAGGGTTGCTTGCTGTGAGGATTGGTAGAAGCAAGCAGGGGAACCGAGAACAAAAAGTAAGAAAAAATCAAGGTCAACGTGAAAACAATGTTGATTGCTTTCTTTGATTCTCGGGGCATTGTTCACCATGAATTTGTCCCTCCCGCAGAAGTTTTGCGTAGTCTCAGAGCTCTTGTGGCACAAGGTGGCAGGTGGATCCTTCATCACGACAACGCGCTTGCTCACACGTCTCTCGTTGTGCGTGAGTTTTTGGCCCGAACTCAATCATCGTAACATAACACCTGCCTTATTCGCTCGATTTAGGCCCTCGCGACTTATTCCTGTAAAATGCAAAATGGTGCTTCGAGGGTGACACTTGGGAGAAGTGGAAGCCACCAAGGTAGAAACGACACGGCAAATGAAGAGCCTCGCAATTGAAGACTTTCAGCGATCGTATCTACAGTGGAAACGGCGTAGGAGACGTGCACCTCGTGCATTAATTTTAAAATGCATAAAAAGGATGTGACTATAAGCAACAGAGGTAATTCTCCATGTTTTTTGGCCATTATTAATTTCTCAGTATACAATGAATAGCAATGGATATAACTGAAAACTGATGACATCATGACTAATCCATTCTAGTATTTATTACATTCGAACAAAAAGCTTAAAATTTTTTCATAAAATATTTGTGTTTTATCTTCACTTGACACTATAAAAAGTGTAGGCCACCAAATAATAATCATGCTCATACATGCTTTTATTTACAAATTTGTTACTAATAAATTCAAAAAAATGTAAAATAACTTATAATTATCAGAAAAAAATTTACTTAGAAAAGTTTGCTTGACTAGTAAAAGTTTGGGAATCCCTCAGAGGGACCTGCATACAAGGAATGCTTTAGTCATACCCTTAACTTAAAAAAAATCTATCACAACTGAGCCATCTTTTTGATTCAGCACAGCAAGTGCATAGGGTTTCCATAAAGTCCAAGCACTCTCTCTCAGGGTCTGGATTCTCATCTTCACACTGGACTTCGCCTTCAACATTACTGCCTGTTCTCCTCAATCTTGTTGTTTTTTGTATTAATATATTTTCAAGCTCATTTTTTTGACATGAGGCATTATCCTAAATATTAAAAGTTTGGGAATCCCTCAGAGGAATGCTTTAGTCATACCCAAAACCTTAAAAAATCTATCACAACTGAGCCATCTTTGAACTTCCTGAAAAATTAGTAGTTGAATTTACATAATTACTTTGACTCAGCACAGCACGTGCATAGAGTTTCTATAAAGTCCAAGCACTCCTTCACCCTCTCAGGGTCTGTATTTTCATCTTCACACTGGACTTCACATTCAACATTACTCCATGTTCTCCGCAATCTTGTTGTTTTTTGTACTAAATCAAAGTATGGCCCATTATCAAATATATTTTCAACATCAGCTTTTGGATCGAGGGCATTATCCTCAAGATTTGAGCTAGCAGTGCCTCCACCTCTATTAGTGGACATAACTTTGAGGGCAGAGATGGATTTTGCTTTAGGTTGTGATACACTTTGTACAACATTCTTGCTAACCAAAGCTTCACCTTTATCTGATTTAATGCTTGCATTACTAGAAAAAACAGTTAGTGCAACATCTTCCATTTTTTGCACACAATGTTCAATTTCCTCTTTCTTTAGGGTGTCTGTGAAAGAGTATGGTGGGGCAATAGGTGGTTGTACTGGAGGCCTATACTGATAGGGCTCTTCACCTTCCAATTGCAGGGGATAGGTAGTGTCAGAATCAAAAGCACTGACATCTCCACACACAACGAACGGTATAATGGTACGATTGATGCCTAAAAATAAGAAATAACTACTTTAGGGGGGTTTATATCTTAGAACCAAGGCAGCTGGATATTTTTATACTCTTATTTAGGTTTATAATGTGTTGACTGATAGAGGAATGGTTAGCAAAGTTTTTTAATCATTTTGTTTTTTGTAGAAATTGTTAGAGTGATTCCTCAATTTTACTCTGAATTTTGTCAAAGTATTCTGGTTTTTTATCTCTATGTTTTATTTTTATTTATTATATTCAATCAACCCTTGATAAAATACAGATTTGTAACATATACTCTTTGGACATTAGTTGAAAGTTATCTTTATTTTGGATATTATGTAAATCATGGCCTGCATTGGATGATGTCAATTTAATTAGACATAGTGGAAATATATCATTTTTACTTTATAACTGAATATCATTATAAGATATTTGATAAAATGTTTCACATTGAGCCATTTTAATTTGCTAAGCATTTGTCCAATTGGACTACATTTATCTTTATTCTGTATTATTCTCATGCACTTGTTTTGTAAAATTTGCAGCCTTTCAAAATTGGGATTATTAGCTAAACATAGAACAGTCAAACATGACAAGAAATTTGGAAGAACGACAGTATTATATGAACACAGACATCCAAAAACTCCAGATAAACTTCCCAGTTTACAATATTCGCATAATGATGAATATCAAAATTTAATTGAGAGTCAACAAGACATTTAAAATTTTCTATGTATTCAAAATATCTTCACCATCCGTAATTGAACTTCAGGTTTTACCAATTAATATAGTTTTCATTTCACTTGTATGTAATATTTGAGTCTGTTAGATACTAACCATTTTGAAACAAGTTGCAAGTCTTCATTTATACAGGGTGTAAACGTTATGCTAGTCATTATTGAAATGGGTGACAGGGTGGTCAAAACAAGTCAAAAAGTTCATATCACCCATGGTCCAAAAGTTTTAGTCTAAGTGCTTTATATCGACCACAATCACCGCAATCTTACTAATTTTTATAATCTAATCTAAAACGTTTTTAAATTGGGTAATTAACAAATAAATGGCATTAAGTTATTCTAAGTTAAGCCAAAATTTGTAGTCAGTAAGTTTCATTAAATTAAATATTTAAAACACACATGACAACAGCGCGTCGTCATCACTCTTATCGAGCCGGCAATCGATCGCAAACGGTAACAGTGGTTAGTTATCGGGCATCGGGCGTGTTTTGTTTTTGTTCGCGTACTCCTGTTTGTTCTCGAATCAAGAGTTCGCCGACATGTTGTTAGTTTACGGTGAGGCTCGTTGGAATTCAAATCTTGCAGCTCAAATTTATCGTGATAGATTTCGCCAACGGGTACACCGACAGAAGGATATTTGTGCCAGTGTACCAAAGACTTCGAGATACAGGAAGTGTTCAGCCCACTAATATTCGCACTCGTGAAAGACAGGTTACTGTAGAGCAGGAGGAACAAATTTAGTCCATAGAATCCTACGGGAAAATTTGCTTTATCCCTACCATGTACAACGAGTGCAGGCCTTGTTACCAGAAGACTATCCTTGCAGACTAACATTCTGTCAGTGGTTTTTGCACAAAAAGATTGAAAATCCGGATTTTTTTAAAAACATTCTAGCGACGGACGAATGTACTTTTATGCGAGACGGGATATTAAATTTCCATGATACTCACACGTGGGCCCAAGAAAATCCTCATACCAGTCGTGAAGGTTATTTCCAACAACGTTTTACAACAAATATTTGGGCGGGTATTCTTAACGATCAGGTAATTGGCCCTTTCGAGTTACCCCCAAAGTTGTCAGGAGAAGGATACCTTAGCTTTCTAGCCAATAACCTACCAGAACTTTTGGAACAGACCTTAGACAACATGCCGTTACAACGGAGACAGAATTTGTGGTTTCTTCATGATGGGGCACCACCACACATTTTTAGAGACGTCTTTCAGTATTTGAATGAACATTATCCAAATCGCTGCATCGGTCGAAATGCTCTTGATCCTCGAAAATGGCCAGCAAAATCTCCTGACCTCAATCTGATGGATTTCTGGTATTGGGGAGAAATTAAGTGGATGGTTCATGGGGCTGGTCCAATAACAACTGAAGCACAATTTCGCGAAAAAAATTTTAACGCAACTGAAATAATAAATGGACAACTTCAAGGACCTAGAGTAAGAAGCAACTGGGTACGTCGTAATGAAGCTTGTGTGGAAAGTGGAGGACAATATTTAGAACACCTTCTTTACATACAAAAAAGTGCAGTGTGGGTTTTAAAAAGAAAAAAATGTATGTATCAAAATTGGATTTTTTTAATACGTTCAATCAACTTTCACACACCAGGTGAAGTGCTGAGACAGTTAGTAGTAAGTCCATTTTTTTTAATTGTTTGCATTTTACGAGTACATTATCAAATAATTTAATAATAACTAAGAGCCAAAAATAACAAACTCCATCTTTATTTACACTGCGTTCTGTCGTAATTTGCGTTTTGAATTGCGGCATTGTCAGACTTTATTTTACTTAAAAGTCGCTTTTCTCTAGAAAAATGCTGATTTGACCCCATGTTATATGAAACTTTTTGCTTCTTTTAAACCCCTCTATCACCCATTTAAATAATGACATCATAACATTTACACCCTCTATGTAAGATACCATACTAGATATCTTGAGTACTTATATAAATTAAAGTGTCATCAGCAAAAATTTGAATTTTGCATTATTTGACTATGTCAGCTCATTCTATTATACAATTTGATAACAAATCATCGATGCTTGATTTTATAGGGCTAACTTTATGAAAACATGTTTACCTTCCAAAGTGCTAAAATCCTTGTTAGCTATATTCAAATATGGTGTAATCAATTTTGGATTAAACTCTTCAGGAGGTGAATAATTTTGACAGACCACAAATGACTCTATGCTGGAATTTCTTGAGCTGCTTGGTTTCACAACATGTACTTCTTTGAACAACGTCAATAGCTGATTTGTCAACAAGTCATTATCCTTCCCCCTGAATATCTTAGCTACAAATGTACCTCCAGGTTTCAAGACATTGCAAGTAATATGCAAGGCCCCAAGCAGTAGCTGTGACTGTATGTATGTGTCCATACAGTGAAGGCCAGTAACATCAGGGGCTCCATCACAAACAACTAGATCAGCATGATCTCCCTCAAAGTGAGTCATTATTTCCTTGGCTGTCGAGAATTTGGTGATGTCTCCTTGTATCTGTATCACACCTGGTAGAGGTGACATTGGTTGTAAATCTACAGCTACAATCTTGACATTTTTTTGAGACCCACTTGGTTCCGTCTCCTTTGCTTCTTCCTCAGGTTTGTCATCAATTGTGGAAACAGATTGGCCATCAACCATTTGGTTATAGAACAAACAGCATTTATCTTTGATTACAATTTCTTCGCCTAGGTACAGCCTCCTGGACAACACTTGACTCCAACTTCCTGGGGCAGCACACAAATCAACTGCCTTGGTTACTCCATCAAAGATGTGAAACTTTTCGTCGATTTGCAGGAGTTTGAATGCGCTCCTAGCTCGCCAGCCTTGTTCTTTCGCTTTTCTGTAATAAATGTCCCGCTTGTCTTTGGAGCTTTTCCCCATTTTACTCATCGATCAGCTTTCAGAGATGTAGAAGCTGATCAAAAAATTGGGGTTTCTGTCCACACAGAAAGTAAGATGGTATATTTAATTCACAATTCGGATACGCAGATGAAATGTTCAGCACGTTTTTACGAATCCTCAAATTCCTCAAGTCACCTCAAACCTCAAAGAATACAGCAAAATAGGTTAACTTTGCGACAGCCGTACAGTGTTGCCAGGTGAAGTCGACGATATTTCGTATTTCGGTAGAACTGTATGGAATTTTTCGGTAGATTAAATACCGAAGAGTAAATGAAGACTTAAAACTTAGAACAACTCAAAATATATAAATAAACAGTTCATATCGCTAACTAAAGATAAAATATTCTTAATAAAAAACAGAAAAAGTGTATAAAATAAAAAAATGTGTAAGCAATATTGGATAATCATTCTTCCGATTCATTTTTCTATAAGTTTTTATCAGTCATATTATCTACTAATTTTGATTTACCAAATGGTCCATCAGCAGAAATGGCAAATTAAACTCGGCCAAAAATGCGCTCAAACAAATTTCTCCTGGAAATAATGAAATAATCTATATAATCTCAAATCTTTAATTAATTTTACCTTCTTTAATATCATTTTCTAGTTTCTTTGATGCACCTGCAACTGCAAATGACAACAGTTTTGGCTGTTCTGCTATGGTTTGCACTTTTTTATGAAATTGCCCATTTGCGTGTTTTATAAGTGCATCTCTTCCACTTTTGATATTAATATCTTTATCACAGACCATGCATTTCGCATAATCGCGCCCTTTATTGCTTTTTTAAGCCAGCCTTGCAAATCTGGAAATTCTTCCGAAGATACTCGGTGATTCCCCAGATGCGAAGAATCAGCGTATGTGGCACACCAATGTCAGGCAAAAAGAATAAAAATACATCTGATCTAGTACGAATAATAATAGTACTTTTATCATTCTTTTTATCGCTATGCATCAGAAATATTTCTCTTATATAGGGAACAAAAATTATTCAATTGAAGGAAAAATCCGGAAGATTTTGCTTTAAAATCGGTAGTTCGTTAGACCAGGACCAAAATCGGTAGATCTACCGAAAAATCGGTAGACAGGGTAACACTGCAGCCGTATGACAGTAATGCGTCACTGCGTCATATCTAGAGATGGGTAACAAAATAATTACATAAGTACTTTGTATTCACAAATATTCACTACATAGGCGACGAATAAAAGATATAGGGAAAAAGGTTGAAAATGGAGCTTAAAAATCATTTGGAGAAGTAGAACCTAGATCCTATTTAGGCTACTATCGAAAGACACTTTTTTAAGACTAGTGAAATATGAAAAATTCCATTGTCCTTATTAATTACCTATTAGATAAACACAATTTTCTCTCAAGGAGTCTGTCTAGAGATACTTCTCCATTTCTAAGAGGGCTGTCTTGCTCCACTTCTCCATTGACCTCTTGACTCTTTGCGCGGCCCCCCCTAGGGCTGGCTCAGGACCAACAATCTTTCTTGCTCTATTACAAATCTCGAAGTAACCTTACAGGCAAATATATCGCAGCCTGGCTGTAGGAGAAGACTGTTATTCTTCTCCTAGACCCTTCCCCCTCTAAAATTCGAGATATACAATCCAGAATCGCATAAATTACCGTCTGGAAAATATTGGTGTATCTGCCGAGAGGCAGAGATAGCATAGATCCAGGCCCAAAGACTCCGGGTACCAGACCTGTCCACTCCCTTCGGACACCATCCGGCTTCCGGAGTCCCACTCCGCCCTCGTTGGATACTACACATTAAACTTTAAACTATTTAAAATAAAAACATTACGCGTTGTTAGGGTTTTGAAAAAATGTTGAAGCGTTCCCGGCTTGGTAGAGAACTTTTTTGGCACTGTTTTCAGCAAAGGATATAAATGGTTTTCTAATAAAAGAGCCAGTCTGTGCTGAATGGAATAGAACAGACCTTGTTTGAGGCATTTATAACGTGACGTAGGGATGAAAAGCTGAAAAACGAAAGCGGGATGTCCCGGATTGTGCATGCTTAAAACCCTGCCGGAGGCCCCTGACTAACAGCTCCACCCATTTTGGGAAAGCAGGATAATTTTTCGTCCCTATAAAGCTTATTGGCGGGGACACTGTGATGGAGAGCCAAATATATTATATAGTCATGTTAGGTATTAATTCAGTTTTTTATTTGGAAGGACATCATCTGGAACAATTTACCGCCTGCGGCGTGGAAACATATTTGTTTGGTCAGGATTTTGGACCGAAGGCGTCTTTGATCCATCTTTTTGGTATGGTAATCATGATAAGCAATTTCTGTCAGTACAAATTGAACGAGAATTATTAGATTAGTCAACAAGATCGTCCTGTTTTCCCGCATACATTTTTTCTTGCGGGCTGGTGGACAACATAACTCTCAGCCCATCCCTTAAAGTATGCCAGATCTATGCGGCAAACATTGAAATTTGGCCTCTTGATGAATGTACCACTACACGAAACAACGTTGAATATTTGACAGATGTTACATACTATACATATGCATCGGTTTTGTCAAAATCTGAAAACCAATGTACGTGTACATTCACGTATTGTCTAGTATTTATTTATCCCTTTCAAGAGCATATCCACCTCAACACGGAAGGATGTGGGCACCTGCAAAAAAATGTTAGTGGAAGTTCCACAAATTATATCTACCTACTAGGTATCTTTTTTGGTGTGGTAATCATGATAAGCAATTTCTTTCAGTACAGATTGAACGAGAATTCTTAGATTAGCCAACAATATCGTCCTGTTTTCCTGCATACATTTTTTCTTGTGGGCTGGTGGACAAAATAACTCGCAGGCCATCTCTTGAATTATTCGGACATCATTGTAATTTTGAACTCTTGACGTATGTACCACGGTGGATATTTGACTGATGTTACTTTGTATACATCAGTTTTGGGGGCGAATCCAGCTCAAAACGGATTCAGAAAAACGTTCCACAAATCATATCTACATGCTTGATATACTTTCTATTTAATTTCGTTTATATAGATGATTTAAAATAAATCATTTTTCATAACGAAGCGATCACACCCTTTGTTTAATCATACAGTGATTATCTACCGAGCCATACGACTTTGTTTGTTACCCACACATTATTTTGATAATACTTGTGATGCCTCTGGCTTGTAGGTGTAAACATATCTATTAATAAAAAGGTACGCGCTCCACTCTAAATAGAACTTTGTATTTGTACACATTTCGTGAAAGTGTATTCGAGGTAATCTACAAACTTAGAATCATTTGTGGGAGTATTATTTTAAAGCTTCGACAAAAAACGTTTTCAAATAACAGGATTTTGGCGAAACACTCGTTCTAAAAATAATAATTTACATGTTTTCTATAAATTAAAATGCTGTCATAAGCCCGCGGCTGTAATAAAAATTCCAATTTGAAGGATATAAACTAAGGGAAATGAGGCAAACTCTGATTGAAAATCTCAAATAAATATATTCAATATATAATCTGAACTCATTTTATAAAAAACAGCACATTATAAAATCCAAGCTTGATTTTTTACAAAAAATATGCAAAAATCCACCACTTTTTATCGTGCATGAATAACAAGCCCACAATATTATACAAAATTTATTACAAAAATGCATTGAAATGCATAAAATAGTTGGGTGCAGCAAAATTGAGAATTAAAATTCACACAATGGATCAAGTCAGATAATATATACATTGTTTCCTGAACATGGAGATGGTGACTTTTCAGATGTCTTACCCTTTCACAATTTTTGGAAAATGCCTTCTTTTTAATCGCATTGCATCTGAAACTTCTACAAAAACCGTCCAAATATTTGGCCCATATTCTGGAAACATCCTGTATTGTTCCCATCACATTATTTTGTTAAATGGACAAGGTTAGAGTTTACAATCTAAAAGCACAATTTATGTTGACTCATGAACTACCAAAAATTATAATTAAATTATAGTCAAACAGAAGACCAGACAAATAGTACAGATCATATTTATAAAAGGATGTCTTCTGAATGAAACTGACCCCATGTAACACAATTTCACAACAAAAAATAGATATTCATTTTCCACTGGTCAATATCCAAGTTCTAATCCAATATTACTATAACAAATTATAGATCAGCAATATAAAAACATGCCCTAATCAAAACTAAAATACAATGGATCAGCACCACAGGCAATTGCTTTGGAAAGCACCCAAGTGGAGAGTTAAAAACAACTTGTAAGGTCAGTTATCTCAAGAATGGAGAGATACAAATGATAGGTCTTCAAAAATAGAAATGTACAGTCCTGGATAGTCTCTTGTTTCTCAAATGGTCCTATCACAATTCCAACATTCATTTTTTTTTAATTTATCTACTGCAGGTATAACAAAACTAAATTAAATAAGAAACTAGGAAACTGTAAATCATTTTTTCTAGACTAAAATGAAACCTAATAGAACAAAAAATTTCGTTTTCAAAACTTTGACCTGAGATTTATAGTGCGTGTATGCCAAAGTACACGAAAATTGTGATACATTTTGTTTTTTAACAAGTTCATAATAACTTGCAGAATGTATAATTCATTCACATTTTTGAAGTTCAGAGTAGATATTTCAAATAATTTATATAAAAAAGTTACAGACAAGACTAGAGCTTAAAATAGTGTTTGTCAGAAGTTTACAATGGATAAATGTCCTTAAAACTAATTTGTAACTAGTCAGTTGCATATATGAGCAAACCATTTAATCACCAAACAACTTCTTGCCAAGCTCCATCAACCTATGATTACGACAGACCCTCAGAGCATCATGTTTCTTCAGCACGTCCTTCACAGCATCATTAGCATCAACCAGATGACAGAGGAAATCTTCAAAGGCCAATTTGATATTTGGAGGCAGTGCGCCTATCTTCACTTCCTTCAGCAAGGTGATGATACCCTCTGCCCAACCACTCTCGATGGCAAACTCTGATATCCAAGGAATCTGTGCAATCACTGCTGCCAAGGTTTGCATTCCTAAGAACCACAGCTCCATGAGTTCCATCCAATGCTCTTTGTAAGCCATGGACACCACAAGAGACTGAGGATCACTTGACTCATCAATGGTGTAAGCATCCCATAAGAAACGAATCGTTGCTTGGATGTATCTGCAGATGGAGAAGTCGTTTTTCTTCACTTTGCTTGATAGTTGTTTCAGCAGCAGCAAGCCTAGGACCGCAAGGTTGCCATGTAGCACAAGATTGTCAGGGATGTCCTTTAGTTCAGGTAGATTTTCAAAGATAAATCTCATCAGATCGTTGAAGACTGGACTTTCTTCCACATGTTTTGGTTCCAGCACAGTCAAATTCATCAGAACATTGCAGGTACTTATCATAGCTGTCCTCGAATCTTTCATATCCTCAAGTATCTCTGGGGTCAGCTCTGGTTTAGGTTGATTCATCACTTTCAACCTTTCAGATCTAGGCACAGGTGGCCTTTTGTAGTGTACAATAGTCCAATGAAATTCCATAAAATCAAGCAATGCCTTTTCTTCGTTGATCTTCAATAAAATCTTCCTAGCGTGTTCATCCACAGCCAAGTGGCACATAGCTGGTAGAAGAACTCTCAAAACGTCAACATTGCTTAAAGGATCTAGTTGATAGGTCTTATCACCTGCCTTTTCAGCAACTTTTCTCTCCTTACATGCGTAAAATGTCTCATTAGCAATATCAAATATGAAAGGTAACAACTGATAGATTTGAGACTGCATAGAAGTAGGTTCTTGTGTCAACCATGCTGCCAAAACTCGAATAGTGGCACAGATGAAAAGCTTGTCCTGACCTGTTGGTTTGGTTTTGTCATTTGCTACCTTCAAAAGCAAGTTTACTATTGCTGTGAATGCACCTTTCAAACCTGTATACAGGGTCTGTTTTTCTTTTTGTTCCAAGTCTATTTGGTCAGTTGAAATGAAGTTTAGGGATACCTCTAAGATTATATAACAAGCTGTTATCAAATTTTGGTTAGGCTCTAGTGATTTCAAGGATTTGTTGCCTTCTAGTTGCATACGAACTTCAATTGAAGCTAGTTGTATCAACAACAAAAATATCTGTTTACCTTTTTCTTCATCAGAGAATATCCATTCAATTCCTAGTAAATCCAACATACTTGCAGTTAACAACAATGCTGGATTTCGTTGTTGTGCTGTTATTTTACTTTGCAAAATATCACATAGGCCTTTATAGATGCTTTGTGGCCAAATTTCATTAGAAGCAGTAGCAATAATATCTTTCTTGGGACAATTGTAAACCAGTGCGTTGAGTACTTCACATACTTCGAATTTTCGTTTATCTTGATCTGTTTCAAAATCTACAGCAATTTTGTTAAGAAGTGCATGGTATGCTTTCGGATCTTTGTTTTGCCAAGACCCAGTACCATGCTTTGCGATCAATACTGCCATGATATTAAGAGCCTCATCGGACTGAAAGCTGCCTGACGAATATATTTCACAAAGTTTTTCGATGGCGTTACACTCAATCAGTTTTTGCTGACCTGGAGGGTATGCAGCTATTCCTTTAAGACAGTTGTAAGCTTCTCCAATAGCCATTAGACTGTCGTCATCTGCACTATCAGCTGATTTCACTATGTCCAGGAATATTGGGACAAACTCCACCATCTCCTTCTTTGTGGCCAGGTCCTCTTCATTGCAAAATACTGTGATGATAGACAAAGCAACGGATTTGTAAATGGAAGGTGGACAGTCTACAGGAACGTCATTCGTAAGCAAGAGCCTTCTGAGGAAGTCAAAGCCGATAGCTTCGAAAATAGCCTTCTTCGCGTTGGGAGTAGCATGCTTGCCTTTGACCAACTTTGTCACCATAAACAGTGCAGCAAACTTTTCTGTATCACTCGTGGAGTTACTAAGTATGCTGCAGCACTTCTTTACGGCATCGGAAACCTCTCCCATGGTGAGAAATATGTGCACGACCCGAAAATAAACTCAAACTAGCGGCGACCGGTAAACAGCCCATGAAGAAACTGAGGCGTGGATCTATGCGACAGCGGTGTAAGCGTATAAAGATATTTTTGGTTCAGTCGTTTGAGATTCTATATTCGGCAATTTGTGGGGCGGCGTATCGGATAACTTATTTTTAGATTTTTCAGTGTAGACGACTCCACTTCGTCGTTCGACTTGAAAATCCTATGAATTCGAATACCTAAACAAAATGTGACAGCTAACATGTGACCCAACTGACAGAAAACTGACAAACAAATATTACACTGTTGTCATATTGTCACCGAATTCTTGGGAAAATATGCCAAAGATGTGTAATCATAATAATATTAATAGATCATTGAAACATCAAATAGTCCTTTTATAGATAATAACAGGTGGTTTTTATTGCCAAGATAAGCACACATTAAAATTACATAGAAGTTGAACAAATTCTATCTGCTTTCCTGACAAACGGCAGAATTCTGACCTTATTACCGTATACCAAAGATCCGCACGAGTATTTCCTATCTTGAAAAGAATGAAAAGTAACATTATGTTGTTTTTTACATTATATTGGTTTTTGTGACATGTAGGTTCTCTTACAAGATGTCAACTAGGCACTAGCTGTCCTTCACTTCATGCTCACTTGTAGCCAAGGGCGAATTCAGGATTTCATCGCAAACGATATTTGGAGCTGGTCATTTTTTAACCTCAGTGGAACTTCTATAATTTATCCTATTATTGCTCCTTAAATCCATTGTGTTCTATCTGGTCAATCCCCAGAAAGCCAATATTCTATTATGTATATGAGAACAAAGTAAGTACGTAGCATTTATGATTAACTAGTGTAATAATATTGAAGATTAAAACATAAAAAACTTCATTGCTGTGTTAACTGAACAAAAATAAATAAAACATTCTGAGGGACCCCGATACATACCCCAATCCATTCCACACAAAACAATGTCTTTGATTGCGAAAACGAACATTACACCAAAGAACTCACATTATCGTATGCACGCTAGACGAGTCAAAAGAAGGATGTCTATAGACCATCTATAGATCGTGTCTTGAGACTGTCTCCAGACTGCCTATAGACAAATTTCGTACCGCGGTCTACTAGTATGTACTAAGCTTAAGGATTGAGACTCTGAGCTGCCGATTAAACAAATCAAGTAATGAACTATCTTCTCACTACCAGCCACATAGTCATCAAGTTGATATTATATCTTTTTTTTGGCATCACATACGTTTTTTAAGTAATAACTTTGATGCACTCAAGTTCAATATACGCCACTGTGTACGAGATTAAGTAAGGAATGTACGAGAAATTTGACATCTCTGGTTCGAGAATAAGATCTTATCTTAGCGTCTGGCAACCCTGCCTAACCTCACTTCTTGTGTACTGCTTGTAAACAAGAAAAACCCGCATTTTTTGTATTTCTGTACAGCTGAAAAACTTTAAAGTAATTGAAAGATATTGTCTACTCTATTTACAAAATTGACTAAAACAAAAATGAGCAAGAAGGAACTGCTTTCAAAAATTGGTCTACGATTAGATGGTAGAAGGGCCCACGAACTGAGAAGAATCAGATGCAAATTAGGTGTTTTTACTGAACCTGATGGAAGTGCCTACATGGAACAAGGACTAACGAAAGTATTAGCTGCTGTATATGGCCCTCATCAGGTAATACTTTAAATATATGACTCAAGCATTGCTTGTACATGCCTATTACTATGTATTAACAATTTACTGATACTCTATCATTACTGCTTCCTTAAAGTTTTTATAGAAGAAAAGTTTTTAGGGCATCTATATTATATAGAATGGGACAGAGATGTGCACATGTGGATATTGACTTAATGAGGAGGCTGACTGAATTGTTTTTGCTTGAAAATATAAGAATGCTTTTGGACATGTGCTTTGTCTTTAAATTAATAAATAATATAATTGATTCTCCCAAATAGTTGGGAATAAATTTTTCAGTTAATACTAGAAATTTGAGATACATGTCCTGAAATAGATTTATGACATGCCCAAAGCCTCGTCTTTTATATAGATGATAATGCGGATTTTTTTAGGATTCCCTACAATGAATTTGAGCCAATGATTCACATGAAACAAATGTCAAAAAAGGCTTATGTTAATGTTCACATATGTGGTATTTATAATTGCTAAAACTCTATGTTGTTAATTCATTTGTAGTTCCCTTAATAATAACGATTGATTTCTTGTCCATTTGGTAAGGTTCGAGGGAGTAAATCTAAAGCCCACCATGATAATTGTCTCATAAATTGCCAGTTCAGCATGGCAGTTTTCTCTACAACGGACAGAAAGAAAAGACCTCGAGGTGATAGGAAGTCCACAGAGCTCTCAATGCACCTACAACAAGCATTGGAATCTGTGATAAAGACTGAATTATATCCCTGGTCTCAGATTGATGTCTATGTTGAAGTTTTACATGCTGATGGGGGTAAGACAGTTGAATAGAAATAGGATAAATGATATCAAATCAATATGGTTTAGGCATATGAAATTTTGTAGAATTTGAAAGCAAAGATAAATTGGAATAAGGATGATATAACAGCAAGATTTTTGGAAATAAATATACGTAGTCATGCCATAAGTTCTGTCCCTCGTTTTCAAACAAGTGTAGACCTGTTAATACTTGTCCGATTGTTTACATTGTGGTGTCAGTTGATTAAGCGCTTTTCGGGTAATTACATATACCTCAGTTTGTATTGATCTCTCGAAGCATAACGATGGAGTGGGGCAAGGCAGAGAACCGTATTGCAGTGATAGCTTTACATAAGTGTAATCACAGTGCTAGTCAGATTTTTGAACTCTTACGCGGCCTTCAAATATCGCGTAAATTTGTGTCTAGGACCATTCAGCGGTACAATGAGACGTCCTCTGTTGATGACAGGCCAAGAAGCGGAAGACCTCGTCAAGTAAGGACTCCAGCAGCCATCAAAGCCGTAAAAGCCAGGATTCAAAGGAATCCACTCCGGAAGCAGAAGATCCTATCCAGGGAAATGAAGATTCCTGTCCGGACGATGTCGCGCATCATTAAACAAGACCTAGGGCTAGGGGCTTACCGGAGACGTACGGGCCAGCGACTTACGGCCACCTTGCGACACATCAGGGCGACAAGATCCAAGAAGCTCTTGGAGAGGTACACAGCTGGGGGATTCCGAAAGATTTTGTTCACGGATGAGAAAATCTTCACCATAGAAGAAAAATTCAACCGACAAAATGACAAAGTGTATGCAAGGAGTTCACAGGAAGCTTCGGAGATCATTCCGAGAGTTGAGAGAGGCCACCACCCTGCGTCAGTCATGGTTTGGTGGGGGGTGTCCTACGAAGGGGTCACTCAGCTCCATTTCAGTAAACAGGGCGTGAAAACAAAAGCGGCAAACTATCAGAGCGACATACTGGATCCTATCATCAAGCCTTTAAGTGGTACATTGTTTGCCAACCAACACTGGGTCTACCAGCAGGATTCCGCCCCCGCTCACAAGGCTAAGAGTACGCAGCGCTGGCTGGAAAGCAATGTGCCAGAGTTCATTGCTGCGGAAGATTGGCCCTCAGGGAGTCCGGACCTCAATCCTTTAGACTACAAGTTGTGGGACCTGCTAGAGCAGTTGGCCTGCTCCAAAGCCCACCGTAATATCGAGTCCCTGAAAGCGGATTTGATCCGATCAGCGGCAGCTATTCCTTTGGAAGCTGTGCGTGCAGTGATAGATGAGTGGCCCGCGAGATTGAAGCAGTGTGTGAAGGCCAAGGGGGGACATTTTGAATAAAACTGTTCGATTATGAATTCTAAAAATGTTGTCGATTAAATAATATCTTTCATATAAATATATCTTATCTTGTTTCATTTTTATCATGAGATTATCATGGGACAGAACTTATGGCACGACTACGTATTATATGCAAAAATGCTGTAATAAATTACTCTTCCATCATCTGTTACAACAGTAGTGATGTACATTTTATTATCTGTAAAATAAGTAAAAAAAGGTTTGTGTCCACCCATTGATCAGAGACCAGCAACACAACACTTACATAGCCTCTTTGCTTTCATCCTTCAATTTTACTACTAGTCGCATTTATTTGTATTGACAAACCATTTTACAAGGTATCTTTTTTTTTAGGTATATATCCAACTTGTGTAAATGCAGCTACCCTGGCCCTAATAGATGCTGGAATTCCCATAAAGGAATATGTTTGTGCCTGTACAGCTAGCTTAGCAAACAATGATGTTCCTATGGTTGACATTTCCCATCAAGAAGAAGTTATGGGAGGTCCCACTTTAACCATAGCCGCTTTGCCAATGTCAGGGAAGATAGTTCTAATGGAAATGTCACAGAGGTAATTCAAAGTGCACAGCAAAGATATTTGAATCACTTTCAAACTATGATAGGTTGTCCCACTATAAATTTTTCAACCTGCCTCAATCTCCTATCAAATAGTTCATCTTATCCGTAGAACTATCAGAGCATATAAATAGACTCTGTTCTATATACTTATATCTTTGAGAAATGCAGCTAAACTGGAAGGAGGATCTGTTATTGTATTTATTTTTTGATTTCAGGTTTCACCTTGACCATTTAGATAAAGTAATGAATAAAGCATTGCAAGGTTGTAAAGATATAAGACAGATTTTAGATGCGGCAGTCAGATTACATGTAAGAGATATAGGCAGTGCAACAGGTTGGGCATTAACATCTTACAATGAGTGAATTGAGCATCCAGTGTAGTGTAAGTGTATAAGAATATATTGTTATGTGGGTATCATTTTGAAAATAAATTTTCTTTAAATAACCTCTGTCATCCTTGAAAATCCTCTCTGAAGATACCTCTACTATGATTATTAACTAACCAACACAGTAACAAAACTTAACTACTTTATTACACACAATCTGAAGCTATTGAACAGATTTCTGGCTTAAAATTTGTTATCAAATGCTTATCCCAAGATATCATGGAAGGTTGATCCGTTGTATCCAACAACGCTGGAAGGTGAATCGACGAAATGGATATACATCCTGAAAAACAAAAATAATATACAATTGACATTCAATAAGCAGTATTATCATCTTCAATTGACTCTCATCAAAACTGTATGTCATTTCTCTAGAACAATTAAATCTGACAGTAATTTTTATGGTATAATATATATATATATATATGAAAAATTAATTTAATTTTTCACCTAACTGGTCTAGACGACAATGACCACGTCTTAAGTTATATATATATATATATACATTATTTTAAAATTATGTTGTCTTTGTTTAAAATACATTTTTGATTTTGTAAAGAATTAGTGATTGTTGTTGAGAAAAAGTGCTATGATGAGTATGCTTTTTCAGACCATTAGCAAGTTATCTTCATTGTCAGTCCATTTAGATGACATTTAAACTACTGAGCTGGAGCATACAGAAGATAGAACTTTAGGCCAATGGCTGCAAAGTACAGCTGAAAAATTAAAAAGCTGGTAAAACTTAATGACATTGAAGTTTCAGATTTAGATCATAAATTTTAAATTGGAATTTGTTTCATGGGCTAGAGTTTAAATGACATAATGGATTTTGACATACAAGTTTTCACCAGATTAGTCTTGACAGTGCAAGTGACCCTGGGTATACCAAAATTTCATAAAATGAAAATAGCGGATTTTGGAATTCAACCTTGAAATTTCTATTACATGGACTATAGCCCAACTGGCATCTTAAACATTCAGTCCTTGACAAGTGACATTTGTTTTGGGTGGAGCTAAATCTTAAACACTTATTTGGAGCATTAGTGTTAAGTGTTTATACTGGGAATTTTCAATCTTGTTTCTAAGATCATCCTGCACAAATCCTTGACATAAACTTAGTGATCAGGAACAATATACTAAAATCTTAAGACTGATTTGCTATAAGGAATCTGCTATCTTCTTTGAAAGTACAAAATATAAAATGTATTTATTACCTATCTGCTGGTACCCCGATAGAAGCCATACATTCTGCAATTGCTTTTGAATGTTTCTTATTTTCACTAACTCCAAGTGCTCCAATGCTCATCAAACTAGCATAGGCACATGGCTCATTTGACCCACCAAATGCCATAGAAACTCCTCCAGTAACAATTGCCATACAGTACTAAAAACAAAAGCATTGCTAATGTAGGTCCAATTATATTATGGCATGTAACATGTACAGTGACAACTGAATGCTTTTTGGCAAAGGACTGGCTTGGACAAGGATTCATACATTTTTTCATAATATGATTAGTAGTATACCTATAAAATTTAAATAGTATCAGAAATATTACATACACTGGCTGGTTTTCCTAATGACTTTGCAATAACATTAGTTAGTTTTATAGGGAAGTCTGCAGGGATTTTAGCTTGTGGCACATTTGTTTCAACTTTGAGGCAAGGCATTTTGTAAAATCTGAAATGAACACTTCACAAACTGTTCTTGATTATTTAATTATGCTCTTTTTTATCGTTGGCAGTTTGAGGTTATCCTCAGAAATTTTCCATAATTAGCTTTATTCCTCATGCGAAACAAGAATAAAATTCAAGCGGATAACCAAATGGAAATGGTATTTACCTTTTTGGGTTGGTATTTACCAATCCGTTCAAGCGAGTGTAGTTATCAGTTTGGTTATAAGATCCGTGACGTCACGAATCAGCTGTTATATGTCATAGTTATCACCGCAAAATTGTGGTATTTACCCAACTCAAGAGTAGTTTTATATTTCTGGTTATTATTTGAAATGTGACAAGTTAGAATTTTGCCGGGTATTGGATATTGTTATTATACTTCAGCTTCATTTTTAAGAAAAATGATACAGGCTGACTTCAGTTTTACCATAAATTGGAGCACCTTATTAGTTATACTCATTACGGTTGTTGGGGACACTTTAAATGTAGTTCCTATGCTGTGTAGCCATATACCACAAGAATATTAAAATATGGCCATATAAACTCACTAGATGATATCCACCTGTATACGGTTTTGCTAATTTCTTTTTTCATCATTTCTGCTGAATCAATAAATGTTTTCTTTGACATGCGGAAAAATTTAGAGAATTGAAAGTTATCATAGCTACAAAGCCATGGTTCCATCATTAAAAAAAAAATCTGAAAAAACATTTCTCCCATGAATATTATGAAAGGTTTCTTATTTAAACTTTCCATATACAGTTGTAGACGAAAAAGCATCGATTATTAAGTGATATAAAAATAATCAGAGATTATATACGCGCCTTTCTAAAATAAACAACTTGCAACAAAACCGCGGTTAAAACCAACGCGTTCAAGCGATTCGTGTAACTGACGTCATCAACCCGTGTGTCATCTTGAACCATTTCATAACCGCGGCACATAACACAGAAATTTTGGTTATTCGCTTGGATTTGATTAAGGATTCATGTATGGGCGTGTACTATACTGCGCATGATCGTTATGGAGAAAGATTTATTCGTGGGGATACCTGGAACGCACTTAAATTAGCTTGGGATCTAATCTTTATTAATTATATTTTCCTTCTTGCTTGTGACATTGACATAACAATTAAACTTATTACAATTTATGTTTGAAGATTCCTAGCATGATATCAATCCGCGCATTCAGAAAACGACAGCTCCTTACGTCAGCAGCTATTTATACCCTATTTCACGAGTATCCATCATGGTAGAATGACTGATTATCTAGTAATATCTCAAAATCCCCCATATCATCACAGGACACATAATTCTGACGGATCCGTCAACGCCAGAGCCGTACTTTGTTTTGTGTACGCTTCAGAGTCATTTTGTATACTTTATCTGAAGTCACTTGAAATAGCATAAAAACCTTTGATCGGCGCGTCCTTTGTAATTTCATGACGTATCATAGGCGTGCGGTCATTTATTTAGAACGATAATAATAATGTTTTTATATCACAATAAATGGATTTTACTATCTTCTTATTTTTTTGATTTGGGATAAAAAATACTTATATTGGGAGTTTAATTTATGTTGACTGAAAGTTAAGAAATGGAAAAATTACAGAATTTCAACGTTTGACATAGGCAAATATTTACATAGCAGGTAGGTATATAAAAAGGTATATAAAGACATTATAGGTATTTATATATCATCCTCGCCTTCGGAGCTGTCGCTAGAGTCATCTTGTAGAGGAATTACAACGGGATTTACAGGAGGCAAAACACAATATTCATTTTCTTTTTCAATAATATGCCTAGAACACTGCTTCCATAGGTCTGTGGCAGCAATATGAGATACTGCATCTCTTATTGTGGCCAATAGCGATTCACTTAATTGAGGGGTCTGATTATGTTTTCTTACTTTTTTGTTAAAGCAGCCCAGACCAACTCAATCGGGTTAAAAATGCAGTAATAGGGAGGTAGACGTAATACTTCTTTTCCATTTTGCTGAAGCAGATTGTCAACAACATACTCTTTTTCAAATTTTTGTCTTTTAATAAGATCCAATAATATGGCTTTGGTTGATTTTTATGGTATTTCCATTCCCTTATCCTTCATAAAATCAATAATGTCTTGTTTTTTTGTGCCTGTATTCGGAATTCTGTTTTTCTGTCGGGAATGGTATGGCGCATTGTCCATAATAATCACTGAATTTGGGGAAATGTTTGGTATTAACTGCTGCTCTATCCACTTTTCAAATAAGTCGGAGGTCATGTCCTCATGATAGTCGGCACATGATTCTTTGATATTTTTGGCAGATAACAGCAAGGCATTAGGTATAAATCCATTTTCACTGCCAGCATGGAGAATAATGATTCGTTTTCCACGGTTGCATGGTGCATTTAAAATGCACTTGTTGCTGTCGTCAACCCAGCCGTACTGCACAACATCATTGGTATCATACCACGTTTCATCCAGGTAAATCAGATTTCTTTTCTGCTCTCTATAGATTTTAACTTTGTGCAAAAATTCTTGGCGCAATTCAACGATTCGAGACGACTCCATAATCACCATTCTTTTATCTAATTTTTTGTATTGAAAACCACACAGTTTTACAATATAGTGCAGTGAGTCTAAGCATTTGTAATTATAAAAATCTTCAGGATAATCTTTTAATTTATCCCGTATGATTTCCAACGTGGGCACCAAATTTTCTTTATAAAATCCGTATATTATACGACGAATATCTTCCTGAAAACCCACGTCTATTCTTTTTAATTTTTGCCCTATGCGCTTTCTGTGGAAGGAATGGTTGACTACATCTCCCCTTTTTATAACCCGATTAATGGTAGACCGACTGATTTTTGTCAGGATACAAATTCTGTTTAAAATTTGATTTTGCGAGGAATCTGGATTTTCGTTTTTCAGACAATCATACATATTTAGGATTACTCTTTGGGTCTGTTCCTCTAAATCTTTATGAAAGAATTCTGCCTGCACAGGTTCATCAACCATCTCCTCGTGGCTTGGAGCATTTTCCCAAGGTCTCCAAAAAGCCATATTTACGACACACAAGAACAATCAACACAACAATTAAATCAACAAGTAAACTGAGTATTCAAAAGTCAAAAACACACAAACTAATAAAATCTATGAAAAAACACGGACAGACTAAAGAAAACACATTTATTCACCGCTACACGTCACTGGCTAAACTGTTTCAATTTTCAGTAGCCATCTGCACTTGTTCGGAGCTCTGAAATACACGCTTTCTCATTGGCTATGTCCACGCATAGGCGTGCTTTACTCAACGTGGACCGGTAAAACTGCCTTTGATCTTATACGGGGGATATTTGCTGCGAAATTTGGCGATTTTTGCAGCAACACAGCGTGTTAAATATAGATATATAAAACGCACCCGGTATTTCACAGTGTTTCAAGTGACTTCAGATAAAGTATACTTGCTAACAGCTCTTTTATTTAGAAAAGTTCATTTGCATACAAAAAACAAAACGATTCAAACAATTTTTACTAGATTTAAACCAGATTCATTAATGCCAACGTCGCAGACTAAGAAAAAAATGTCAGTAGACGTCAAAGCGTGATGGATACTTGTGAAAATGGAGCATCATTATCGTTTAAATATTTCTAATCGGAAAAATGATTTTTCATTTAATGAACAGCTGAATAGAAGTTTGTTTTTAAAAATGCATTTTTTTGTTTTATTTTATATTGCTTATTCAGAGTTAACCTAAGGATTGATTAAGGCACAATCTTTTGGAATGAGTATGTTAAGTGTACGGATATTTTCAGGTTGAAAAAACGATAAGGAGAAAGTAATGGTGTAACTAGGGTATCTGAAATGTAAAGTATTTGGAATTTTTTTGCATTAGATAAAATAAAACTACTGATTAAAGTGTTATCAACACACGTTTATAATCTCAAAGACATAATACTTTCATACATAATATACATTTTATCAACAGTTACATCACATTATATTTAGTAAGCTATCTGCACAGCAAATTGGTTTTTGATCACTTACATAATATACAATTATGTAACAAATCAAATAAATTACAATAAATATGACTTTTGGTATTTGCAATAATATATTACAGCACTAGAAAAAAAAGATCTGTATGCTTCTCACTGCCAATAAAACAATGTTCACCTTCTTCATACAGCTGCTGCTTTTGCTGCTTTGGGAATTTCCAAATTGGCAATAACAGCATAGGTAAACTCCTGCGTGCTAGATTGTCCTCCAATATCTTTGGTTCTTACTTTTCCATCTCGAATGACTTTTTCCACAGCATTTCTTATCATGTCACCATACACAGGCAGATTGATGTGCCTAAGCATTTTTGAAGCTGCCAACAACATGGCAGTTGGGTTGGCAATGTTCTTGCCTACAGCTTCTGAGTAGGTGTGTCTTGCACCTGGTTCAAAGACCACAGCATTGGCAGAGTAGGAAGCACCTGCTACAACACCTAGAATACAAATGAGCACTATGAAAATTGTATTTTGAACTGCATATAGCAGTAAAGGTGCTGAAATGAAAAATGGTATCTCCCAAGCATCAACAATACTCAGTGACATGTATTTAGGTCAAGTCAAGCATTTTTTCTTTTTTACTTTTGCACCAATATCTTTTGACATATACATCATAAAAAATGATGTCACTTATTTTCATCATTCATCAACCTGTCTACTGGTCCTTGGAGCCTATACAACTCAAAAAGTACCAAATGGATTTTGATGGAATTTTGTCATAAGTTTACTATTAGGCCCAGGTTTGAAAATTTTCACAAGTTCACAACTTTCTGACTATTTTTGAAAATAGTCGAAACATTTATTCTGACTACTTTAAAGAATGGTGTAACAGGTTTTTGAGTAGACAAAGTTTTTGAAACTATAGGAGTCCCCTTTTGCTCTTTTAAAAATGAATTATAGATTATGGATAAACTGCTATTATCAACTATCAGAAACACAATAAGAGTAATAATTAATTCCATTTTCCTACATAATAAAAATATACTAGGGATCTAATTAGATTCTTACCTGCCCCTCCAACCAAACCACAAGCCAAGTTGTCTACAATATTACCATATAAATTTGGAGTGACCATCACGTCAAACTGTTGAGGTTTAGATACCATCTGCATGGTACAATTGTCCACAATCATTTTTTCAAATTCTATTTTTGGATATAGTTTAGCCATATCTTCGCAGCTCTTAAGAAATAGACCATCTCCCAATTTCATGATATTGGCTTTGTGGACTGCAGTTACCTTTCTCCTTTGATTTTTAGTAGCATAGTCAAAAGCAAACTTAGCAATCCTTAGAGACTTCTTTGCTGTGACAATTTTCAGGCATTCTACAACTCCTTTGACACCTTCATGTTCCAGGGCAGAATATTCTCCTTCAGTTTGCTCTCTAATAATGACACAATCAATGTTTTCATGTCTAGATTTAATTCCTGATAAAGATTTAACATGCACCACATTCGCATACAGGTCCAAAGCATTTCTCAGTTTCATGTTGAGAGTTTGCAGTTCTCCAGTATTACTGTAATCTGGGGATGCAAGAATACCTTTAAGACATACCCTGTTTTTCTGTATGGAATTTGCTACTACATCTAAAGGTGCACTGAGTGTGGGGTTCACTTCAGAGAAGAAATAAGCCTCAAAGTCAACAGGGATTCCGGAAGCTTTGAATACCTCTTGAACTGAATGCATCAGCTCGGGCCCCACGCCGTCTCCGGGGATAAGGGTGCATGATGTACGGGCATCTGGTCTTTCTTCAATTCCTGCAGTAGCATTTGCTGCTGTGCAGTGTATGGATCTTACCGACGAACTTATGACTTGAAGCGCTAACCTGTTTACGTTTCTTGCGATTACAGACATTTTGATGGAGTGTAGACAACTGGCTGCGATTACTTTGAAGAACAAATTAATAGGGATTTTTTGGCAAGATTGCCTAACCTAAAATATTTACGTAACGGGCGGGTAAAAGAAAACTGACAAGTATCGTAACAACTTGTGACATTTGGAGTGCGTTCAGATGCTTTTATAGCCGATAGGATAGGACAATGCTTTGAACAAGGTGACGTGTTGCGTCTTGGTTGCATTGTCACTCAGAGAAAACATTCGAACGGTACGGTGTAATTCAACAGCAGTCAAGTTAGCAGTCTCTAACCAAACCATTTTTAACTAGATTTCCGAAAGAACGATGATTGTTAAGTTTTTTTTCCAGTTTACCCGCGTCAAAACTTGACAGCTGTTTTCACCAAAACTTATAATACCTAACAAGTAATTATGGCCTCCTATGACACCAGAAAACAACGCTAAACTAAATTTTGTAATATTGTGCTCGTTAGCCTATGTAGTGAAAATGAGTCGCTTTGGAAATAATTCTTTGACTAATACTGATCTGGCGATTGAGAAATACCTCAGTATATCACTAATCTCTCAGTGTATGCAATGTGCGCAATTTATTTAAAAAGACACAGGATGTCAACCCTAACACACAAGTAGATGAGTATGCAAGGCTCACCTGGTTTGCTGGACAGCTATCCTGTGTCCTTCAGAAGAGTTGGAAGTAGACCTAATTTCCACTGGTGATACTTGACACCCACATTACAACACTAAATCACCACTGAGACACAATCGAAAACCCTATAGTGAATACCACTACTGAAAAAAGTAGCTAAACCGAGTAAAGCTCTGCACAAAGCTGTGAACGCGTAGACATTCCGCTGCGACGACGGTTGCCGAGAGACTGAAACGTGTGAGTGCTGTACCTCGCTGCGGCGATACGGTACGGCCGGGTAGTACAACCACGCCCCTTTTCAGTTCCCACTGCGCGCATCTGCTCCTGGTCAACGTAAACACAAGTTCCGCTCGCGGCTCGATATTCACGTTGACCGAGAGCAGACGCGCGGGGTGGGAGCTGGAAATGGGCGTGGCTGTACCGTATCGGTCGCCGCTGCGAGGTACAGCACCCTCACGCTTCAGTCTCTCCGCAAACGTCGTCGCAGCGGAATGTCTACCTATTCACAGCTCCGTGCAGAGCTTTATTCGGTTTAGCTACTTTTTTCAGTAGTGGTGTTCACTATAGGGTTCTCGATTGTGTCTCAGTGGTGTTTTAGTGTTGTAACGTGGGTGTCAAGTGTCTCCAAAGTGGAAATTAGGTCTACTTCCAACTGTTCTGAGGGACACAGGATATCTGTGCAGCAAACTAGGTGAGCCTTACATACTAATCTACTTGTGTGTCAAGGTTGGCATCCAATGTTTTTTAAATAATTTGCTGCGCACATTGCATACACTGATAGATTAGTCATATACTGAGGTATTTCTCAATCGCCAGATCAATATTAGTCAAAGAATCATTTCCAAAGCGACTCATTTTCACTCCCTCTTGAATTGTTCTCTTGAAGGTAGCATTTCAACATCTAAAAATGGCGCTCCACATAAAAGATAATGCACTATATTGTGGGGACTTCCCTCCATTCGTCAAAATTTATTGATTCTATAGTCGTGATACATATTGTTCTACCAATAATTTTACCATTTTGTCCATGGGTGCAGTGTACAGAAAATGTGTCAGCAACTAAAACGTTTGGAAGTCGCATCAAGTAAATTGTCTCGGTATTACCCATGTGTAAATTTCCAAAAAATGTGTGATTGTGTAGTTTTCGGGTAGTTAATAGACACCGTAGATCTATATTTGAACTAGGTATATTATGTCAAATTTTGAATTCAATAAAAGTGACAAAGGTTCGAGAAATGAACCAGATTTCATAGTTATGTATACCGTACTATATGGCGGCCCGTAACACAAGGAAGCAGAAAAAATGTAAACAAATACAATATCGTTGTCGTTTACTATACTTATATACTCATGCTGTTTCTTCTTGTTTCAGGGACTAGAGCAGTTTGCTGAAATGTAAGTGCATTTAGGGTTTTCTTATTGGTGTAGGGTTCCCCATTTATATAGTTAGGGATCACTAGGAAAAAGCACCGGTTCAGTACCGCCCAGATGATCGAGCTCGCGCGTAATCGCCGATTGTGAAGAGGAGCCAGAAAATAAAAGGTATTTTCAAATCGCAGCATTCGGCACTAGCAAAAAAATTCTGATATTCATAGAAAAAAGCTTGTAAGTTTGTAAATAAAAACGCAAGTAACAAGGGATACTAAAAATAACGCTATTACGCAGGGGGGGTAACTTTTATCGCATTTCCGACTAGTGTTTTTAATTGTACGTTCGGTAAGGTATCCAAAATATCTGAACGGTGTACAATTAATCACCAAAACAGAATATATATCTTTACGCCGGAGTATGCCCGGCATATCCCGGCCGATTTACCCGAACGCACCCTTGGAGACGTGAGTGTCAGCTGGCAGTATGCTGTCATGTCAGCAATATGTCAGTGGTCAGTGTGACGTTTGGTGAAAATGTATTGCTTGTATTTTTTCGAAGTTTGTTTTGTAGTGAATGGAGCTCTCATGAATCTATGGATTCATATACCAAAATAATAACAAAGGTACTGGAACGAGACATTAAATCCACTCTAGAACCCAAGAAAAGGTAAGAAATCATTACAAACTACCTACCTATGAAGGTGGATCCTTATGTGCCTCCCTGTGCAATAAACCATTCATAATGTTTTTTATTTTTCTCTACTGATCATATTTATTTGATGTGTTTTTAAGAGGCTTAAGCTATAAAATTACTAATATTGGAAAATGGTTCAATTTACAAACACAGAAATATGCATTTTGTTTATGGAATAGCTCAAGGCAGTTCCAGAGCAGCTAGACACATTTATCAAGAAAGATCCTCATCTCATTATACCAAATAGACAAACATTGAGTGTAGCCCCGATTCAAGTACACACAATTAAACATTCCTCATTTTACTGTTTGGCAGATTTTAAGGGAATCTCAACTATATCCTTACCACATTCAGCGTGTTCACGCGTTATTGCCTGCTGGTTTTCCCCAATGAATCGTTTATTGGCTTTTACAACAACAGGTTTCTGTGCTGTATTTTATTTACTGATGAAACATGTCTTCCCCAAATTCAAATATGATCTTTCACAATGGTCATATATGGGCTGAAGAAAATCAAACAACAGTTCTCCGTTTGGATTGGTATTGTAAGTGATTATCTCAGTGAACCTCACTTTTTACCCCTGAGGTTAAATGGTCGAGAGTATACTTATTTTTTGGAATTTATTTCACCTAAACTTCTAGAAAATTTTCTGCTGCAAAAGTAAGAGGAGCAAGATAGTTTATGCCCTTCAGCATAGTTGCTCGCCAATTTTTTGATGCACCTTTTGTAGAAAACTGAATCGCAGGTCTACAGTCTTGGCCACCCAAGTCACCGGATTAAAATCTGCTAGAATTTTTTTTGGGGGCATTTAAATAAAATAAAAAATTGAACAAGAATTAACCTAACTGATACGAGATTCATGTGATCAGACATAAGCCGGGAATATGTTAATGAGTTTGGCAGTCAGTGTTAACATGAGCTAATGCTCCCATTGAGGTTGAAGGAAGGCATTTTCAGCAACTATTATAAGTCTCGTGTTATTTACTGTTAAATGTTATCATTGAAATAAAACTTTAGGTGTAGTTTTAAAAAGACGTTTTTCCGGTTCGATTTTTAATTTCCAGTGTTACCAATGTGCAACAATAAAAAACGTTATGTGAATATTAAAGTTTATTTGTTTAATCAAAAGCAGATATAATCTGAGCAAAGAAATTCAAGACTACTTACGTGTAACTTAGTCATTATCAAAAACATGTAATAAAGTGCTTTTTTTATCTCCCAAAGGGAGCGAGATATGTAAGAAACCCAGGAGACAGAAAAGTTATATTTTTAGCTGCTTAATTCGAAAAAAATTGAGTTGAACATACTAAAATATAGGTAATGTAGAATAATCTTGTTTTTACAGTAAAGTCACGATACACGCTCTATTGTGGAGCTAGAAAGCTGTTTAAGTTATAGCCTGTGAGTTAGGAATTACAAGGTTGAAATCTTTTATTGAAATCCTCCATTTTGTTTTGTATAAAATTTTAATGTATCTACTGTTACTCGCACCGCTAAGACGAATCCAACGACACTTCATATGTGCCGTTAGGTCTGTAGGTGAAAATATGCACGTTATCCATATCAACCCAAATGTTAATCACTCTCCGCGTGACGTCATGCGCGCCGGCGGACGAAAATCGAACAGTGGAGCATCCGGCACTGTCTGATAGCACTGATCAACAGCCAAAAAATATCCTAAATAAAAGCAACAAAATATTACTATTCTTAATGTGCTAAAACCGGAATGAAACTTATTTTTTCAATATTAGTTCAAGTTTTAGAGATACGGTAATTATATGTGTTCCTGCTGTGACAGTGTTAATATACTGTAATTCACAAGAATGCACGTGCTACATTTTTATATTCTGCAAGAAAAGATGATGTAATCGGCATGATTGTGTTTGCGTTATACATACGTGTACATTATATTGTTTTATATTAGCCATTTTTTCCTCAGTTGGCTGACAGCGTTCATGCAAGATGTCTCGAAAGTGTGTAAACAATCCAGATCAGTTTTGTTACGTGTGTGGTGATGTGACTTTTGCGTCTCAGAGATGGTCTATTACTCCACTAATAACAAAGGCATATCAGCTTTATTTCGGTTGTAAACTAGGTGATCAAGACAAACAGCGGGCACCCCACATGTGCTTCAAGTCTGAGGAGCTGGTTAAATGGCAAAAAACGGTCTATGCGCTTTGCTGTCCCAATGGTTTGGAGAGAGCCTACAAATCATATTAATGATTGTTACTTTTGCATGGAACCTTGTGTTGGACAAGCCACAGGTATGTCCAAGAAAAAAAAATCGGTTATTAATTACCCAAACATACCATCTGCGATGAGACCTGTGCCTCACAGTGACGAAAATCCTATTCCAAAACCCCCAGAATCCTACACTTGCGAATCAGAAAACGAATCAGATCATGGCGATCGAGTGATTCGTCAGGAAGAAGATATGCCATCAACGTCATGAGATCCTGATTTTATACCGGGCACGTCATGCCACCAACCGCACAAAATAACACAGTCAGAATTAAATGATCTTGTAAGAGATTTAGAATTTCCAAAATGTAAGGCAGAGTTACTTGGATCAAGACTGCAGCAGTGGAACTTGTTAGAAGACGATGTTTCGGTATGTGTTTTTCGTAAACGCCACGAAGACTTAGAACCATTTTTCAATATGGAGAATAACTTGGTTTTCTGCAGTAACATTAACGGCTTACTGGCGGCTTTAAACATAAACTATAACCCAGAAGAATGGAGATTGTTTATAGACAGTTCAACATTGAGTTTAAAGGCAGTGTTATTGCATATTGGAAATATTTTACCATCTCTTCCTGTAGGGTATGCAGTTCACATGAAAGAATCATATGACAATATGAAGTACCTATTGACATGCATAAAATACGATGAGCACCAATGGCATATTTGTGGCGATTTGAAAGTTGTTGCACTTTTACTTGGGCTGCAGCTAGGCTACACAAAGTTTTGCTGTTTTTTGTGTGAATAGGACAGTCGGGCAAAGGCACGTCATTACACCAGACAAAACTGGCCTGTTCGTCAATTCCTAGAGCCAGGTCAAAAAAATGTACAGCATTTGCCATTAGTAGATTCGAAAAAAATGTTGTTACCACCACTGTGTATCAAGTTGGGCCTAATGAAAAACTTTGTCAAGGCATTAGATAGAGATGGGTCAGCTTTTCAATACCTGCGTCAGAAATTTCCAAGACTAAGTGAGGCAAAGGTTAAAGAAGGTATTTTTGTTGGGCCACAGATTCGACATATTTTGAAAGATACACAGTTTGAAAACACTTTAACAGGTATTGAAAAAACTGCTTCGAATGATTTCCGTCTGGTGGTCACTAATTTCTTGGGAAATAGAAAAGCTGACAACTATAAAACCCTTGTCAAAAATATGCTGTCATCATATCAAAAGATGGGCTGTAATATGTCTCTTAAGATACATTTCCTACACTCACACCTGGACGTTTTTCCTGACAATTGCGGAGCCGTAAGTGATGAGCACGGCGAACGTTTTCATCAGGATATTTCAACAATGGAAAAAAGGTACGAGGAAAAGTGGAATCCTTCCTTGCTTGCAGATTACTGTTGGACTCTTGGTAGAGATGCTCCAGAAACGATCCATAAAAGAACAGCAAAAAGACAGCGCATATAGTGATTCTTATAAGTATATGAATCTTGTTACTTTTTTTAATATATCCTTAAAAATAAAAAGTTTTTTTTCTAAACCGCAACTAATTTTTTTATTTCATTGTCATTTTTGGATTCAGCGCCCCAAAATTAACAAAGAAGTGCACTTTTCCCACAAGATACAATTAAAAAACTAAAATTTGTTGTCCAGTGAGTCAATGACCTTTTACAGTCTCATATTCCCTTTAAAGGAAATTCTTTATTCATGGAGATTACCGTGTACGGTACAAAAGCGTATTTTCTTTCATGCTCAGATCTATCACTATCAACTTTTTTTACAGTTTCGAAATGATGTCAAGCATGAACACTGCTCCAGAGGACACCTGGATGATGACAAAGAAGAACGAGGTAGAAAATTCAGAGGACTTGGAGTTTGTCTACCAAGACTGTGATACTCATGCTAACGAGATCGCAGAGTTGTACAGTTATACCGAGCATTGGGAGTTACATTTGAACCTGACCGCGTTCGAAGAACAGATGAACCAGTACAGTATTTCGCATATCCCGTGGCGACATTTTACAGAACAACAGAAATCCTCTATCATTCTGAAAATCCTCGATCAGTTAGACTACAGCGACAAAGCTGCAAGAATGAAAAGTGCTAGATGTATATTGTACATAGCTCAAGGAGGATGGTTAGGCATCCAGAGTGATGTTGAGCAAATCAACTGTGCCAAAGAGAGTTGTTTGTTGCTTTACAAACTTGGAACTTTTAACGCGTTTGTCGATTTGTTGAACTTAGAAATCGAAAGGAACCCTGTTGTCAATAAGTCGTCCGTAAACCTGTCAGATTCTGAAGATCTAAGGGTGATCTTATCAGTACTGTATACAATTACGGAGGTAATAAGAAGCGAGCGAGAGTCAGAACCTGCTTTATACAATGCTTTTTGTGCTGAAATCATGAACGATACCAGTGAAGATTTACTCGTCATCACTCTGTTCAACATGGTCACCAAATTCTGTAGCGGAACTTCCCCGCATTTTCCTATCAAAAAAATACTCCTTTTAATTTGGAAGTTGATACTGTTGGTATTAGGTGGTACTGAGACCTTACGAGTACTAAAAGAGCAAAAGAGGAAGGAGAAAGGCCTTCCGGCTCAAGATGAAGATACAATAGACATCGCGAGGAATATGCGGCCATCGTCGCCACCTAGTTTTCCAGCTGACATCTTGGATGAAAGTCAGAGGCGTAGAAGAGGGCTTGTGAAACAGAGTAGCTTGGAGGAAAGTCAGACATTTGAAGTGACCGAGTTTGACAACAATGAGGACGAGAAGGCGAAGACTGAAGAGAGTGTCGAACAGTTCCAGAAATGGCAAGACGTTCAGACGCTAAATAGGAAGATTGATCGACCCAAATTACCTTGGAAACCAAAAGTTCACAAGAAGGAAGTTGATGCTTTCTTGAACGTCGCGCGCGAGAAGTTCATAGGTTATAGTCTTGATGATGATAGCACCACTTTGTTCGGTTTACCAGAACCTATCCATGAAAGCGTTGCTATTTTGAAAGAACACACTTACGTATCACTCTCAGAGGTGCAGGTACAAAACGAAGAATCTCTCAATAGAAATCCTCTCACTATGAAGGATGAGATAGTACAGACAAACACTGAGGTGTTGTACCAAGCCATGCTGCCGAGCCTACCGCAATACATGATCTGTTTGTTGAAAATTCTGCTAGCCACTACTTCCAGAGGGAAAACGGCGAATGACTCGATAAATATCTTGAGCGACGTTCTTCCAAAACAGTTGCCTACGACAGACTTTCAGTCTGTTTTAGACATTGATATAAACCGCCACAAAGAAATCATTGTGAAAGCTGTATCAGCAATCTTGATTCTGCTATTGAAGCATTTTAAATTGAACCACATCTACCAGTTCGAATTCATGTCTCAACATTTAGTGTTTGCGAACTGTATTCCTCTCATTTTGAAGTTTTTCAACCAAGAAATTGTGAACTATGTCAAAGCTAGGAACAGTATCCCTATCATCGACATACCCTCTTGCATTTTGAGCGATTTTCAACCGGATATAAATGGCGGTATCGAAATCGGTTCAGACACAAAATATTGCTGGAGAAATATATTTTCTTGCGTTAACCTCCTACGTGTGTTGAACAAACTGTGCAAATGGAAAAATTCTCGAATAATGATGCTAGTCATATTTAAATCATCGCCGATTTTAAAACGTACTTTGAAAATTAGACATGCGATGGCTCAGGTGTATGCGCTCAAGTTACTCAAAATGCAAGCAAAGTACCTCGGCAGGAACTGGAGAAAATCGAATTTGAAGACTGTTAGTTTGATATACCAAAAAGTGAGACACCATTTGACGGACGATTGGGCTTATGGGAATTTTTTGGATGCCAAGCCGTGGGACTTTCAAGCAGAGGAAATCACTTTGAGAACCGCTGTGGATAAATTCAACAATCGCCGGTACAGCAAAAATAAAGAGGATGAGTTCGAAAGCGTTGATAATAATCTGAATAGCGTTCTCGGAATGGAAATGGATTTTTCCGACGGCTTTCGCAAAAATTATCATTTATGGCTGCAAGATGAAGTGTACAACAATGAAATAGATTGGGAGAAACTATTTTAAATGTTGTGTCATATAATCTGATATCGGCCACAGTAGCGGATTGTGTTTATTATAGTACAGGGTGGCCCATAAGTCCTTTGAGCTGGAAAAAAAGGAATAAAACCAAACTAGTTACATTATGAAGAATTATTATATTTTGTTATCTTTATTGAATGGGAATTATGTTTTAAAAATCACATCGTCTAAATGCAATCCATTACGATCACGGCACTCATATAAACGACGTCTAAAGTTGTCGATGACTGCGCGGCAAGTCAACACTGTAATGCTTGCCATTTCTCTTCGGATATTTTCTTTCAAGACATCAACTGATCGCGGAGTGGTGTCGTACACTTTACTCTTGAGGTAGCCCCATAAAAAGAAGTCCATTGGGGTCAAATCTGGACTACGTGGTGGCCAGGAAATGTCTCCTCTTCGAGAAATTACTTTGCTGGGAAAAAGTTGACAGACGACGGGCATAGAAGTGTTGGAGGTGTGGGCAGTTGCTCCGTCCTGTTGAAACCAGGTCTGCGTATTATAGCCTGGAAAATTCTGCAACGCTGGTGTCAAAAACTCTTCTATCATTGCTACATACCGCTCCGAAGTAACAGTTAATGCACGACCTCTGTCGTCCTCAAAAAATAAGGGCCTACGATGCCATGCGCTGTGTAAGGGCTTCTGATGCTTACGCCTTGGATTTTCGGGGCTCCAATAACGGCAATTTTGTTTATTTACATGCCCGTTTAAATGGAAGTGAGCCTCGTCCGAGAACAACACATTATTGAGCGAAGAAAATCGATTCAACATTTCATTCGCAAAGTTTTGTCTCTGAATAGCGTTATTATCTTTTAATTCCTGCACTAACTGAATTTTGTAAGCGTGCAGACGTAAATCTTTCCTTAAAATCCGCCGTAAAGATGTTCTGGGTACGTTTAGTGCACTGGAACGCTTACGAGTAGACTGGGTAGGATTTTGACGAACAGACTGTGCCACAATGTTGATGTTTTCTTCAATACGAGTTGTCCTTGGTCGACCCCACCGCTGTTTATCTAACGTCGAACCAGTCTCTTCGAACTTAGCAACCCAGTTCTTAATCGTTTGAGCTGTTGGACACTTTGTAAAATTGTGTAAATTGTGGTATTCTCGATATTTACGCCGCGCAATGTTTGCCGAATCATTATTTTGATAAAACGCGCGCACACAAAAAGCACGATCCGCTCCAGTGAAACACTCCATGGCGACTGAATTCCCAGACACTGAAGATACTGCCCCCACCTTGCCCGCGCCGCTCACGCTCACCCGTTAAATTTTATTCAAATTTGAAATTTCAAAGGACTTATGGACCACCCTGTATATTACATACGAGATATCTGAGGTCCTGCTTATTTATTTCTTATTTGATATTTCCCCAGGCTGTGGATATACTGATATATATTGACATGTTCTGTCACTCATGCTTTGATTAACTATTTCACTTCATCAAACGAATGAGTACCCAAGATGCAAACACTTTATTTAATATGTTTATTATCCTTTATTATTTGATATGTCTGTCGACTCTTAATGTATTTGTCACTGTATATAAGTTAGGCTAATATTTAAATTTAGAATATATACCTACCTATACCTTAGGTGATGACTACACTCGAACGTGGTTTCACAACTTAAATTTTGAGTCAAACCTCGTCGAAAGTGAACTCTGTAACATGCTATGTATAACTTACGTTAGTATCATTTATTTGTTTAAGGTCTCTGTCTAAGTTTATTAACGTAGTCTACCATAAGATAGCCAACCTAATGCTGTATTCCAGCGTTCAAAAATTATTTGATATGGAATGAGATACCCTACAGGGTTATTACGTAAAAAACCTACATAATGTAAAAAAAACTGACATGTCACTTTTCAAGTTACGTAATACCGCTGCAGGGCGTCACCTTTGAGAATTTCTCACCACTATACTGAGTGACATATAAATCCGAACACCCAGTTTAAATGGTTTTATTTTAATAAAAGTTGGTGAATGTATTTATCTTACTGTAAATAACAAGTGAAAAAATGTTCAGCCTTAGCAGTTGGACATTCCGGTTTTTATACTGCTTTTTTTTAATTCACTAACGCTCTGAAAATGAATATTCCAGCCGCAGTAAAGAATCAACGTTGGCGGATTTTGGTTCTTGACATCCTTTACGATCGGTTACGATGCCTAGAGTACGGAGACCTGTACGATTTCGTCAACTTAGTGAGCTTGATAGGGGCCGTATAGTGGGACTTCGGGAAGCTGGACTTTCTTTTCGGGCAATTGCAGTTAGAGTGCAAAGAAGTGTAGACACTGTGGTTAGGTGTTGTCAGGCATGGCTTCGAGAAGGCCGTACGCAAAGAGCAAGGGGCACTGGACGCCGCTGTAGAACAACAGACCGTGAAGATCGCTGCCTAAGATTATTGGCCTTAAGGGACCGTTTCTCCACTACCAGGTCCATTGCAAATGAATGGTTTGCAGAACACGGAAGACCTATTGGCATGCGAAGTGTTTACCGACGAATGAGAAGTTTTGGCTTGTTTTCATACCGGCCACACTGGGTCCTCCCTTTAACTCAAGAACACTGACGTAATCGCCTTGAGTGGTGCAGACAACGGTCACTCTGGGATCAGGAATGGAACAGTATTGTCTTTAGTGACGAGTCTCGATTTTGTTTAGGCATTCACGATGGTCGTGCCAGGGTTAGAAGGCGACGTGGTGAAAGGAGGAATCCACAGTTTCTTGTTGAAAGATATGTTCATCACACTGTTATGGTTTGGGGTGCTATAGCTTATGGTTCCAGGTCACCTTTAATCTTCATCAGAGGTAACATGAACGCGCAGCGTTATATCCACGAAGTTCTAGAACCCCATCTTTTACCCTTTCTTGACACCCTGGCAAATCCAACTTTCCAACAAGATAATGCCCGACCACATGTTGCAAGAGTCACAATAGACTTCTTTCAACATAATGATGTCACATTGTTACCATGGCCACCAAGATCTCCCGACTTATCCCCAATTGAGCACGTGTGGGATATGATGGGTAGGAGATTGCTCAATTTGCAACGTCCTCCTCAGACTTTAGAAGCACTTCGAGAGGAGTTGGTGGTTGCCTGGAATGAGATACATGCCTAGGCGCGTTGGAGAATGCGTAGCACATCAGGGTGCATCCACACATTATTAAAGGTCAAAGGGCTTTAAAGCAGTTCAACCATTTTGAAATTTTTATCATTTACTTATTATGCTTCATCAAGTACTTATACAAAATTTTATTAAAATAAAACCATTTAAACTGGGTGTTCGGATTTATATGTCACTTAGTATATGTTTCTCCTGTCCGCAATAATTGGAAATATGCGTTAGTGTATCAAAGATGGCGCTGCATCCAACTATATGCTCATATAGTTGGCTACACCTTCATCTATGGAACACTAACGTTTGTAAAGCAAATTTATAATTATTGTGGAGAGGCTAAACAAATTTTCATAAATGTCGCCCATTCCATCTCGGATACAGGCATAGCACGTTAATCAATGGTTGTACGAGTATTTAATAAAGAAAAATATAACTAGCAGTTAACATATCGTCGAACATCTGATATTTACCTGCTATCTGACATTTTTGTCCAATTTGAGATATATGCACATTTTTTTTCGTCTACCTACAGCGCACATTGTGATAGAGTCCGCTAACTGCAGAAAAATTTAGTTTTGAATTATTCAGCCAAAACAATACCTACCACTGGCAACACGTCTGTCAATGAGCGGCAATTCCGGCTATCTGACAATTACGCCTGCTATTTTTCTTAACTTTGCAATGAAACGCGACGTTGTGATTTCTCAGAAATATCTCACCAAAGGACACATCCAAATGGAATGTGAATCTGTACACAGTTGCCTTTAAAGAAAACTGAGAAATGGAGTTATTGAATTACCAAATGACTATGTTAAGGCGTCAGAAGAAGCTAGGTCAAAACCAGAGTCATATGAGGTGATTCAATTGAGTTACGACTTCTCCAAGGACTATTTTCGAACAGAGGTACAGCGATTCTCAACAATTAGACCAGGCAGGGCCAATGTAGTCACGGACATCAAAGTACAGGGTGCGGCAGAGAGGATGGACGGTTTTAAAAAAATCTTAAAATTGTTAATTTTTACTGGAAAACAAATTTATTGATGGAATCAGGTTCACAAGGAAATAGCATTTGAGACAGTCAAGTGTGGAAAATCACATCAGGCATGTGGTGGCCGAAATCGTTGATGCAGTGCTGGAGGCGTTCTTGGAAGTTCGCGTAGACTCTCTCCAACATCGCTCTCTCAACTTGGGCGACTTCCACGCGAATTTCGCCCTTCAATTCGTCCAGAGTTCGGGGCCTGTTCGCGTATACTCTAGCCTTGAGGTGTCCCCATAAGAAACAATCGCATATGGATAAATCTGGGGACCCAGGAGGCCAATAAACATCCGCCAAACCTGGAAATAAGGCGACCAGGAAAGAGAGGGCGAATAACGTCGATGGATGCTCGGGCTGTGTGGGCGGTCGCCCCATCCTGCTTGAACCACACACGTCGCATTGGAACACGTCGCCGTCGTAACTCAGGGAGAAAGAAGTTGGTGATCATGTCGACGTAGCGCTCTGAGTTCACGGTAACATCACGACCATTACCGTCTTCGAATAAGTAAGGGCCAATGATGCAAGTTTGCGATACAGCGCACCAAACCGCTACTTTTGGGCTGTGCAGCGGTCTTTCGTGTAACTGTTGCGGATTTTCATTAGCCTAATAACGACAATTCTGCTGGTTAACCATGCTGTTTAGGTGAAAGTCGGCTTCGTCACTCATAAACAAAATGAGGTTCTCATTTTGATCGATCAGTGCTTTCATCTCACGTGCGAAGTTCATTCGTTGTGCATAATCTCCGGGCTTTAACTGTTGCACAATGGCCAATTTGTACGGGTGAAAGCGGAGATCCATATGCAAAATTCGCCTTACCGAACGATCACTAAGGCGAAGTGCAGCAGCATGTTTCCGGGCAGATCGAGTCGGACTGCGAAGGAAGACCTGTCGAACGCGTTCAACATTTTCAGGAGCTCGAACTATTCGCGTCTTCTGTTGATCAGTTCACCACACCTGCGAAGTAATTCAACCCAACGAAGGATGGTGTTTCGAGAGGGAACAGCTCTATTCCGATGAATGTTGAAGTGGCGACGAAACTCACGCTGTACGACGATGACTGACTCATTATTTCGGACGAAAAATCATAGGCGAAAACGCGGTGCTCCACCGTCCAAGGCTCCATAACGACAACTGGTAAAATAATGCTAGGATCTCACGAGTCAAACGTCACCCTCCCCACCTCTCTCGTAGACGGAGGCGGAGAGTACTACCCATCCCAAAAACGTCCGTCCTCTCTGCCGCACCGTGTACTATGTTATAATCCCGATGGAAAATTGAAGTGAAACTAGACTTCAGTGTAGAGCCTCATGGGTTGCCTTTGAGACCAAAACAGCTACCCGTCATTTCAGATTATAAGTGTTATATCTAAGGACTGTCACATTTTTACGACAATTTGCCATAATATGTCAAGGTAAGAACCTGATTTATTTAAGGTGTGACTGAGAATGCTATTATCTTTTTGTTTTGTAAAAGCATTAAACTTTTACTTTGCTATAATGAATAACAGTTTTTCCAACACGAATCTCACTTAATCCATCTATGCATCATAGTACAATATCTACTAACTGCAAAGAAAGTCAGCAGAAATGTCGGCTATCTGCACTAATTTTGTCAGAGCTTCATTTAGATAAAAACGAATATAAAATATGTGTTAATTTATTTTTTGTGACCAAAGTTGTAGAGTCTTAAGGCCGGTAGTATAAAATTGGGGTAAGGTTTTTTTCGTCCCCTGTAAAATTACGGTTCCTGCATATAGCAGGTATTGTCAGATGTCCGACGATATAATAATTATTTTTCCTTTCATTGGGTGTGACATATACTAAGTGACATATAAATCCGAACACCCAGTTTAAATGGTTTTATTTTAATAAAATTTTGTATAAGTACTTAATGAAGCATAATAAGTAAATGATAAAAATTTCAATATGATTGCACTGCTTTAAAGCCCTTTGACCTTTAATAATGTGTGGATGCACCCTGATGTGCTACGCATTCTCCAACGCGCCTAGGCATGCTTCTGATCAGGTGGTCAGTGTCCTCCTGTGGTATCTCATTCCAGGCAACCACCAACTCCTCTCGAAGTGCTTCTAGAGTCTGAGGAGGACGTTGCAAATTGAGCAATCTCCTACCCATCATATCCCACACGTGCTCAATTGGGGATAAGCCGGGAGATCTTGGTGGCCATGGTAACAATGTGACATCATTATGTTGAAAGAAGTCTATTGTGACTCTTGCAACATGTGGTCGGGCATTATCTTGTTGGAAAGTTGGATCTGCCAGGGTGTCAAGATAGGGTAAAAGATGGGGTTCTAGAACTTCGTGGATATAACGCTGCGCGTTCATGTTACCTCTGATGAAGATTAAAGGTGACCTGGAACCATAAGCTATAGCACCCCAAACCATAACTCCAACAGTGTGATGAACATGTATTTCAACAAAAAACTGTGGATTCCTCCTTTCACCACGTCGCCTTCTAACCCTGGCACGACCATCGTGCATGCCTAAACAAAATCGAGACTCGTCACTAAAGACAATACTGTTCCATTCCTGATCCCAGAGTGACCGTTGTCTGCACCACTCAAGGCGATTACGTCGGTGTTCTCGAGTTAAAGGGAGGACCCAGTGTGGCCGGTATGAAAACAAACCAAAACTTCTCATTCGTCGGTAAACACTTCGCATGCCAATAGGTCTTCCGTGTTCTGCAAACCATTCATTTGCAATGGACCTGGTAGTGGAGAAACGGTCCCTTAAGGCCAATAATCTTAGGCGGCGATCTTCACGGTCTGTTGTTCTACGGCGGCGTCCGGTGCTCCTTGCTCTTTGCGTACGGCCTTCTCGAAGCCATGCCTGACAACACCTAACCACAGTGTCTACACTTCTTTGCACTCTAACTGCAATTGCCCGAAAAGAAAGTCCAGCTTCCCGAAGTCCCACTATACGGCCCCTATCAAACTCACTAGGTTGACGAAATCGTACAGGTCTCCGTACTCTAGGCATCGTAAGGGATGTCAAGAACCAAAATCCGCCAACGTTGATTCTTTATTGCGGCTGAAATATTCATTTTTAGAGCGTTAGTGAATTAAAAAAAAGCAGTATAAAAACCGGAATGTCCAACTGATAAGGCTGAAAATTTTTTCACTTGTTATTTACAGTAAGATAAATACATTCACCAACTTTTATTAAAATAAAACCATTTAAACTGGGTGTTCGGATTTATATGTCACTTAGTATACATATATACTTCATGCACGGTCGGGATATCTCAAGTTATATGTACAAATGAGAGAAATCCCTATCTGAATCTAGCTACCCTAGCGATTGAGAAGGAGAACAATCGGGATCGAACCGAATCAAAAGCGAAGGCAAGGTTAAAGCTTGATTCTCACTATAAATTCCGTTTCCATTCCATATCAGTTTCGTAAACGTTCAGTACAATTTGATTGTATACACAGTATACCTTACGGATAATGTGCATACACACGCAATAGCTTGCTATAAGAGAAGGCGAATATTTAATTTCAATAATTTACGGAATGTATAGTGAGAATCAGCAGTATGCGGTCAAGATAGCACGCGTTAATGGTGCGATGCGATAACCCCAAAGCTATGAACGGTTTTCAGCAATATGGATATGTTTGGGTGAAGAATAAGACCAGGCGTTTAGTTAACCCGCGTCTACTTCAAGCTCTGTTTGTCTCGTTCTCGCTTGGATTTCAATCTGCACCCCAGGGAAGTAAGCACACTGCAGACAAAGATGTGCCTCCCTAACTTGCTTCTTGAACCCCAAAGCAGATATAAAACTCCTAAAATCAAGCCGCGTACTATCCCTAATGGACCTTTAAACTAAACTAATAGCTCCCTCATGAATGTGTTTACCAAACCTTTAAAAAAACAATATTTGAGTCGCAAAATTTTGTGACAATGACTCAACCTATAAAACACTTTTGTATATCTGGGACTTTTGTATAAATATGTGCAAATAATCTTCAATAAAAGCACTTTTGTATAATAGAGGTCCCAGAGTACCGCAATTAACCAACACTGGCGCGCAGTCTACCTACTTCACTGCTGTCTTGATTCGGGTTTAACGGCCGTCGTCGGTTGGAATTTCTTCCTAACGTTTCGCTAGCACGAGTGGCAAGCTTCTTCAGAGACTAGTCTACATCCAGCATCGGAAATGGAAGGACCTCTGAAGAAGCTTGCCACTCGTGCTAGCGAAACGTTAGGAAGAAATTCCAACCGACGACGGCGTTTAGACCCGAATCAAGACAGCAGTTTGGTATTCGGTTAGATTTGTTTCACCGGTCAGCTCTTACTTGCCACCAGAGAAGTCCACTAGGGCCGGCGGAGGCTTAGACCAATTCAAACGTAGATATCAAGATTTTATAAGAAATATCTCATTTACGCCGTTCCAGTTTTAAATTCCTATCCTTCAACTTGAATTCAAAACAATTCATTGAGGCTCAAATGTAAATTACGCTAAGGTTGGTAAATCCATTCATAAACGGTTTGTTCTAAAATATTCTCAACATCTATCTCACAGTTATTTTTTTTCTTCAGCAAACTAGTTCGGTCAATATTCAAAAATAAACGGAAAACAAACAAAGCTCTTCTCAAAATTCGTATGCCAAAGATATACACTGAAAACGGTACACTACAACTTCTATGACTAACACATGGCAACAAAAACGACTGTGGCATGTTATAAAAACATCAGGTTTGCTTGAGGATTCGAGACTCTATAGGAGACAAAATAATATAATGGAACAGGGCACTATCCCAATTTTAGAGTACCGGAACTGTAATTAATGATTAATCTAAAATTGAACGTCCTCGAGAAAACGTGAAAACTTCATTATAGGTTATACGTGTCGACCCTTGAATTGGATACATTGTGGAGTATGTTGATTATGATTCGTCTGACCGAAATAATATCTGGCCAGTCTTTCGGCATCCAATTCACGTAAAAAGTGTAAAACGTTTTACCATATATTATTAATTTTCGTCGATATATGTTGGGCCTCCAATAATCCTTTACAACTTAATTAAAAAAATCGCGGATTTTTTTGAGGGGAGGTTTAACTGGAAATATCCAATTTTAATTTAAACATCGATGATACGGTACGAAGAAGTTTGTATCTCGAGGACAGCTTCTTTTATCGGAACAAAGAATATAAGTATAATCTTTTAAATTATTTATGAAGTATTTGGGTGAGCTAGTCCGCTCCTGCATAATTCACCAAAAGCAGTGCCTGGCACAGAACACCTAAGATGGATGTCGAGTTCCAGCTTTGGTTACACCTCTCCGGCCGCCATTGTTATTCCTATTTCAGTAGTCCATGATATTGATGATTTCATGATTAAAGTGCAAATTCGACGGAATGCACATTGCATCTATAACCCGTTAGATATAATCATTTGAGGACTCATTACTGATATATTCTGGGGGGTACTGTTAGTCGTGAAGTAAGGTATGAAGGAAAATGGCGGACAACACTTGTGTTTTGTAGTGCTTCACGCTCCACGTCCTAGTTTTTTCACACGCTGTCAAGTATTGTCAGTTAGGCATCTGTCACATTTGTATTTGATTTTCCTAACAGTCTTTTCCGATTTCAGTCAGATTTCTACCGTCATCGCTTTTGCCTTTAATTCTTATATTTATATCGGTACATCATACTTTAAACATATGTAAATACAGACTTGTTGAAATTATATACTACATATTTAGTGAATTAGTTACTACTCTTAAAACTTACAATGGCACTGAGGCAAATAATTCAAGATAGTAATGATTTTCTAAGCCAAATTACCCAGGAATTCAAGAAATATGAAGAGGAGGTAAGACGTTTTTTGAATAGTGTAATTCCAATAGCTTCATAAGAAATACGAACACGAGGTAACAAGTTTTTTTGAATAGTGTAATTCCATTAGCTTCATACTTATAATTTATTGGACATTTTTTATTAGCCTCTTTATTTGGATTTGACACAGTATTACCGTACATTGAGGCCTTATGTTATCATGTTTTAATATGAATAATTATCAAACCAAATAGCTATTATCAACATAATTTTTCAGAGAAAACTTATCAAGCAGCCATAAATATGAAACAAGGCATAGAACTGATCTGCCTGACAAATGTAATTATAGTTATATACAAAAGAATGTACAGTACATGATTGTTAAAATATATAACGCGTTCCCTGAAACTGTTTAGAACCTCCCAATGGTCCTTCTAAAAAATGTATTAATTGAATGCAATGAAAAGAATTTGTAAATGGTATCATCTTAATTTTTAACAATGTTCTATAGAGTATCTTGTCTGTTACTTTTGGAACAAATATAATCTATCTATCTATCTATCTACTTTTTCAGAGAAATATCTTTTCGACCACAGTTATTGCAGCAGTGCAAAAAGGTGACCGTTCAACAATAGAAAAAGGTTTGTTTGTGTAGGATAGATTTTTTGCCGAATGATTAACTCTTGAACATTCACAGCTCTCAAAAATCAATTTCCGAAGGAAAATACAGTATTAAAAGACATTACAACAGATGTTATCAATGAAACAACTATCAAGCAAGAGCCAAAATGGTCAGATGCACCATCAGAAAATTCTCAGTCGAATGCAGCTTCTGTTACTAAGAAGGACATGCCTCCACCTGCACTGGTGCCACTAAAAAAGAAGAAAATCAAAGAAGAAAAGTCTACAGTTGAGGTGGTTAGGAAATCTGCAAGAACTAAAGGAAGAAAGAAGTTATCGGTATGTGTAAAAGTTATTTGTGTAACCAATGATGAACTGGCTCATTTTAAGTATGTAATAGAAAAAAATTTGGGCTTGGAATATAGCACAAATAAAAAATCTTTGTTTTGTAAAGAATTTCTATTTGAGCAATTTCATATATTTTAATATATTACTAATAATAATAGTGGATTACAATAGCAGATTTTACTAGGAGTGCTATTTAAAAAACTGCATGTGGGTCGTGGAATATCAATTTTATATTACTTTTACAAAATTGCACAAGGTAATGTCTAACCTAGATTCAAAATGTGCATCCAAAAACTCGTATTTTGATGGCTTTATTAAGGATCTGACAATTGAAAACAGTAATGAAGATTTATGCTAAACTTTATAATTGCTAGTATATATTTCATTAGAAAACAGTTTTCCATAATCTTCTGTATAAATAGTGTCATTGTTACTTTTGAAGCTTCACTCTTTTGATATTTTGCCTCATTCTGGGCCCGTTTGCAAGGGACCCAGAATGATGATCAATGTATTGCCTGTAAGAAATGTACGAGCCCCTTCCCACTTCAGTTGGCCCACTTCAAGATTTGTACCTAAATATGCCTTTATAAACTAAACATGACGAAAGTATTTACTTCTAAAACAATTTATTTTCTCAAAAACATTTTAGATACACTCTAGTCGTAAAAAATACATATTTAATCACTTAGACCCATAACTAATAGAACATCTGAACAAATAAACACTGTGCGAATAAATGCGCGAAGATAACAAAGCAACAAAGACATCGGGTAACATCACCTTTATTTTTTATCACGGCTGAAATTTTTTGGGGCATAGTGTTAACCAAGTTTTGGCAAAAATTTGGTGTGAAACAATCCCATATTTCTTGAAGCTTTTGTCTCAGTTCGGTGATTGTACGAGCAGGATGTTGTCGTAGAACCTTTTTCATCTCGTGCCACAAAGTTTCAATAGGTGACAGACCTGGACTGCTAGAAACCCATTTCAGAACTGGTACATTATTTTCTTCCATCCATTTTATAGCCTTTTTTGAGGTATGGCATGCTGCACCAACTTGCTGAAACACAAAATCTTGGCCGGATGTCAAACATTCTTCTAAAATTGCCAAATATTTGTATGTATCCACATTTCCATCAATAAAATGAAGTTTTCCTACTCCTTTTGATGACATACTGCCCCTGACCATAATGGTTGCTGGAAATTTCACTTTTCTCTTCAGACAGTCAACATGGAATGCTTCATTTTTTTTGCGAATAACTCTACTGCGACTGTCACCAACACAAACTTCGAATCGGGCCTCATCACTCCATTGTATTGCACACCATTGTTGAGGTGTCCATTGTCTATGTTCTTTAGCCCATCTACGACGATTTCTCACACTGTACCACGATAAGTCTGACAAAGTTGCAATTTTGATTTCCCAGAATTAAAAAATTTAATTATCAGCAACCGAATTTTCTCACTAATAACCTTTCCTCTACCCATTTTGAAAACCTTAACTACCCAAAACTATTTTAAACGTATTCTGACAGCTGTGATTAATATAAACAATTGTCATGGCTTTTATTTTTCACAGCCACCTTATGCATTATAGACTTATTTTGCATTGAAATGAAAATAGGTTGATATGCTGTAATTGCAACGTGTGTTATTTTTATGCTGCAAATTCGATTAGGGAGTGATAAAGTTGGTATCACCCTGCTACATTTTTATTATCTGTGTTTGATAAGAAAAAACTAAGATTTCAATAGTTGGGCCAACTGAAGTGGCAGGGGGCTCGTATTGTTGGCGATGTCTTCTGTTTTATACATTTTCAAAAACCACAAAGCTTTTCTTGGCGTACTAGTAACCTTACGTGGTTTATTGTGTTGTCAAAGTCATGTAATATGCAAAAACCCTAGTATCTCAATTTCAAATCTTTTCTCAATTACAATACTGCCTTGCCAGCTGGTGTGGAAAGTAACAATGAATGTTTTTTTTTCCAAATGTGTGTCACCGATTTCGCCTTCTTTTCACTCATGTGCCGCTAAATATTCTTTTTATCTTTTGTCTTATAGAAGAACTCTGACAAATCGACTGAACGACCATCTGATGTGGTTATACAAGAGCCGCCTGTCCCGACAGTAGATTTAGATGAAGAGGATCAGCCTGCCAGCTCAGTAATGTCAGAAGATAGCTCTGTTGCAAAAACGACCAGGAGGACACGGTCAAAGGCGGTAAAGAAAACTGCAAACTCTGGATCCACAACAGACAAAGAAAAAGAGAAAGCTGCTGGTCAGTCAAACAATGACAAACCTGTAAGAAGTACTCGCACGAAAACTATTAAGAAGAGTCAGAAGAGGTCTGTGTCCGGATCACCAGAAAAGTCGAGTTCATCAGAGGTATGTTAATAATTACCGTGAGTGTTTAATTATTCATTTATACAGGGTGCTCTGAAAGTTGAAACTTTCCATTTGTTTGTTGCTGGAAATATACAGGGTGGCCCAACGAAAAGGTCGCACCCCTATTTGTGACTCTCCCGGTATATTTTGGGAAAGACGCTCTGACTTGTCTGTTTTGATTTCTAGGGGGACGTCTTTTCATCTGTAGCGGGGTGATCAAAAAATAAGATATTGCGTTATACCTTAGATTTTCCACAATTCTTTTTCATGTTTAGATTTGCAATTTTCCTTTTCCACTGGCGGGCCGTCGGCGATCTAGCTATTTTTTTTTGTATCGCTACACCAACGGGCTTTGCTTCTCAGAGCTCTCTTCCATGATGCCACCGCGCGATGTGCCTGCCAGACAGACCCGCCTGACCTTGGCGTCCCATCCTAACAGTGTCGATCTTCGTACATCCAGAACTGGCCGATACGACCGCTCCTTTGTCACGAGGGTGCCGAGATTGTGGAACAATCTACAAGAGGAAGCTTTTCCCGGTTCTATGGGGTTGTCCAAAACGGACTCAGGAAAGTAAACGCATATTAAAACAAGAAAGATTGATATTCAAATCAAGTTGGGTACTTTATTTTGAAGGTTCATTTATACCATTTATGTATGAAAAATAATATCGCACAAATGTTCACCACGACTGGATTTACAGACGTCCACGCGATGGTCGAAATTTTCAATGACATTTTGCAACACGGTCGGTTCTATGGCATTTATCTTGGCAATGATCTTGTTTTTGAGTTCTTGGAGGGTGGCCGGTTTATTGACGTAGACTTTGCTTTTCAAATATCCCCATAAAAAGAAGTCCAAGGGAGTCAAATCGCACGATCTTGGTGGCCATGGCACATTTCCTCTGCGCGAAATCACGCGATCACCGAAGAAGGACTGCAATCGATGGATATTGACGTTGGTTGTGTGGCATGTTGCACCGTCTTGTTGGAAATAAACATCGTCCATATCCATTCCTTCAAGTTGCGGCAAAAAATAGTCCTCTATCATCACGTGATATCGCTCAGAATTGACGGTAACGGCGTCCCCGGCCGCATTTTCGAAAAAGTAAGGTCCGATGATGCCTTTTGACCACAATGCACACCACACAGTCACTTTTTGAGGATGCATCGGCTGCTCTTGATACTCACGGGGATTTTCGTTCGCCCAGATGCGGCAGTTTTGCTTGTTTACCGTCCCATTCAAAGTGAAATGCGCTTCGTCGCTGAACATGATTTTTGATGAAAAATTGGCATCAATTTGGCGGTGTTCAAGGAGCCAATCTGAGAACGTTCGGTGCGAAAAATGGTCGGCCCGACGCAGCTCTTGCGTCAATTGGATCTTGTAGGCGTGTACATTCAAATCCTTGTGGAGAATGCGGAGCAAACTGGTTCTCGAAATGCCCAATTCTTGGGATCGACGCGTTGTTGATTTTTTCGGATCGTCTCTCACACTCTCCTTCACAACAGCAATATTTTCCGGTATGCGAACGCTCCTTGGCCGGTCAGAGCCTGGCAGATTTGCCACAGAACCTGTTTCCTCGAATTTACGCACCAGACGACCGATGGTTGTTTCGTTTGGGCGGTTGTTGCGACGGAAATGTTCATGAAGCGCGCGAAACGTATTTTTTATTTTTGCACCATTTTTGTAGTGCTCTTGAATAACTTTAATGCGGTCTTCAATCGAATACGACTCCATAGCGATCAATGGTAAACATTCAACTAACAAAATGACATGTCGGTGACAGAAAACAAAGATGGCGTCTATGTCAAATTGACGTTTACGTTCCTGCGTCCCTATTGGACAACCCATTACTAACATTAGGCAGTTCAAAAATCGTATTAAAAAAAATTGGGATCATCATAGCAGCCGCGGTGTCCCGGCATTTAGGCTTCTGTCTGCGCCACTGCATCGGTATAAAAAAATGAAGTTTTTAGTAACTTTTCCATAATAAAGTTCATACCTATCTTGAATCGTTGTGAAGCTGTTTGAGTTTAAAATAAAATTCTAGAAATTATGATGATAAGGGATTATTTTTTTTGCCATGGATGCCATTATTATCAGTATTAAGTTAGTCGAATTTTATTATAAACTCAAATAGCTTCACAACGATTGAAGATAGGTATAAGCTTTAATATACAAAAGTTACTAAAAACTTTTAATAATGAAATAGTCTATCTATACTCAGTAACTTTACAAAACCTCGAAACAAGGCTGCTAGTTGCTTAGTTGTTGGTTTCAGGAGAACACAAAACAACTGAACTCTGGATTGTGGTGAAGTCAAGTGGTCATCGGGTTACTTTTGTGAGAACACTTTGGATGGTTGTGTCTACAAAATTTAAAACTCGATTCAACATTTTCATTATTTCCTTTACTAACACAATCAGAATCCATTTCTCGTGAATACAGTAAATATTTCAGGTTTTTAGCAAAAAGTTAAAACTATCTTCTTCACCTCAGAAAAAAGCCAATGATGAAGCTCCCAAGGAAGTTGCTAATCTGGAAACGACATTCACGAAATTACCAGATGCGCGGGCTACTTTTAAGATAGAACCCAGCTCCGACTTTCCGTTGAACAGCACAATAGTCGTTGAAAATCCAAAGTTGCTCAAAGATGGCACTACCGCTGCTGGATCTAACGCCAGTAACCAAAAGAAGAATCATCAGAATAAGGTGAATGGGGACGTGTTTAGTCCTGTTAGATCAAAAGTGAATGCTTATGAAGAACTCATCAAGAAACGGACCACTCCATTGTCTAAAGCGGGTGCTAAAGCCACCTCACCTATGTCCAGGCTTCCAGTTGTCAAAGCTGCTTCTTCCAAGCCGAATAAATATTTGCCATGTAAGTTAAATTAGTCATATTTTTTTCATCGTTTTTGAGCTTACCCTTGCCAAATCGGAGTATTTGAACATTTCCGACACCTCTGTAACGTTTTTAAAACTGAATGATTGATAAATAGAGCTTTTCTTTTGGATCGCAGAATCAAAACGTTGTTTATAAGCTTCATAGTGAAGAATTTGGGTGTCCCAGAGTTTCTCGTATACAGTGAAATCTCCTCGGGACGGACACCAACGGGAGAAAAAAAGGTTTGTTAGATATATACAATGTATACATATAAACGAAGTAACACAAAACAGTGCTGCAATAGCGATACTTTCATCAGACAAAACTAAGACAAGGCGTTTCTTTTTATTTTGTTTTTTGTCCGGTTCCGCGAAGGGGAGTTTCACTGTAGATATGAAACATAAAAAAATAACTCCGCAAGTTCCTATAAATGAAAAAAATATGGGAGAAATATCCAGGTCCATAAAGGAAATATTGAACTATATGGATATATATATATATATATATATATATATATAACTTGAGACGTGGTCATTGTCGTCTAGACCAGTTAGGTGAAAAATTAAAGCTTCCGCCTTTTGTTGGGTACTTCGACAAAATTTAAGCAAAGAGGACTCTTTATACTTTTTTAATTCTCTCTAGCTTTCAATGGACTTTGCCATCATCATCAGGAGCTGCAATTACAATGATAACAGTAGCAACAAAAGTGTAAAATGAATTTAAATAAATTTTCAAGTGGCTTCACGATGTAATGCTCTAATGTTTTTTAAATAATTTTTAATCTGTTTTTAACTTGTTCTTGTCATATTTTATATAATTTTGACCATTGTACAATCTAACCAGCTCTTACCATGTTACTGGACGTTTCCCTCATCCTATACGTAAACAACAATTAGCAACATCCTCACATACTACTGTAAGTTGAGTCAATTTAAATTCATTTTACACTTTTGTTGCTACTGTTATCATTGTAATTGCAGCTCCTGATGATGATGGCAAAGTCCATTGAAAGCTAGAGAGAATTAAAAAAGTATAAAGAGTCCTCTTTGCTTAAATTTTGTCGAAGTACCCAACAAAAGGCGGAAGCTTTAATTTTTCACCTAATATATATATATATATATATATATATAGGTGAAAAATTAAAGCTTCCGCTTTTTGTTGGGTACTTCGACAAGCGGAAGCTTTAATTTTTCACCTAACTGGTCTAGACGACAATGACCACGTCTCAAGTTATATATATATATATAGGGTGTCCCAGAAGTCGACGTCAAGCCGAAACCGGGTGATAGGCAAAGTCATAACAGCTATCAGAAAAATATTTAAAAAAATTTTATGTATGTGTTTTGAAAATTATAGGTCTTTGAAAAAAAAATGTAGAAATTTCACACCCTACGGCAGTCTGTCAACTCCTGTTACTACAAATATTAACTTTTTTTGGATTTTATTTTTACAATGTAATGATGAATAATGCATCTTCAAACTGGTGTCTCAACCTTACTGCCAACTTTTCTCGTTCAGGAAAAATTGCCACTTATTTCCCAACCAAGTATTCCAAAGTAAAACTTTGCTCAACTTTAACTGGCTGTACTGGAAAAAATGTACTACGAGAGTTTGGCAAGTAACCTTAAAAGTTGGCGCATTTAATAACGATTCCAAAATGGTATAACACTTGGAAGATTACTCGTTAACTTATGCACAATTTTTATTTGAAAAAAAACTGATGAAAATTTTTCAAAATTTACTAATTAAACAGCGATTATGAAAACGCACAAGGACCCTTAAGGATAACTGTTTGCACAACAGTGGGCGTCAAAATGCTGCTGATGATGATTTACCTTTACAGCAAATGCTCAAACTGTTTTCCTTCAGCCGCAATACACGCTCGACATCTTCTTAAAAAAGATCGGGTTATTAAACGAGCGAATCCACGGTTATTAACAAACTCAGCTGCTTCCAATAGTCTTTGCCGTAGTTCAGCTACATTTTGAATCGGCTTGAAATACACTTTTTCTTTTACAGTTCCCCAGTAAAAAAATCTAAAGGATTCAAATCAGGTGATCGGGCTGGCCACGGTATTGTACCAGACCGCCTTATCCATCTACCTGGAAAGTTTTGATCGAGATACTCTCTCACTGAGAGTGCATAGTGCGCTGGGCAGCCATCATGCTGAAACCACATGTCCCTGTAAATACTCAGTGGCACGTCCACCAAAAAATTTTGTACATGATTTTTCAAAAAATCCAAATAAACTTCAGCAGTCAAAGTCTCTGGGAACTCAAACGGACCGATTATTTTACCATTTAAAATTCCTGTCCAATGGTTTATCTTGAAGCGATATTGAGATTTATCTTCTCTCATCAAATGTGAGTTTGCTACGTGCCACTCGTGTAAGTTATGCAGTTTCATGTACCAATCTTTTTTAAATGTGTGATGTGCTTCATCCATACCACGTACAGCGTGTTCAAGCTCTTCTGCCCCGGGATTATGAGCCCCGAGTTGCTTTTTGTCGCACAATGTTAAAGACACAGGGAAGATCCACGGTTCTTTGAAAAAATTTTATGGTCAGATGAGACCACATTTAAAAAAGATTGGTACATGAACCTGCATAACTTACACGAGAGGCACGTAGCAAACCCACATTTGATGAGAGAAGATAAATCTCAATATCGCTTCAAGATAAACCATTGGACAGGAATTTTAAATGGTAAAATAATCGGTCCGTTTGAGTTCCCAGAGACTTTGACTGCTGAGGTTTATTTAGGTTTTTTGCAAAATCATTTAGAAAATTTATTGGAGGACGTGCCACTGAGTATTTACAGGGACATGTGGTTTCAGCATGATGGCTGCCCAGCGCACTATGCACTCTCAGTGAGAGAGTATCTCGATCAAAACTTTCCAGGCAGATGGATAGGGCGGTCTGGTACAATAGCCCGGTCACCAGATTTGAATCCGTTAGATTTTTTTTACTGGGGAACTGTAAAAGAAAAAGTGTATTTCAAGTCGATTCAAAATGTAGCTGAGCTACGGCAAAGACTATTGGAAGCAGCTGAGTTTGTTAATAACCGTGGATTCGCTCATTTAATAACCCGATCTTTTTTAAGAAGATGTCGAGCGTGTATTGCGGCTAAAGGAAAACAGTTTGAGCATTTGCTGTAGAGGTAAATCATCATCAGCAGCATTTTGACGCCCACTGTTGTGCAAACAGTTATCCTTAAGGGTCCTTGTGCGTTTTCATAATCGCTGTTTAATTAGGAAATTTTGAAAAATTTTCATCAGTTTTTCTTCAAATAAAAATTGTGCATAAGTTAACGAGTAATCTTCTAAGTGTTATACCATTTTGAAATCGTTATTAAATGCGCTAACTTTTAAGGTTACTTGGCCAAACTCTCGTAGTAGATTTTTTTCCAGTACAGAGAGTTAAAGTTGAGCAAAGTTTTACTTTGGAATACTTGGTTGGGAAATAAGTGGCAATTTTTCCTGAACGAGAAAAGTTGGCAGTAAGGTTGAGACACCAGTTTGAAGATGCATTATTCATCATTACATTGTAAAAATGAAATCCAAAAAAAGTTAATATTTGTAGTAACAGGAGTTGACAGACTGCCGTAGGGTGTGAAATTTCTATATTTTTTTCAAAGACCTATAATTTTCAAAACACATACATAAATTTTGTTAAATATTTTTCTGATAGCTGTTATGACTTTGCCTATCACCCGGTTTCGGCTTGACGTCGACTTCTGGGACACCCTGTATATATGCTAAATAATTTTAAGATGACTCGTTTTTTAGCCGCTCAGCCTCAGCAAAAGTTGTCGATAAACCTTCCTGCAGCTCAGTCTAACAGTGCAATGAAAGCGTCATTAGCTGAAATGAAAGAGAGACAGAAGCAGCGACAGGTAAAGGAGATGGAAGCTTTGAGGAAGAAAGAAGCACTTTTGCAGGCTCAAATGGAAGAAAAGAGGAAGAAACGGGAAGAGAAACAACTAAAAGTTAGTATTCTATTGATTTTTTTAAGTAGTTTCAGTGCGAAGTTTATCGATGTTTCAACAGAAACACTTTTTGGTAAACTGAAGGTTTTCAAGGTCGTGCTCTGAAATAAATGTACGGGGAATTCAATGACCCGTGAAATATGTCTAAAAGGTGCGTAGAATTACCATGGCTAGAGGCGTATAAGTATACCACTGTCAGAAAATTGAGATATATCCTAAAAAATTTAATCTCAAAATTCATCGACACTAAAATACCGCCTTGCCGAGTACATTTATTTCGGAGTATCAATATAAGTTTTTCAATAATCGCTAGAACAACATGTTATCGTTCAAATGACACCAAATTTATCATTCTGTGACTCTTATGCTCTCAGTTATTACAATTTTCATACACGCTCTAGCGTAATCGTAACGTAAAAATAAAAACGGCTGCCATTTCAAGGGGGGTGAGAGGACATTGTAGGGGGTGGATTTGTCGATAAAAATAGCTGAAAAATACCCCCCTTAAATGTCGGTATGTCGTGACCAAACACATTGTATATATATATATATATAACTTGAGACGTGGTCATTGTCGTCTAGACCAGTTAGGTGAAAATTAAAGCTTTTGTTGGGTACTTCGACAAAATTTAAGCAAGGAGGACTCTTTATACTTTTTAATCTCTCTAGCTTTCAATGGTCTTTGCCATCATCATCAGGAGCTGCAATTACATTGATAAACGATTGATTCTACACGGACACTAACCTTTGGCCATCTGTCAAAAGGTTCGTCTTACTCATGATTCTATGCCCACCATTTTGTGCAATCAAGTGGCTTCATCATGTAATGCTTAACTTTCGGTTTAAATATTTTTAATCTGTTTTTAATTTGTTCTTGTCATACAGCTGTGTGTAGGTTGTATAATTTTGACCATTGTACCATGTATCCAGCTTTCACCATGTTACTGGGTGTTTCCCTCATCCTTAACGTAAATAACATTTAGAAACATCCTCACATAAGTTAATTTAAATTCATTTTACACAATTGTTGCTACTTTTATCAATGTAATTGCAGCTCCTGATGATGATGGCAAAGACCATTGAAAGCTAGAGAGATTAAAAAAGCTTAAATTTTGTCGAAGTACCCAAAAAAAAGCCGAAGCTTTAATTTTCACCTATATATACAGGGTGACATTGAAGTTGAGTCATTAATTTTCAGGTAATGATTGTAGAAGGAAGATAAACCAAAATATGTGTGTAAAAATAAAAAAAAAATTTACCTTGTTTTATAAAGTATCCTCCCGACAAGTATTTCAGTGCGGACCTGTATTTGATCGTGAGGTGCCCTGTGAGGTCTTGAGACAGGGCGGTACTCAAACTTCCAAAGGGCTATAACTTTGTTACTTTAATTTTACCAGAAAAATGGTAAAGGAAAAAAACATTTCTTTTGATCAGATCTACTCACTGTTAAAATAAATGACTCAACTTCGAAGTCACCCTGTATATATATATATATATAATGGACGCAGGAGGTTGCATGTTACTGTATGTTGAAACATGTTCATGACATACTAACAGATAGATGAGACTACACTACTACTACTACACTTTCATGTACCAATTCATTTAATTCTGCATGGCCATTTACACGTAAGGAAACTGTGTTCTCTCTGGGTACCGCATAGTCTGGCGGAAGAGCAGAAGATTCGTCGTACGACTTGGTGCCGAAAGATGCTGAAAATGTTTGATTAGGGGCAATCTCGGTATGTGAACAGCATCGTGACAAGCGACGAGACTTGGCTCTATTGTTACGATGTGCCGATCAAGGCTCAAAACAAAATTTAGATCTTTGAATGATGAGGACACAGCAGTAGCTGTCAGAAAAAAATTGTAGCTGTATATCGAGCCGGATTGTGGAGCGTGTCGTTTTGAACACACAGAAGACAGTCACAGCTAAGTGGTACACGGAACAGTGCCTGCCTAAAGTCATAGAGTCTATGAAAAACCTGCGGCCAAAGTCAAGAATGGACACTTGGTACCTCCACCGTGACAACGCTCCACCTCACCGCGCCAAAGCCTGCACCGAGTATTCGACCACTACTGGACTGAAACTTATTGAGTACCCTCCTTACAGTCCAGATCTTGCCCCCTGCTACTTTGCACTGTTTCCGCATGCGAAAATGAAGCTAAAAGGAAACCGATGTGCCGCACTCCTGAGTGAAACTTGGCAGAGCTGGTCTAAGGTCTTTTAATTACTTTGAACGAAGTCAATAAATACAGTTGTATTGCAAAACTTTCATAGTACCCTTTGTACTAGTTTCGGTTAATAGAGTCTACCTATTTGACGATATTTATAAAGATGTTTCTTATTGCAGGCGCAACAGCAACGTGAACAACTGGAAAGAGAACGTAGCAGAACGCGAGCAGATCAAATAAACAAAGTAGAGGAGAAAACGAAGAAAATAATGGCCGTTAAAGAAGAGAAGCTCCAACATTTCAAGGAGCTACAAGAGAAAAAACGGCAGATTGCCAAGGAGAGACACCAAAATCAAGTTATCCCGAATTATTTAACTACACCGTTGCCTTTGTTGCCGAGCGACAGTCCTTATGATTCGGATGACGAGAGATACACTAAAAAAAGTATGCCCTCGTGGGCTAAAGGTGAGAAACTTTTTTTGTTCATCATCTATACTAAAATTCAGCCCAAGTGAGACCACAACATCGCAAACTCGAAGCGTGATCAGCGCGTGATCGATGTTCCCGCAGAGGGTCTCATTATAGTTCAGGCATCTTACGGTTTGAAGTTGTAGTTTGAAGCGCTTGCTTTTTCAACTAATAGTTTCATTTCGTAGTTTTTATTTTTCTTTTTTTAAACTTTCCGCCTCTCATATTGATGCTTTTGTTAAATACAATGTCCTGGCTCCAATATAAAACTCCATGAATTTGGAAAACATGCAGTTTCGAACATTTTTTAAGACCTAGTTAGACTGTAGCAATACAAAACCCCCCGTTGCGCCGCGTTGATGTCTACAAAAACCAGAGTTGTAATCAGGCCGTGGCGTGGCGTCGAGTGCATCGCTGTTATAAGTTCTGTTATATCTGGTGTTTTTTGACCATGTCTTCTACCGACACAGCTGATGAAGGGAGAACTACATTGAGTCCACCCAGGAAACGATCAAGACAAAACCATTTGAGCATCGAAGTGAAAGAAATTATTTTAAATGTTTACAAATGTGAAACGGAGGAAAAACCTGAGCTCAGCGTCAACGATGTTGTGCAGAGGGTGGCGAATAAAGTTGGAGTTTCTCGTGCATCGGTATTTAGAGTACTCAAATTACGGAATGCATTTGCTGAGCCTAAAACGAATCAGAACCGTAAAAGCCAAATTAAAGAAATAGATGATGCTGACAGACATGCGATCAGAAGGAAGGTTCATGAATTCTTTTTCCAGAATGAAATTCCTACAATTGATAAGATTTTGAAAGTAGTGAATGAAGACTCAGATTTGCCGAATTTTAGTAAAACGACGTTCTACAGGCTATTAAAGGAACTCAACTTCAATTGGCAGAAGAGAGGCCGAAACAGTTCATTGATGGATAGAGATGAAATTATACTATGGAGGAGAGAGTATTTGACAAAAATAAAAACATACAGGAGCCAAAACCGTAGAATTTACTTCCTGGACGAGACGTGGATAAATGCTGGCCATACAAAATCAAAAGTTTGGGTGGACCAAACAGTAACGTCAGCAAGAAGAGCGTTTTTAGATGGGCTTTCAACTGGGCTTAAAAACCCTACAGGTAATGCAGACATTCCATTTTAGAAAATCCAACAATAGTTATTAGATAATTTTTCATAGCCAATGTGATTTAAATGAGGCATTACACGTTATCAGATATCTAGAAAAAACGAGGGGATGTTCACTCTGGAAATCAATGTATTCTACGTTGGAATTCTTATGGTATCGATGACAAGATTTTTTACAGCAATGCGAGCGTTGCAGAGACAACATACCTCGTCCGTCACGGAATGTAACACGTTAATTCACAACGTCAGACATTGCGTTGATTTGTAAATTTTTCGATAAGTTTGTCACACTTGATAATTTTTTAGTTTAATTGATGTTGCCTGTTTCTTTTTGTTTTTTAAGCTAACCAGATTCATCAACAGATTAAATGATGCATTGGTAGAAGTGTCCGATATATCTCACCGCATGCATCCCGCTATCATGAGAAACAATATAGCATCGTATATAAAATACAGAAATGTGTCCCTATCTCCGTGGCCACAGTACTCTTGTGAAAGACATATAATGTACATCCGTATTTAACAAGTTTTATCTTTATAGGCAAAGGAAAAAGGCTCATTATTTGCCACATCGGGAGTGTAGATGGCTTCGTGAAGGAAGGACTATGGTGTTTTGAATCAAAAAAAAACCACTGACTACCACGAAGAGATGAATGGTGAAGCATTCGAAAACTGGTTTTTAGGCATTTTACCTCGTCTTAAAGACAATTCTGTGGTGGTCCTGGATAATGCTCTGTATCATTCTCGGAAATTAGAAAAAAATCCAAATTCATCTTTTAAGAAATCAGAGATACAGGACTGGCTACGTGCAAAAAATATACCTTTTTATACGTTTATGTTGAAATTACAACTTCTAGATCTTGTGAAACAACACAGAGCAAAATATGATAAATATATAGTGGACGAGATGGCAAAAGCGCACAATAAAATGGTACTTCGTTTGCCTCCTTACCACTGTGAGGTCAACCCCATTGAGCTCATACGGGCAGATATAAAGAATTTTGTTGCTGAACACAACACAACATTCAGGAGAAAGTGGAGGTTGCAATGTGGGAGATAGACAACATAATTGAAAGGCATATTGAACCGCTAATTATCAACATCTATGATGACAGCTCTTCTAGTGAAAGTGAAAAATATTGATGTTGTCAAACACATATGTATAATTACTTTTTGTGCCCCCCTTAACTTTCAATCACCTCTATTGACTCTGTGACAGTAGTGTTGTGTTATTATTTACTGATGTCTCTTTTTCAAATATTTAGTTCTGAAATATCACCTTAATATTTCCATAGTTTTGAGTCCGACCCTGCTTGGTTCTTGTGTCTACGACCATCATGCCAGCGACGCGTGCTGGTTGTTGTGTCTGGTCTCACTTGAAATGGATTCAAGTATAGTTTCTTTTTGTAATGCTTTTAGGATGTTTTTAGCATTCCCTTTTTTTCAGATGATTTAGCGCTTTTGGCACAGTGCCAATTCCCGGATAAAGTGAAGAACACGTTCTTCTGCCGCAAGACACACACTCCAGATGTCTTGGAACTGTTTGAGGTTGTTGATCCGAAGAGGACGAAAAGGACGTCTAGTGCTGTTTGGGACAAAGCCCCATCATATTCGATTTTACACGTTACACAAGATATTGTGGAGTCATCCGATTCCAGTTAGTCTTTAAGTTTTTAAACTTGAACAGACCGGTTGAAGTGGATTTTAAAGAGGGTACGAGTCAACACTCGATTTTAAAGTAGATGTTTCTCAAAGAAAGATTAGTGTTCTGTATAAGAGCAACTGCTCATATCCAATATTTTGCGTGAACCTCCATAAACTTGCATCGGTTTTTACCACACGCTATAATTTTTTCGTTGTAACCATGTGCCGATTAAACTGATTCAAGACTTGAAAATATGGCAATCAAGTTGGGAAAAAGTCAGTGGCGTAGAAAATATTCCTTTTCTGGGGTCAAAATGTACCAGCTTTAGTGCTCCTTTTGAGCGCGGAATACGTGAAAAAAGTGCTGGGGGAGGAGATCAGGATTGATGTTCAGGAGGATGCCCGTCACGAGGAGGAGGGTATTGCAGATTGAAAATTGAAAACATGCAATTTTTTAAACAAAAATATTTTGCATTAAACTGAGTGATTCTTTCATTCTGTGATTACTTTGTTGCACAAACAAGATAGTAACAAACTAATTAAACAATATTTAAAATGTCAATGAAGTAAAAAGTTACAATAAAAAGTGTTTAAAGTCAGTTTTCTAGAAACAATGATTTTGTTACATTTACCCACTTGTGTCTGGAACAATGTTTAAAAACTTTTGTAACGTTTCGTTCGCCTCTGTAGGATTGTATGATGGCTTCCAAAAAGAAATTGTGAAATGAAAGAATGGTTAAGATGAATTGCCTGGATGTATTTTGATCTACTTCAAACGGTTTTTGATTTTATTTTTTTCTGAATATATCTTGTCATTGTCTTAGTATTACTTTATGATATAAAAATATTTTTGCATTTCTAAATAAAATAAAACATAGAGAATAACGTTCGTTCATTTCAACATCATCATCATCACCATCGTAGCGTTTTACTTCCGCCGCCTACTGGCGAAGATGTCGGTACTCGTAAACAAAAGCTAGTGAATTTCGTTGTTCATCTGTTGACAGTTACTGACCAAAGCTTCAGCCCTTTGTACGCCCACTTGTTGTGTAACAGTCGTTTAAGTGAGTTGATGTGTTTTTATGAAAATGGACAAAATCGAGTATAGAGCTGTGATTAAATATTTGTTTTTGAAAGGCAATACGCTTGCGCAAATCAAAGATGAGTTGGATTCTCTGTATGGAGACTCTGCACCATCATTTTCACCACAGTGAAATTTTGGTCAGCTGAATTTAAACGTGGCCGTAAGATCTTTGGAGACGATGAACATTCGGGACGTCCGAAAACTGCAACTACCGACGAAAACATCGCCAAAGTCCACCAAATGATGCTAGACGACCGCCGAATTAAAGTGAGGGAATAACGCAGGTCCTGGACATGTCAAAAGGACGTGTTTGTCACATATTAAATCAACATTTAGGCATGAGAAATCTGCTTATACTCGTACAATTCCAACCTCGGCAGTTCTATGCGATTTTTCACACGTCATATATACGAGGGATGTCTTTTAAGTTTTGCATATGGAAATAAAACAACACGGTTAGGTAGTTTTAAATGACTTTATTGTTTTTCGAAGTATTCTCCACGAAGATTAATACACATCTGCATGCGCTCGAACCAATTTTCGAAGCACTTATTCCACTCGTTTGCTGGCAGATCCAAAACGGCATTTTTGAATGCGTCAACTGCTTCTTCTGGTGACTGGAACCTTTGACCACACAGTCTGTTTTTAATTTTCAGAAAAGTAAAGAAATCGTTAGAACTTGGATCGGGACTATATATATGGAGGATGGTCCAATAATTCCACGTTTTCTTCCGTTAAATACTGCCTTGTTTTTTGGGCTGTATGCGAGCTTGCATTATCTTGGTGGAGGATGATTCTTCTTTCGGGGTTGATTTTTCGAAGCTCGGTGATGACTTTTGGCAAACAAATGGTGGTATACCAACCCCCAGTAACAGTTCTTTGCTCATTAAGAGGAATTGTTGCAATATGACCCGCTTTTGACGCAAATGTCGCGAACATCTTTTTTTCGAAACACCCAAACAGCCGACTGTCTATTTTCTGGTTCATAACAGTAAATCCACGATTCATCACCACTAACAATGCTGTACACATTTTTTGAGTTTCCGGAATTGAAACGGTCAAGCGTTTTTGACACCAATTAACCCTGGCTGCTTTCTGCTCTTCAGTCAACAGGTGGGGTATCCAACGAGAAACTAATTTTCTTACTCCTAATTATTCATGTGAAATTTTTTGAAGTGAGATCTTTGAGATCTTCAAGGACGCCTCAATCTCGCGATATATCACATGTCTATCTTCAATGATGAGTTTGCGCACAGCATCGACGTTTTCCTGGGCGACTGCCGTTTTTGGTGCACCTACCCTGGTATCGTCGCTAAAAATCACCCATCCACGTTTGAATTCTCCATACCAACGGGAAATTGTCGACTGATGTGGCGCTTCGTTGCCTAAAACAGACCGTAACTCAGCAAGGCATGCTTGTTGCGATAATTGTCTCTGAAAGTTGTAATAAATTATGGCGCGAAAATGTTCCATTTCTCTAATGACTTGGTGACACTTAAAAATTCACTGTAGTGAGAACACTGCACATATTGTTGTGAAACTTTGAATTAAAGTTTACTAAAGAGTGAGGTTAAGATTCAGTGCTGACGTTCGATCCGCGTGGCCTTCTATGTTTCTATATGCAAAACTTAAAGGACATCCCTCGTACAGTCATTTATTTTCCCTTAAAACAGAATTATTGAGAAATGCTTTCGATATGTTTGGGATCACCGAGTACTCGTATATCAGTCTCACTAAGGTGTCGGCCTTACTGCCTTTTCAGATATCGTGGATAGACGACGTTGATATGATCTACCTGTATGGGCCTATTTGACTGACTTGATCCGTTCAGAGGGTCAAGTTTGTGCTGAATACAATCATTTATGAACTGATGATGGCGTTGACTTAGACGTGCAGTTAACCTTCTTGACGCTAGTTTTTATGAGTGGGGTTAATTTACACACGTGGATCATCTATGAAAATTTTATTACATTCAAAACGTAAAAATAATATATTTTACACTAAAAACTAAAACACTCAAAATAGATTACGTCTAAAAAAGATATATAAATAACAGTTACAAACAGCAGCTGCAGTAATCATGTTGTAAATGTACAAATAACAAAAAAGGATATAATGATTCAGTCCTGCATTAAGGATACATTGTTCCACAGAATAATTATTTTAATGACGTAAAGGCGAACCCGTCGTTAGGTATTCAAAATGTTAAAAAAATATGTAAAATACCATTTCTATTACATTCAATAGGATCTTGGAAAATTTCCAAAATTATATTATTTCTCTTGGCTCAGGCATAATTCACATATACCAATGTTCCTGTTTTCTTTAGTTGATTCAAATATAACCTTATATAACTTACTGGACAGTCAGGACAGGCATTTTCGCGCGACGTGTTTCTGCGATTGGTGCAAGCCGAAAATGCAGCGTTCGTTAGAGCAGAGGTACGCGATTAAATTCTGTATGAAACTCGGTAAATATGCGACTGAGACGTTTGATATGATCAAGCAGGCTTACCCAGGTGTTGCTTTAGCAAGAAGTGATGTGTGTCGGTGGCACCAGGCCTTTTTAGACAGCTGATGAAGACCTTCGACTTCGACAAACACCGATAATGTGACTCGTGACTCAGAAAGTATTCGTTTAATTGCCCAGATGTTAAATTTACCAAAATCTGTCAGACAAGACATCGCAGCCGACTGGAAGTTGCACCACGACAACGCCCCGGCTCACACCGCCAAGGCCGGCATCCCAACGCTTCCGCAGCCGCCCTACAGCCCAGATGTGCCCCCCCCCCCGGACTTTTTTTGTTTCCTCGCCTGAAAAGGTCGATGAAAGGTAAGCATTTTGAGACGACAGAGGGGATCCAAGAGCATGCACCGCGGCTTTCAAGGCTATTCCGGAGAATGCCTTCCATGACGCCTTCAATACTTGGAAATCGCGCTGGCAGCGCTGCATCGACGCAGAAGGAGCCTATTTTGAAAGTTTTTAAAGAATTGTAACGATTGGCTCAATAAATTTTTTTAAATCGACTCAGTCCTATTACTTTCCGGACAAACCCTGTATTTACTGTTTTGACATTTAAATAATTTTTCCGCCAAACTAGCATGTCATGCAATTTAAAGTATGCCTTAATGTGATTACCATTAACTCAAAGGATTATGCATGCAACTTGTGTCGAGTGACAGTGTCGCTCAACAATGTTTGACACACCGTGTTGCCAATCTCACGTATGCATATTCACCACGAAAAAAATGACGCAAATTTCTATAAAAATTGTACTGTGGGGCTTCCCCCAAAGATACAAGCCCCTGACGGATGTTACTGGAAATATTTTCATATAAAGGGTTGTCCAATAGGGACGCAGGAAAGTAAACGTCAATTTCACATAGACGCCATCTTTGTTTTCTGTCACCGACATGTCATTTTGTTAGTTGAATGTTTACCATTGATCGCTATGGAGTCGTATTCGATTGAAGGCCCCATTAAAGTTATTCAAGAGCACTACAAAAATGGTGCAAAAATAAAAAACACGTTTCGCGCGCTTCGTGAACATTTCGGTCGCAACAACCGCCCAAACGAAACAACCATCGGTCGTCTGGTGCGTATATTCGAGGTAACAAGTTCTGTGGCTAATCTGCCAGGCTCTGGCCGGCCAAGGAGCGTTCGCACACCGGAAAATATTGCTGTTGTGAAGGAGAGTGTGAGAGACGATCCGAAACAATCAACAACGCGTCGATCCCAAGAATTGGGCATTTCGAGAACCAGTTTGCTCCGCATTCTCCACAAGGATTTGAATGTACACGCCTACAAGATCCAATTGACGCAAGAGCTGCGTCGGGCCGACCATTTTTCGCGCCGAACGTTCTCAGGTTGGCTCCTTGAACACCGCCAAATTGCTGCCAATTTTTCATCAAAAATCATGTTCAGCGACGAAGCGCATTTCACTTTGAATGGGACGGTAAACAAGCAAAACTGCCGCATCTGGGCGAACGAAAATCCCCGTGAGTATCAAGAGCAGCCGATGCATCCTCAAAAAGTGACTGTGTGGTGTGCATTGTGGTCAAAAGGCATCATCGGACCTTACTTTTTCGAAAATGCGGCCGGGGACGCCGTTACCGTCAATTCTGAGCGATATCACGTGATGATAGAGGACTATTTTTTGCCGCAACTTGAAGGAATGGATATGGACGATGTTTATTTCCAACAAGACGGTGCAACATGCCACACAACCAACGTCAATATCCATTGATTGCAGTCCGGTGATCGCGTGATTTCGCGCAGAGGAAATGTGCCATGGCCACCAAGATCGTGCGATTTGACTCCCTTTGACTTCTTTTTATGGGGATATTTGAAAAGCAAAGTCTACGTCAACAAACCAGCCACCCTCCAAGAACTCAAAAATAACATCATTGCCGAGATAAATGCCATAGACGATCATGTTGCAAAATGTCATTGAAAATTTCGACCATCGCGTGGACGTCTGTAAATCCAGTCGTGGTGAACATTTGAGCGATATTATTTTTCATACATAAATGGTATAAATGAACCTTCAAAATAAAGTACCCAACTTGATTTGAATATCAATCTTTCTTGTTTTAATATGCGTTTACTTTCCTGCCTCCGTTTTGGACAACCCCATATAACTGGAATATACTGTGTAATTCAACAAATTTTTGAATGCGGTGAAAACGGTTCCGAGACTGTCCGTTAGAGAAGAGGCATCGAGCACGGATAATGTAGTTGGGGCGGCAGGACCCCAAACATGTGAGCAGTACTCGAGACTAGGCCTTATGTGGGCCTTGTACAGAGTGAGGAGGTCATGTGGAGAAAAGTACTCCTTATCCCGAAACAAGAAGCGTAGTCTTTTCCCTTTTTCTATTATGTTTGGCACTGAATCCAGTATAATGCTTCCTCCATTTTGTAAAATAGAAATTCTGATAACAGATTCATCATCAATTTTCTTCTACCTGCGCGGCAGCTTCAGTGTGAAAAAATGAGGCCCCCAGCTGGTTACTAAGCCATATAAATTGGAAATTTCGTCGAAATATGCACTGTGGTAAAACATTTATTTAAGGAATACCAATTTCCAGTAGAGGCCTGGATCTCGGTAGGGGAAATTTTTTATAGAAACTAGTGTCACTATTATTTGGTATTCTATATGAATACGAGATAATGGCACGTTATTCTGGGACACCCTGTATAGAGTCTCTTTCTGACTCCATTGTAAAACGCTGCAAATTGATATTGTCGCGTGCACAAAATGCTTACAACAAATTATATCAATACTGAAAACAATATTGAATATGTAAATGTAAAAACCAAAAATCGATACTTTTCTAAAAGTGACATAATCATGATACATTTTTCCTCGCGTGAAACCGCCTAACAACTAAGGTTACAATAATAATGGTTTACAAAAATTGATAATCGTTCATTTTATCCAGCATGTCATGTCATATTCATTATTTCCTACATTTTTTAAATGCACAGCAGCCCGTTTATCATTGCAAACAATGCTGATTTCCTTCCAAGAATCGGAATAATTTATTTTTACAAATACACAATTATTTACAATTTATATTGGTATTTTATTTGTACATCACAATTCTCAAAGTAATGTTAAGATTCACCCTTAAAATTACGCGTTTTTAGCGTATAAAGCGTGACAATCCACATACATGATGTTTATTACTGTTAGATTCGTTTTGTGGTTGAATAAAGTCTCAAGTCAGACGATCTACCCCAGGATCTGTATACGTTTTTTTTTCTTTCATGTGACTAAATAAAAACTACAAGGATTCTTTAGACGCGGAGAGTTGTGACCTTAACTCCGTCCTGCAAGATAAAGTGAATATTTTTTAAACAAAACCTTCCATTTTCACATTGGAATTGAAAAGATCAGTAAATTTTAGATCTGAAAATAACCTTAGTCGCCACCTTTTGTCTTCAAGGGCATTTCAAGGTCAAATCAAGACACCAAAAACAATTTGTTCTAGCAAAAATATTAGACAGCTCAGTTATAAGGTTTGTGGGAATCACCCAAAGGTCACCTCGATCATGGCCTTGAAGGCCAAGTCAAAATTTTCAAAGGAAACCTATCATTTTTAAATGAAAAAATCAGGAAATAATGAGTGATTTTTTTGCTAGTATCTTTTCGGCAACACTGTTTTTGACAGATGACGCGTGAATCGTGTCTTGTGTCATTGTCAAACTTGTTCAGGTTGGTCTATAATTTAACCATGAATCGACTTACGAACGAACAACGCTTGCAAATTATTGAATTTTACTATCAAAATTCATGCTCGGTTAAGAGAGTGCATCGAGCACTGCTTCCAATATATGGGCTTTTTGGTCGGCCTACTGAGGGAGCTATTCGGAAGCTTGTGACTAAATTTCGAACCCACTTTACATTATTGGACAATAAACCACCAACACGCAGACGTAGAGTGAGGACTGAAGAAAATATTGCGGCTGTATCCGCCAGTGTTAGTGATGACCGTGAAATGTCGATTCGCAATTGGGCCTCTGTTACTCCACTACGTGGAAAATTTTGCGACAGGATTTGGGTGGAAAAACTTATAAGATACAGCTGGTGCAAGAATTGAAGCCACACGACCTCCCACAACGTTTCCAATTTGGTGAATGGGCGCTGGCAAAGATGGAGGAAGATCCACATTTTTATCGAAAAATTGTGTTCAGCGACGAAGCTCATTTCTGGTTGAATGGGTAAGTTAACAAGCAAAATTGCCGCATCTGGAGTGAAGACCAGCCAGAAGCATTGCAAGAGCTACCAATGCATCTCGAAAAAATCACTGTTTGGTGTGGATTATGGGCCGGTTGCATCATCGGGCCGTACTTCTTCAAAGACGACAATGGCCGGAACGTAACTGTGAATGGCGAGCGCTACCGTGCGATGATAACAACCTTTTTTTTGCCCAAAATGGAAGGGCTGGACTTGGCTGACATGTGGTTTCAACAAAACGGTGCCACATGCCACACCGCACACGAAACAATGGCCCTATTGAGAGGCGAGTTCGGTGAACAGTTTATCTCATGTTTGGGGCCCGTCAATTGGCCGCCTAGATCGTGTGATTTAACGCGGTTGGACTATTTCTTGTAGGGCCATGTTAAGGCTAATGTCTACAGGGATAAACCAGCAACGATTGACGCACTGGAAGCCAATATTGAAACATTTATTCGTGAGATACCGGCCGATATGTTGGAGAGAGTGTGCCAAAATTGGACCTTGCGCATGGGCCATATAAAGCGGAGCCGCGGCCAACATTTACATGAAATAATCTTTAAACATTAAATTATATCGACCGTTCTATCGACTCAAATAAAGATTTAATCGTTTTTCAAATTTTTTGTGTTTTTTTTTTGAAAATCAAATCCTATACCTCTTAAAAAATCATCCGTTATTACGTCCGCAAGTGACCTTGAACTCAAAGCCAAGGTCGTGTCAAGCTTATATGTTATTCGAGATCAAGGTCACATTCGGACGAAAAATTTCCTGCTTTTTAAATTTTCAGTATAAAAATGAGAGGTTTCCTTTGGGACTTCTGATTTGACCTTCAAGGTCATGATCATGGTTACCTTTTGTTTTCGACGCCTTGTATTGACCTTGAAAGCGATGTACAAGGTCAAGGGCTAGGTTGTGCCGGAAAATTTGATTTCCTTTTCACTTCAGATGTGAAAAAATATTCACTGGATCTTGAAAGAACTTTAAAGGTCGTATTAAGAACACCTCATTCTCCCCTACAACTTCCGTTTGAAACTTTTTTCTAGAGTGGACAGTTTTCGAAATATTTAGGCCATCAAATAAAGACTTTATATAATTTCCAGCAAAAACAAGAGTTCTTATCGGCCTTTTGAATAATGTGATATTTATTTAGTTTTAAAACAAACAGCTAAATTAGAGGTGGCTCAGTAAAAAAAATCTAGAAAACCTTTACTAAGGTCTTGTTTATTTTATCTGATTGATCTGTCAATCTACCCCCGTGCCACTTTGCCGTGTTATTTCTAGGAGACGCTGTATACTTGAAAGGGGTCACGGAGTAGTTGTAGACCAGGGTGGCCGAAAGTTGCACTACTATGAGACCAATTTTACTGGACGAATTAAGTTGAGAACTTGCACTGTAAATTGTTACATGTTTGAACCACAGAAAAATCACTAAATATAGGAAGACCATTTGAAAAACATCGCTGTAGACAAGTTCGAAAATGAGAATAGATACATCAGATTACTTGGCAATATTTGATTACCGTTTTGGCTGCCCCGCGGCCTTTTCAACATGCAATCTAAAATATAAAATGCGTTTATTTATATATTTTTGATCCGACAAATTTTGACCCTTCTTTTTACTTTATTATCTGTGAAAGTAACTTCGATAAAAATATCGTAACACCCTGTAAATTCCATCATTCACACCATGAATAATTTTTTTTTAAGATAGAGAACCATATAAGCATCATATAAAACGTTCTGTATGCACCTGTCATAGTCAGTTTTGCGTAGTTTGGTTGGCCTTTGCACTTTTAAATGTGCTAGATACATTTATAGCAGTAGTGACTGTTAGCATTTTGCTGGTATTTTTCGCAAAGCGTAATTGCCTCGACACTAGTTTCAGTTTTTGACCAGCTGAGAGATTTCAACCTCCATCGCCCAAAGACAAAAAAACTATTGCCGTAGTTGATAAAAAACATGTATTGATTCGATTCCGATCGTGTACTAACCCACGATATCCATTTTTTATTAGCGAATACAGCTGTCTCATTAGCTAATCCCTGCTTACGAAATTCTCTAACCAGCCCTTCTACATTCACATACCGAATATAACAGTAAGAAACTACGTTCCGATGCACTGCACGCACCTTACTCTCATCTTACGAGTCCAGGTCATCCTCGTGCTGACTGGAAAAATACGAGACCAACCCTCCAAACTCCCCTCCCGTTTCCTCCCCTTCATACGGTTTGCTGCCCTGTGCCGCTTGTTCTTGTACAGGGACGGGTTCCCCCTGGTAGGACTCCTGATACGGTGGGTTCTGGTAGGGTGGTTCCTCCACGGGCTCCACCGGGGGCGGCGGGTAGTTCCCGTAGTACTGCGTCGAGGAAGTTGGCGCGGGAGGAGCGGGTGATTCCGTTTGCGTCCCTGGGGGTGGGTGAGGAGGTGGATACGATGGACCTGCCGGCATGTGGACAGGTGGTCGGTGAGGATAAGTGGGGCCGGTTGGTGGATTGCTGTACCTGTAAAAGGAAGAAAGTAGTAGTAAGCGGAAGCTTGAACTCGCTAGAGTCATTCGGTTGCCCGTCGCCGATTTTTTATGAAATAGTTTTTTCTATTGTGTTCTAAAAATGAAATATCCATATTACACAGTATATCACAAAATATATTATTTCTTCAAGACTACATATTTTTATACAAAATTTCACTACTATGAATTCTGGCTTTCCATGAGATATTTTTTCAATTTCCCTTTGAACATTTTCAAACTGACACACATCTTGATATCATTACTTAATTTATTAAATTCGTAAAATCCCTTTTGAAATACTGACTTGCTCGTTATATTGCTACTGCAGTTTTGAAAATAAAAGTCTATACTTCCTCTAGTAGAATAATTGTGGCACTCATTGTTCAATACAATAAAATTTTCTAAGTGATTTGGTAGAAGATGATTTTTTAACTTGAATACCAAGTAGGCTATGAAATTTTTGATATTTAACCATTGTAGTTCTTTCAGCATAAAATTTATTCTAGTATATTTATTTAAGATGATTCTCATAGCTTTATTTTGTAATATTTGAAATATTGAAAATACACTTTCATTTGCAGTGAACAAAATAGTCGAACAATATAACAAATGAGGAAGAATGATAGTGTTGTGCACATTTTTTTTTTTAGAATAAACGCTTTGGCTATGCGAAATTCTATAAAAGTAATTTATTTTCTTAATATATTCATAGTGCACTTCAAATTTTAATTTACTGTCTACGTATATGCCCAAATATTTAAATGAATCGATTGACACAATTTTTTAATGATTAATTATGAGATTTATCGTATTTTGATCTAAAGATTTTCCTATTAGCATATATTTTGTTTTGTTTGTGTTTAGTTTAAGTTTATTTACATTTAACCAATTTATTACGTTTTTCATATCATTATTTAACTGCTCTATTGCAGTTTCAATGTCTTTATACAGGGTGTCCGCAAAGTTGGGGTTTTCCTTTACACGACGTGTAGATCTTGAAAACATAAGCAATTTTGCTTAGTACCATATACACCAATGTCTTAAGGGAACCGAGATAAAGGGCTCTGCAACATAAAAAATATCTGAATACCGTCCTGTAGCCGCGACATCATGGAGTGGTACAATGTCACTGGCTCAACACGACGACAGAACTGGGTCGGGGTCAGTGTGTCATGTCAGTATGCAACCTTTAACCGACGGTTACGGTCACACGTGTAGAGGTAATCGCGTAGACGAGAATCCCTCAACAAGCACTAGAGACGTGGCTAGAGAAGTGCAAGTATCAAAAACTAAAGTGTGGCAAACGCTGCGTGAAGAGGGGCTGTATCCGTTTCACGTCCAACGTGTACAAGCCCTTCAACATAACGATTTTCCAGCAGGAGTGCGGTTTTGTGAGTGGTTGTTGCATCAACATGACAATAATCCGGACTTTTTGAAGTGCATATTGGTGACAGACGAATCTACGTTCACGCGTAATGGGGTGAATAACTTTCGCAACACTCATGTTTGGTCAGTAGAAAATCCGCACGCTGTCCGTCGGACACATATTCAACAAACATTTTCGGTGAATGTTTGGGCTGGCATGGTGAACGGTATGCTCATTGGACCATTTATTCTCCCAAATCGATTGGACGGGATGCAATACCTAGACTTTTTACGCAACATTTTGCCTTCCTTGTTTGCCTGCGTCTGCTCGGTAGCGCATCAGCTGATTTCATTTTCTGTTGGAGCGGTATGATTTCGGGCAGAGACGTACTTAGCCCTTCTCGTCAACTGGAGAGTGAGTACTTTTTCCTTTATTTTTTTTTACTTGGTCGCCCTCGTTTCACTACACATTACCTTTGTTATTTCAAGGGTAGTTGTTTCTGAAAAGGAAAACCCCAACTTTGCGGACACCCTGTATATATTATTTATATTTGTTATGTTACTGTGAACTTTTTCTCATCCATATTTCGCCTCCATTCTTCTACTACCATCTGAATTGCGGTTTCAGTAGAATAATTTTTTCTAAATCCTGCTTGAAATTTTGTCAATATCTTATTTTCTTCAATATATTCAATGATTTGTTCATATATGATTCCTTCTAAGAGCTTCTCGACATCTGGCAGTACATTAATTGGCCGCATGTTTGTATATAACTCAGAATTTTGCACTTTTGGAACAGGAGTAATTGTATAACAGTTTATATTTTCTATTGCGCACAAAAATAAGTTTGACATAAAAAAATAACAGCCACAATCAAATCAACATACAAAGTTAAATGTATTTTCATGCTCTGAAATTTCTTCTAAAACAGTTTTATCAATACTTAATATTTTTTGAAAATGTTTGAAAAGTTTATTTTGATGCCAAAAACTGACGAGGAAATCTCGAAAAATTTTGAAATCGAGATATTAATTTTTTGGCGGGTTGAAACTTGGGGGTTGTAAATGTAACGCCTTTAGTATAAGTCAAAAACGTTCCATCATCATGAAGCTTCTGATCCCGGTAGCAACCGAAAAATTAAATGATAAAAGTCCAATGTATAATATGCTTATATTTCGAATTAACTTGGCAATCGTAGATGTAGAACCGTTAAGTATACATTACTGATGAAAAATTGTGGTATAATATTATCAAACATATACTAAGTGACATATAAATCCGAACACCCAGTTTAAATGGTTTTATTTTAATAAAACTTTGTATAAGTACTTAATGAACCATTCATTTGCAATGGACCTGGTAGTGGAGAAACGGTCCCTTAAGGCCAATAATCTTAGGCGGCGATCTTCACGGTCTGTTGTTCTACGGCGGCGTCCAGTGCCCCTTGCTCTTTGCGTACGGCCTTCTCGAAGCCATGCCTGACAACACCTAACCACAGTGTCTACACTTCTTTGCACTCTAACTGCAATTGCCCGAAAAGAAAGTCCAGCTTCCCGAAGTCCCACTATACGGCCCCAATCAAACTCACTAAGTTGACGAAATCGTACAGGTCTCCGTACTCTAGGCATCGTAACCGATCGTAAAGGATGTCAAGAACCAAAATCCGCCAACGTTGATTCTTTACTGCGGCTGAAATATTCATGTTTAGAGCGTTATTGAATTAAAAAAAAGCAGTATAAAAACCGGAATGTCCAACTGATAAGGATGAAAATCTTTTCACTTGTTATTTACAGTAAGATAAATACATTCACCAACTTTTATTAAAATAAAACCATTTAAACTGGGTGTTCGGATTTATATGTCACTTAGTATATTATCAACTTGTAGAGTGAAAATAGTGCAAATAACGTTACTTTGCTCCTTAAAGGGTTTGAAACATCAATACACAAAACAACATAAAATTTAACTTTAGCAGAGGGACAAACCGTGCGGTTTTCCGTAAGGCGTAATTAAATCTCCCATATAATGTCTTGCGAGACGTTAGTTATGAAAAAGGCATTGCATTGTGAAGCACCAGACATCAAAGTGATTGGCTTTAAGTTCAACGATCAACCTATCTAGATACATATCAAATCTGATGTCAAGTGTTATCCTTCAGGAGATAATGTCGCTTTTAGAAAAACATAAATGTTTGTACAGTTCGACAACATTATTAATCATTATTTTGCGTAGACATACTGCTATCAGTATTCGTATTATAAAATAAAACATAATAATTGGGCACGAGTTTTTGCATTGCCAACTTAAAGATACGAAAAATTAGCAAAAATAAGTTGCACAAGCATAATTTGCCCGAGAATTTCAACTGACCACTCAATTGCCAATACACTTTAAGGTGAATAACCACATAAGGTTGCGTTTTTTCAACAATCGACAGAGAATTGTAAAATAGTGAGGTGTGCACTTTAAAAAAATGATGTCAATAAACTGTTTTGAAAACAATCATATTTTGTTTTCCTATACAATTTCAACATGTCCTTGTATGTCAAAATATGGTCAAATGCTGAATATTTGCAAAAGCAATTACTACTAGACAGATAACAGAATATATACTAAGTGACATATAAATCCGAACACCCAGTTTAAATGGTTTTATTTTAATAAAAGTTGGTGAATGTATTTATCTTACTGTAAATAACAAGTGAAAAAATTTTCAGCCTCATCAGTTGGACATTCCGGTTTTTATACTGCTTTTTTTTAATTCACTAACGCTCTAAAAATGAATATTTCAGCCGCAGTAAAGAATCAACGTTGGCGGATTCTGGTTCTTGACATCCTTTACGATCGGTTACGATGCCTAGAGTACGGAGACCTGTACGATTTCGTCAACTTAGTGAGTTTGATAGGGGCCGTATAGTGGGACTTCGGGAAGCTGGACTTTCTTTTCGGGCAATTGCAGTTAGAGTGCAAAGAAGTGTAGACACTGTGGTTAGGTGTTGTCAGGCATGGCTTCGAGAACGCGGTACGCAAAAAGCAAGGGGCACTGGACGCCGCCGTAGAACAACAGACCGTGAAGATCGCCGCCTAAGATTATTGGCCTTAAGGGACCGTTTCTCCACTACCAGGTCCATTGCAAATGAATGGTTTGCAGAACACGGAAGACCTATTGGCATGCGAAGTTTTGGCTTGTTTTCATACCGGCCACACTGGGTCCTCCCTTTAACTCGAGAACACCGACGTAATCGCCTTGAGTGGTGCAGACAACGGTCACTCTGGGATCAGGAATGGAACAGTATTGTCTTTAGTGACGAGTCTCGATTTTGTTTAGGCATGCACGATGGTTGTGCCAGGGTTAGAAGGCGACGTGGTGAAAGGAAGAATCCACTGTTTTTTGTTGAAAGACATGTTCATCACACTGTTGGAGTTATGGTTTGGGGTGCTATAGCTTATGGTTCCAGGTCACCTTTAATCTTCATCAGAGGTAACATGAACGCGCAGCGTTATATCCACGAAGTTCTAGAACCCCATCTTTTACCCTATCTTGACACCCTGGCAGATTTAAACTGGGTGTTCGGATTTATATGTCACTTTGTATCCTATTCTGAGTGATTTATTCGTACGAGCATGATAAGAAAAAACACTTCTTGTAACACTCACCTGCCCTGCTGCGCCCTGCCATAACCTTCCATTCCTTTAGCGGGACTTCCTGTCGCGTGAGGCTGAGGCGGTGGGGGCGTCACGTTATGATGCGGCGCCGGAGGCTGTACATTGTGATGCGTCCTCGGAGGCGGGGGCGCTACCGACGGACCGCACGCTGTCGGTTCGCGCGGAGGCGGCTGATGTAGCGGGTAGTGATTCATCTGAGGGTGCGGAGGTGGCAATCGATGGTGGTACTGAGGTGGTGGTTGTTGCGGGGGAACGCCGCTGGGCCGACCTCCATCTGCAAATTGGTATCGTTGAATTTTATGCCGTAACGTACGACCAGTGCAATCGATGAAACGTATTCGATTTCCGTATGAAATGAACATGCCACATTCGTACTTCTGATCGCATTTGAAGGGGCCGAGGAAAGTTTTAAGATATCGAAAAAGCAGTTTGTCAATAACCTCAAACTAGGCAATGAGGGCAAGTTGGGATATCTCGGCTGTTTTGCGAAATTTCGAGTTAAAGTTTTAATCACTTTCTATTTATCAGTAGAACTAAAACTTGTAAAAGTATGCTCAAAGTTGCAGCACTCCTAGTCGGTGTTACATTTTCTATGACATTTAGTATACATACAGGGTGAGTCATTTTTTATGTCGGTATGTAAACATGAAATAACTTTGAAAACGAAACACTGATTTCTATTTTTATTAAATATGGTCCTTTACAATTTATTTGGACTATTTTTTGAACACAACATCTATCAAGTGGCCACCTTTATTGGCCAAAACAAAATGTGCTCGTTCTGCTGCGTTTTCCAATACTTTTTCGAGCATCTCTGGTGGTATAGCGGCGATTGCGGTACGAATGTTTGCCTTGAGTTCTTCAGTCGTCCGGGGCTTGCTGGCGTACACTTGACTTTTTAAATAACCCCACCAGAAAATGTCCGATGGGGTCAAATCTGGAGACCTGGGTGGCCAGTCAATGTCACCTCTTTTTGACATCAGACGTCCAGGGAATTTTCGCAGAAACTGGATTATTTCATTCGTAGTGTTGCATGGCGCTCCGTCTTGTTGAAACGATACTACAACTATTTAAAACTGTAATGACTCATACGCGTGATCAACACGTGATCAGAGCTCGATCCCGGCTTCCTTCCAGTACAGCCGTATAGCGTACGACATATGTCGTTTCTGTGGCTTTGCGGTGGTCAACAGCACAGACAGAGATGGAAATAATGGCTGATTGTTCTCCGCCGGTAGAACCAATGAAATCAAAGACGCGCCTCGACCGGCAGACTCATAGGCGTCGGCACCGCATTGGAACGTGTTTCGTTGAGCGATCGCATATTGTGTGTTTTTATAAGAATTGTTGTGTGATTGTTATTGTTGTGGTTTATGTGGTTACTGTTTTGGTTATACTTAACCATGGAGAGTACAAATGGCACGAGTGGAAGTACTGAAAGCCAGGGAACAAGTTGACGGCTTCGTAAAGCACTGAAGAGGGACGCGAAAGAAATCGTGCTCAACGTGTTCAATTATCTAAACAGAACTATGTCGCAGGGAGATGCACTCGCGCGTTGTGAAAGTATGACAGGCGTTCCAGAGTGGACCATTCGCAGGGTGGTGCATGAAAAGAAGAAAACTGGAGCTACTACTGATCCGAAGTTTAATTTGAAGGGACGAAAGGCCGTTAAATTGGATGACGATAGCAAACTAGCGTTAAGGCGAACCGTACATTCATTCTTCTTTAGGAATGAGATACCTACCCTCAAGGCTGTACATGCAGCGATCAAGGAAAATGAAATTATACCCCAAATGAGCGTCGAGGTAATGAGGAAATCCCTGCACGAAATTAATTTTCGTTACGAAACGCGTAATCGGAAGTCAGTAAATAGTCGCCTGGCGTCGAGAATACCTACGAGAAATGATTGAATATAGGCGACAAAGCAGAAAAATCTATTATTTGGACGAGACATGGGTAAATGCAGGTCACACAGTTAAAAAAACCTGGATAGACAAAAACGTAGTGAGTAACCAACAAGCAAGCATTGAAGGTTTGTCAACAGGTCTTCGTGGACCGTCATGGAAAGGTCAAAGATTGATCGTAACTCATATTGGTAGCGATAGTGGCTTTTTAGAAGAGTGTGACTTGATTTTCGTCTCTAAGAAAGGAGGTGATTACCATGACGAAATGAATGCCAGCTGCTTCGAGAGCTGGTTTCAAGGGGTGCTTCAGCAAGTTGAGCCCAACTCTGTGATCGTCATGGATAATGCTTCCTCCTACCATAGTCGTCGAGCCGAACGTGTACCGAATATGGGATCTCGAAAAAGTGACATGCAGCAACGGTTGCGCGAAAAAGGAATCCCGTTTGACGATTCACGTGTGAAAGCGGAATTGTATGAAAAAATTAAACAGCACAAACCTGCGAACATTAGTTACGTGACTGATGAGATGGCCCGTCAATGTGGTGTCACTGTGCTGCGGTTACCGCCCTACCACTATGAACTGAACACAATAGAGCTCATCTGGGCTCAAGTGAAGGGTTATATTGCGCGCCATAACACAACCTTCAAATTACCAGACGTTAAGGTTTTACTTGAGACTTCCATACAGCCAGTAACGCCCGAAGCTTGGCAGAATGCTATCCGTCATGTTGTGAAGGAAGAAACAAAAATGTGGCAGCTTGACCACCACATCGACACCATCATAGAGCCAGTTATAGTCAATTTCAACGAGGAAAGCGATAGCGACAGTTTATTACTGTCAGATGTAAGTGGAAGCGACGATGAATAAAGATAATTCCCAAATTTTTGACTTACAATATGTTTCAAACCACTCTTTATTGAGCATGTGACAAATCTAGTTCACCCATGTTAAACATTCATACCCCGCCTGTGAACAGCCGACTACTGGTAGTTAAGTGATGTTCACGTGAACATCGATGAGTCATTACAGTACATATAGTAACCATCAAGACCTTTTTCACGCATTTGTGGACAGACATAATGAGCCAACATCCACCGATATTGATTTCGATCGACTGTTTCGTTTTCGTTGAAGAAAAATGGCCCAATGATGGTTTTGGCGCAAACGCCGGCCCAAACAGTCACTTTCCGGTCATGCAACGGCATTTCGTGCATCTCATGTGGATTTTCCGTCCCCCAAATGCGGCAATTTTGCTTATTTTTTTTTATATTCCAACTACCACGAAGGCCTAAACACCCATTGGGTACCGTGCTCGATGTTTCAATACCGACAAAAGATGCGGCACTCGGTATATGGCTCGATTTCTACTGGATACTTTTGACATTTTTATCAGCCATCCGAGATTATGATGATTTTCATTTTACTGTTTATTGAAACCTTACTTTGCGCGAAGTGTTCCTGGCTGTCCACCGACGGTCCCAACTTCCGTTGTCTCACTGGAGGTGCCGACGGCTCGTCATCGTCATCTTCCAAAGGCATTGTGGCAAATTGCTTCGGTCGAATTTTTCCGATTACGGAATAATCTGGTTTGGGGGTAGGTTCTGTCAATGATGCCGCAGCAGCATCTACAAAACCAAATATAATTATTAGCTACTCCAAAAACAATGCTATATGAATAGTTGAATCGGCGAGCGAAGCGAGATCAAATGTCTTACAAATATTAAATTTTTCTGGTATACTTTATTGAGAAACTATTACACCATTAGATCCAGGTGTTAAGACGGCTCCGACGCAGTGAGTTTCAAGCCATTTACACGCATTCAGCTGCTTCGAAACTGACACTCCATTTTTCAATATTCTTGAGTGAAATTCATACAGTATGTTGAGAAGATAATTGCCCAGAGTGCTATAGGAGCACTTTTAGAAATTTTGTTTTTGCACAAGTTTTATGATGGGTTGAAATTTCATCCAATAATATCAAAAAATAAAGCGTCAATTTCGAAGTGCACAAACCTCTACAAAAAGTATTTTGGACGAATTTTGTCTACTGTTTCGTACGGCCAACCCAAGCGTTGCGGCGCAATGTACGGACTAAGATTCAGATAATTTGGTGGCCCACAAACATTTTAAAAAAGGTAGATTCGAAAAAATTAGAATGTTATAGGTACTACCAACGCTTTTTGTCGAAAATTATATCAACCTTACTAGACTGTTGGTACTAACGCGATCTGTTATAATTGATCGAAGCCAATCATTCAATAATGCCAATCAACAGAATGCTTAGCTAAAATTGAAAATATACTAAGTGACATATAAATCCGAATACCCAGTTTAAATGGTTTTATTTTAATAAAATTTTGTATAAGTACTTAATGAAGCATAATAAGTAAATGATAAGAATTTCAAAATGATTGCACTGCTTTAAAGCCCTTTGACCTTTAATAACGTGCTCAATTGGGGATAAGTCGGGAGATCTTGGTGGCCATGGTAACAATGTGACATCATTATGTTGAAAGAAGTCTATTGTGACTCTTGTAACATGTGGTCGGGCATTATCTTGTTGGAAAGTTGGATCTGCCAGGGTGTCAAGATAGGGTAAAAGATGGGGTTCTAGAACTTCGTGGATATAACGCTGCGCGTTCATGTTACCTCTGATGAAGATTAAAGGTGACCTGGAACCATAAGCTATAGCACCCCAAACCATAACTCCAACAGTGTGATGAACATGTCTTTCAACAAAAAACTGTGGATTCCTCCTTTCACCACGTCGCCTTCTAACCCTGGCACGACCATCGTGCATGCCTAAACAAAATCGAGACTCGTCATTAAAGACAATACTGTTCCATTCCTGATCCCAGAGTGACCGTTGTCTGCACCACTCAAGGCGATTACGTCGGTGTTCTCGAGTTAAAGGGAGGACCCAGTGTGGCCGGTATGAAAACAAGCCAAAACTTCTCATTCGTCGGTAAACACTTCGCATGCCAATAGGTCTTCCGTGTTCTGCAAACCATTCATTTGCAATGGACCTGGTAGTGGAGAAACGGTCCCTTAAGACCAATAATCTTAGGCGGCGATCTTCACGGTCTGTTGTTCTACGGCGGCGTCCAGTGCCCCTTGCTCTTTGCGTACGGCGTTCTCGAAGCCATGCCTGACAACACCTAACCACAGTGTCTACACTTCTTTGCACTCTAACTGCAATTGCCCGAAAAGAAAGTCCAGCTTCCCGAAGTCCCACTATACGGCCCCTATCAAACTCACTAAGTTGACGAAATCGTACAGGTCTCCGTACTCTAGGCATCGTAACCGATCTTAAAGGATGTCAAGAACCAAAATCCGCCAACGTTGATTCTTTACTGCGGCTGAAATATTAATTTTTAGAGCGTTAGTGATTTAAAAAAAAGCAGTATAAAAACCGGAATGTTCAACTGATAAGGCTGAAAATTTTTTCACTTGTTATTTACAGTAAGATAAATACATTCACCAACTTTTATTAAAATAAAACCATTTAAACTGGGTGTTCGGATTTATATGTCACTTAGTATATGTATATAAGCCTGGTATGGCTTGAAATTCATTTTTTGTTGATTACCTTTATCGGACTCATCTTTAACTGGAGTCGCTCCGCTAGGCGTCTGCAACATCCTGGTGATGATAGACGGCGCTGGAGCCGTTTGTGAAAAAGGTTGAGGTGGCGCGGCGATTTCGATTTTGCATTCCGATGTCGTCGTCGTCTTAGGGCCATCGACTGTTTTAGGAGCTGCTGGTTTTATTGATATGGCGCTTCCCAGGTGGGCAACTGTCTCCTCAAGAGACTTCTTTGGACGTACTATAGTTAAGAAAATAAATCATTAGAAGTTAATACCTATAGGATTTTTGGACGTAATCAAATTTATTGTTACCAGTTCATAGACACGCAAATTCAAATTTCTTTTATTATCGACCAAATCTTAATAACAATGTCAAAACATGTATGTCCGGTGAGGTGGCAGAACAGTATATTATAATACAGTAAGATTAAAGTAAAATTGAGATCTAAGACAAAAACAAAACAAATGATAACTAATGAACAAAATCTAATTGCTGAAGTTAAGCATAATCCAAAGATAAGTTAGTGATCACTCATGGATATATTTCGCAGTGGAAAATATGTTCAATGAAAATAAAATGAAAGAAATTACAGTCATTGAATTCACAAAATTACGACAAACACTTTTACAACACTATATACCTGAAATTATCGATAATGCCGACAACTACTACGAACAAATTACGAATAATATGGATATTCAATGACAACGCCACTTGTGGATATCTAGTATGAGTAACTTTCTGATACTTACTTTTAATCCTCCTCCTGGGTGCGTCCTTTTTCGTTATCGTCACTTCATCGAAGAGTGGTAGAGCTACGCCCGGCGGCTCCGACAGCTCGTCGTTACTGTCATCGTTCTTCAGAAGGGCGCTCACGTTGCTTACTATCGGCTCGTGGTGTACCGCAGGCGGGGTAAGTTTGGCAGCTGTCGCTATTTTCACCGGCGATGTCGCCACCTTTTGCATAGGTCTCGACGCTGGCGTTAATCTACGCAAATGTAGTAGTAAACAATAACTTGAGAGAAAACAGAAATGGGCGTCCGCGTGATTCGAACCCGCATCTCCTCCATTCCGTGCAAACGAAATTTTGGGATCGACTTTTAGAGGCAAATTCAATACTACGCACGCCACCGTTCCCTTGTTCTTTCAAGCAATGAAAACACTGGGATTTTTTTGTGGTTATCTGAAGGTCACTTTGCAAGGTGCGCCAAGATGATCTTTATAAACCAATCGAAACAGACAATGTTCTCTTTGCTCCGAAAACCTCCACGAAGATGAGACATTTCCGATCAAATTTAATATAATAATAATGCCTTTATTAACTGCAGTGAGGCGAAGTTTAGTCAGACGGCTACTCTTACACTCAACCCCACAACAGGAAAAAAATAATACTTAAACACATAAGCAAAATAATAACATACCAAAAAAAAATACAATTCATAAGAATAACAACATTGATTGCACGAGACAAATGCAGATAGTATTGCGAGAGTTTTAAATTTGAAACAAAAATAGTAGAAAATAGTCAAACAAAAAAAATAAAAAAAAAAATCACATGAGCACAAGAAAAACTGAAGTAAATGGACTCCAGCAGCTGACTTTAATGGATCGATAGCCACTGTTGACTGCATTGTAATGCTTGACAGCATTATAGGTGTAACTTCTATCAAAGACCGAGGTATTGTGAGGAGGCATGTTAAAATTAGCATTAAATCTAAGAGCTCTGGTAACAAAACTACCTCGGTGAACTAATTTGCTAGCGAGGTAAGCTGGTCTGTTAGATAGTAGAACTTTATGCGTGAAGACGGTCAAAAGATATAAAAATAACTTATCAATTCGCAACCAGTTGAGTTCTTTGATTTTATCTGAGACGCGACTAAACTTGCGCAATCCAAAAATAAACCTACAACAGCTGTTCTGAATTTTCTGGAGTTTCCTTTTGGGGACGTAGTCTAAACATGGGTAATACAGAACAAGAGAGTAAGAAATGACAGACAACACAAGACTTTCAGCGAGCTTTTTTCGGGTTTTAAAATTCAAGATGTATCGACAGGAATAGAGGAGTTTAAAACGCAAATACGTTACTCTAGATAAGAAAGAGACATGCCGATCGAATCTCATATTTAAGTCAAGGGTAACACCGAGATTCTTGGCGTAATCCACAAAAGGGATGAGTGTCTCATCCAAAAAAATACAAATCATCTGCTTCATTTCACGGTAAGAGTTCTTCGAACAGTACAACATTGCAGTAGTTTTATTAGGATTGATCTTCAAGCAGTGTTTGTTACAGTAATCACCGATGTTAGCCAAATCTAAATTAACTTTAAAACAAACTTCATCCACCTTTGATGGATCGAAACCAAACACTAACTGAGTATCATCTGCATAAGTTTGCATACTACAGTGGACAGTCTTGCAGATCGATCGTATAAATCAGATATAGTAAGGGGCCTAATACTGAGCCCTGAGGAACTCCTGAAGGAACTGGCTCAGAGGAGGAAATTCCCTGATCAGTTTTCACTGTTTGTTGACGATTTAGCAAGTATGACTCAAAGATCTTCAGAACTATATCTGACATTCCATAATGAGATAACTTACTCAGTAGTATCTGGTGATTGACCATATCAAAGGCTTTCGAGAAATCTAACAGTACCAAGACGGTGTTGATGTGATTGTCTAAATTGTGAATGATGGAATCAGTAAGATGTAATAAAGACGAAGTAGTGCTGTAACCAGCTCTGAAACCTGACTGATGTAGAGGAAATAAGTGATTTTGTTCGAAAAACTCCACTAGTTGTGAGTAGACAGCTCTTTCGAGTATTTTTGATAGAAAGCATAATAAGGTAATTGGCCTGAGATCCGAATATTGTTCTGGATGATTAGTTTTAGCTATTGGAATAATAATACCATTTCTCCAACTGGCAGGAAAGTAACCTGTTTCGAGACAGACATTAATAATGTGAGTTATATGGTCTATGGTATTAGGCAAACATAAGCAAACCATATTTAAAGTTAGACCATCAGAGCCACATGCCGTAGACTTAACGTGAGAGATTATATTGACGATGTCTTGCAGAGTAAGGAGTTTAAAAGCAAACAGAGGTGCATCCGGTGTATGGTGTCTATCGCTATAAGAGTTAGAGACACTATCAATCAAATTTGGATCAGCTGCAGCTGTCTGGAAAATTGAAAGAAAATGATTATTTAAAATGTTAGGCTCAAGGAGAGTGGGAGGTATCGCAACATGTTTCTGGGCTACCAGATTCATCCTCCTCAGGTGGTTCCAAGCTTGACTAGAGTTAAGATTCTGGAAACGTGACATATATGCTTTTTTCTCTCTTCTAAGCGATGCAAGGGCATAATTTCTCAAATCTTTGTAGCTGGCTCAATTCTGATCAGATCTGTTATGCTGATAGACAGCGAATGTCTCATCTCTGAGTTGAAAAATCATTTTCAAGTTAGGAGTGAGCCAGGGCGTAGCAGGTTTTGTGACACGTACTGTACGTAGTGGAGCGTAGAGATCGAATAGATAAAGAAGACGGCCAGTAAAAATAGAGACTTTAATATCCACATCATTCACGAAATAAATGTCATTAATAACATCGTCACGATTCATAAAGGCAACTAGATTAAAAGTTTTTTTTAGGCGAATAACTACAACACGAAGTTACCTGATCACACTACTACTGATACATTGATTTCAAAAACTAATTAATATGTACACTTGAATACTTACTCGATGCCTGCTTTGTCCAATGAGCTCAACACTTTATTCATATTCAGTCGTTCAATGCCGGCCCCTAGTTTCTTCTTATCACCATCCAACTGCTTCTCGGACATACTGAGATTACTATTGGGAATATCTTTATCCGTACTCTTATTTACATCCTTTTCGGCCTGTGTATTTGTTTCTTTCAAATTCGTTAGTTTAGTCCCAACTTGATCCTTTCGAGGCACCACCTTGATTCGCACACGATTTGTAGAGTTCTTTGGTCCGATCGTTACAGGTCTTTCTTCTGCTTTTCTTACAACGTCAGGTTTCGAGTTTGTTTCGTTGTCTTTGTCTACTGCGGGTTCTTTATTGTTTTGTTCAATGTCCGTCTTTTCTTCCTTATTCATTTCGCTGTTCACCTTTAACAAAAACAACGAATTACAAAATTTTTTATTCTTAACAATTTACAATGGCCGTTTGGGGGTTAGTTCTGCATTTCTATCCGATGAAAAATACAGCTGGCAACCTAGCAAAAAGGTTGTCTCAAAAATAAGGTTCATTTTTTGCCGCGCGTGATGCAACAGCGTCGTATTTTTCGGCTCCCCCACCACCGATCCCAACAAGAAGCGCCTATGCGCAATCGAGCCCTTTATCGCCGTCACCGCCAGGTGCGAAATTCGTGCGGTCACCCGATTTTTGCGCGCAAAAACGTTACCACCCATACAAATTCATCGCCACTGAGTAAAGTATATGGTAAAACATGTATTCAACATGTCCTCAAATGGTGAAGAGGAGGATCTCCGAGGAAGCTGTGATGACACCCTACAAATTTTTACCTTTTTACTCTTGTCAGTTTCTTTTGCAGCACCAATGGCCGGTTTCTTTATATATATCTTCGGTACCATCAATCGTCTCCTTTCTTCTGCATCATCTTTCCTGCTAACTTCCTCATCATCTTCTTCATCTTCAGGCTCCGGCTCATCTTCTGCAGCCTCTTCTTCGTCGTCTTCTTCTTCATTCGCTACAAAATCTTCGTCATCGCTGTCTATCTTCCTCGGGTTCCTTTTCTGAACTTCCTACGTAACAGAATAAATAACTAAGAGCAAGATACTATAATTGCACATATATTTGACACAATTTGCATGCATAATAAGTGCCGATACCGGAGCATATACAGGAGCTAGGAAATTCCTCCTTGAGGTTAGAATACGATACTGGTAGGACCTTTTCGACGAGTCTCCATTAAGCTTTGACGTCTACTGAGGTGTACAGCTGATCAGCAAGCTACATCTTTGTATTAATGACAACAAAGTGCTCTATTAGTATAGAGGATGCTCAAGTGGACTTACATCTTCAGTTTCGCTTCCCAGAGCTTCAACGTAGGTAGTTTTCTTTCCTCTAGTTCTTCTCCCCCTTCCTAATTCCTCTTCACTTGATGTTAGGCCGCCGTAAACTATTCTACGTTTTTTCTTTTTATTAGGAACCTCCAAGTCGGACAGCTCGTCCAAAATGCTGTTTTTCTTTTTGGATTTCTTTTTCCTACTACAAGTAAAATAGACTATACTCACTGATAGTAACAAAATCTCGGAAACTGTTTGACCCAGCAACATGAAATTTGGCAAGGTTAAGTTTATGACTAGTACATGCCAGATAAGAACGGATTTCGCATAGGGCTAGATTAAGTGCAGCTAAGGGCTAAGATCTCAAAAAAAATTCGTAAACCATATATCGTTAGCAAGCAAAATGATGTCAATTCAAGAGGGCCTTCAAACTTACAAAACGCGATCGGAACAGAATCGCATAAAAAAAATATTTCATATGTTAGTAACAATTTCAAGCACATGAAGCCGAAGGTAACTGACATATATAAAATCATAGGTATCTGTTAACTGGATGTAAGAACACCAATCCCAAAATTAGGCACAAATGCAAAAATGAATACTAAAAAAAAAACGAACAAAGAGGATGAGTTTATGAAACTATTAATTACGAGAAATATCATCTCGACTACACTGTTTTGTAACATTTCAGGTTAACCTTTAGTATATGACAATTTTATTGTAATTGTTGAAATATACGGTACCTTCCTTTTTTCTTCTTCCTTCCACCCCAACTACCATCCGACTCTGAAGATTCATCTTCATCACTGAAATAGTGTTTCTTCTTTTTCTTTCGAGGCCTGTCGGAGTCTTCTTCATCGTCATCAACTGAAAAATATAGCAACCGATTGGAACAGCAAAATTGCATCTAATTGTAATGAATGTAATATCTTTGAGAAACATCTTTTTGTCGATAACAGAAACAACAGGTTCCACTTGTTCAAGGTTAGAATTTCAAGTTTTTATATGCAGACTTGAAACTTCGGGGGATAAAATACAGATCATTCTTATGAAGATGGTCATTCACACAATTAAAATTTAAGTTACAAACTGGCAAACACAACTTGGCAATTATTGCAATTTTATGTAACAGCAGACACGCATAAAGTAACAATGAACATAATTTTTTAAGAGTTACATTATCGCAAAAAAGAACTCACTAAAATCTTTGTTGATTTTGCTAGTCCTATTACGAGTAGATCTTCTGGTTGGCCTCAAATTCCTTCTTCTACGACCAATATCATCTGAATCTTCCTCGCTGTCTCCTTCGTCAACGTCTTCATCTTCCGAGCTCACACTCCTGAAATAAGAATGCATAATTCTCGGAAACTATGTGCCTCCCTATCTCCCGTGAAATTTGACCTGTACTAAGACTACAGTATATTCAGATAAGAGATAGACCGGATGTAAACAAAAGGTTCGGGTGATTTTCACGCTAACGCCGCCGTCTCGACGTAAAACAGGAGCCCTCATTGGTCAATTCGCAATTAAATGCCTATGCCGAGCGGCAGAGCAGTCGTATCAAGGCAGAGTCACATTCAGGTTCAGACGTGTTACGTATGTCGTGTGCATCATTGCAATTTGATATTTCTTTGGACGTTTTCGTTTGTTATCTTATTAAGTTGTTGAGTTTGTCGTTGTTATTGTTATACCTTGTTATTGATTGTTATTGTTATCAACTGCTTGCGCAAAATGCCCAGTAGTACAGATACTGCCGATGAAGTTGTAAACTCCTGTAGTCCACCTAGGAAACGCTCTAAAAAAAGACACCCGAGTGCAGAAATGAAAGAGGTCATTTTGAATATATATAAGATCGAGTGCGAGAAGAACGAGGCATCAACCATCAAAGAAATTGTTGTGAAGGTTTCTCACAAAGTTGGGGTGTGTCGCGCATCAGTGTTTAATGTGTTAAGACAAAACAAAAAAAAATACACCTTTTCTGAGCCAATGACCAGTAAACATCGCAAAAGTATTGTTAAATCATTGGATGAAGCTGATAAGCATGCGATTAGGAGGAAAGTGCATGAATTCTTCTTTAGGAATGAAATACCTACTACAGATAAAGTACTGCAGGAGGTAAATGGAGATACAACGTTGCCAAATTTCAAACGATCAACTTTCCATGCGTTACTGAAGCATTTAAATTTCAAATGGAAAAAACGGGGTCGTAATAGAGAAGAAATTGTGCAATGGAGGAGGGATTATTTAACAAAAATTGGGAAATATAGAAATCAAAACAGGAAGATTTCTAACTTCATCCAGGAGGACCTTTCTAGATGGACTGTCCACCGGATTAAAAAATCCAGCAGGTAAATACGAGTAATAGACAACAATCGGATGTTTTTCAAACCTTGGGAACAAGGTTCTAAACATTAATTCCAGGGGGCAGATAAAACATATTACAAGTAACAAAACTTTTATAACTTTCGATAAAATGCGTGGATGTTTTATTGTCATTTTCATTTGTTAGAACTTTTTTATTTTTATGTGTTTTCGATATTTCAATAATTTTTTAATATAATTTTAAAATATGTCGAATATTATAAACTTAAAAAAAGTTGCTAAGTTTTATATTGTGTACCGTTCCTAATATTTCTAATCATTTTAATTCATACTTTAAGCTTTATAAAGTTATAATTTGTTAATATTAATATTTGCGCGTATTTCAGGTTCCTGATCATTCATTTTTTAAAGGTTTATAACTTTAAATTAAATTGTGAAGCGCTGAGTAATCATACGACGTTCAATATTCTTTCTTTCAATATGACTAAATAATCCCAATTATAGCAATCTGATACTTATGTCTCAATGTTTTTTCGCTGAAAGTGATGAAAACATTTGAAAAAGGTTCGCTTATTGAAATAAATCTACACCAGTTAGTACTTCGATTTCCAGGTAAAGGGAAAAGGCTCATTATCTGCCATATTGGCAGTGAGGATGGATTTGTTGTTGACGGTCTGTGGTGCTTTGAGTCTAAGAAAACTGGAGATTACCACGAGGAAATGAATGGCGAATCGTTTGAACAGTGGTTTTCAAAAATTTTACCGAACTTAGAGGAAAACGCAGTAATTGTGTTGGATAATGCGCCTTATCATTCTTGAAGAATGGAGAAGCTCGAAAAATATCAACTTTGAAGAAGCAATGCTGAAAGTACAATTATTAAGAATTGTCAAGGATCACAAGGCGGAATATCAAAAATACGCCATTGACGAAATGGCAGCAAGTCAAAATAAAACTGTGCTCCGTTTACCTCCATACCATTGCGAGCTCAATCCCATTGAGCTCATATGGCAGAGGTTAAAAATTATATAGCTAAGCACAATACAACTTTTAAATTTTGTGACCTCAAAGGACTTTTCAAAGAAGCACTAGAATTAATAACAGCGCAAAAATGGGAAAACTGTATTAAGAACGTGAAAGACAAAGTTGAAAACAGAATGTGGGAACTGGACAATATTTTAGAGGAACAAGTCGAGCCATTCATTATTGACGTTGGTGCTTCAGGCAGTAGCGATGAAGAAAGCTCATCAAGCTCATCTTTCCAATAAAAGATGTCGTTCATCAAATTCGGTAAGTTATAAGTAATTATAAAGCTACTGTATTTTTTAATTAATTATTGACATTTTTGAACCCATTTTGGCAAAACCTATTCAAGAATCTACTTTCTGACAATGTTCAACCATGCACATTTTTTTACGTTTTGAACGTTTTAATTTGGTTACATATTTACCTAGAAATCAAAAAATATACTAATCAATATTCTAAAAGCAATTTTAAGAGATATACGATTATTTTTAATTTAGTCTAATTTAAACGCCATTTTGAGATTATATTCGACTGTATTTCACCAAACATCAGGCGGCATCCGAAGCTGGAAATCGAATCGAAATCTTTGAAACCCTTATGTATATTTACATCATTATATATTTCTTACCCCACCCCCACATGGTCCTATATCCATCACCAATCGTATACACATCGAATTGTGCTAATTTACTACAAAGTTACGCAAAGCAGCATCTACTATCTAAAATATGTACTGCGTGACTCTTAATACGTCCCTGCCGAATGTTACAGCGTTCGATGATCACGTGGTCTTGTTTATGTCCGGTCTATCTCTTATCTGAATATACTATAGACCTATACCATACTGATGAGTTGCTAAAGAGCACGAAACGGTGCTATATACGGTTCATCATGGTTACAGAGACGGAAAGCAAATATATTCCCAGTTAAGCCGTCTAATTTGATTGTCAACCAATACTGTTGACCAGCAAGGATATTTGGCAATCCGTGTGCTAAAATTATATTGCACTTACATATCTCCAACGAAATCTTCATCCCTTTCATCATCATCTTCACTGCTCACGTCCAGAGCAGTCATTTTTCGAGTTTTCTTCCTTGGTTTTTTCACTGGTGGTTTCACTAACGGCTTCTTCTCGCCTCCAGCGCCCTCAGCCTGTTCTTCATCTTCTTTTTTCTCTTCAAGGTCCTTGAATACATCATTCTCCTTCCTTTCCTCCTGTTCTGCTTTGACAATGGTTGCCATATCCTTGCCTCGACCACATACCGCTGTGCAAAAGAAAATTTTACGTAAAATCATTCAAATACTACAAACTTTTACTCGCGAAAAAGAAATTAACACTCCAAATGAAAACTCAATCACAGTAGCAAACAGGTAACGAAACTTTCAAAATGTTGTCGAGCCATGATCAGTTAAGATTTTGTATAAATGATAAGAAAAGAAATTGTTTTTCTTAAAGCGCAAAATGCTTTTTTTAAAGTCTAGGTGTGACCATTTTTCACCGAAATACAACCTGTCAAAAATGATTGGAAAAATGTGGATTTTTTCTTGCTCCCTTAATTTTTGTAGTAGTAGTAGAAATATTTATTTAGCACATTTGGCTACATAAAAAGAATAATTGTAAACAACTTAGAATTAGTAAATTCAAGCCATATGATGTATGATGTAAATGCTGGACAACCTATAATTGTAGATTTAACAAGTGATTTCTCAATTTTACTTGATGGAATACAGATTTGTAGCATATGTTATACTTTTTGGTCATTAAATGGAAGTCATCTTTATTTCTGGTAGTATGTAAATGATGGTCGACATTTGATGATGTTAAATTAGTTAGACTTGATGGAAATATATTATTTTTTACTTTATAAATGAATATCATTACAAGATATTTGATAAAAATTTTTACATTGAGCCATTTTAATTTCCTAAGCATTTGCCTAATTGGAGTATATTTATCTTTATTCAGTATTATTCTCACGCACTTATTTTGTAAAATTTGCAGTCTTCCAATAATGGAATTATTTGATAAATATAGAATAGTCGAACAGTACAAGAAATTTGGAAGAATGATGGTATTATAGATAATTTTTCTGCTATATGAACTCACGACATCCAGAAACTCTCGATAAATTTCCCACTTTACTACTAATCTCATTTATAACTTTTTTTTTAAAACGGAGAGGCGTTTCCGGTAGATTATACAGGGTGCGCCATCTTTTATGTCGGTAGGTAAACATGAAATAACTTTGAAAATGAAAAACTGATTTCTATATATCGGGTATTTTTAATAAATATGGTCCTTTACAATTTATTGGGACTAGGTTTTGAACACAACACCTATCGAGTGGCCACCTTTATTGGCCTGTTTTGCTGCGTTTTCCATTACTTTTTCGAGCATCTCTGGTTGTATAGCGGCGATTGTGGTACAAATGTTTGCCTTGAGTTCTTCAGTAGTTTGGGGCTTGCTGGCGTACACTTGACTTTTTAAATAACCTCACAAGAAGAAGTAAGGTGGGGTAAATCTGAAGACCTGGGTGGCCAGTCAATGTTCCCTCTTTTTGACATCAGACGTCCAGGGAATTTTCGTGGCAGAAACTGGATTGTTTCATTTGCAGCGTGGCATGGCGCACCGTCTTGTTGAAACCAGTAACCATCAAGATCTTTTTCACGCATTTGCGGGCAGACATAATGAGCCAACATCCACCGATATCGATTTCCATCGGCTGTTTCGTTTTCGTTGAAGAAAAATGGTCCAATGATGGTTTTGGCGCAAACGCCGGCCCAAACAGTCACTTTCCGGTCATGCAACGGCATTTCGTGGACCTTATGTGGATTTTCCGTCAACCACATGCGGCAATTTTGCTTATTAACGCCGCCAGAGTGCGTGAAATGGGCCTCGTCGGTCATCACAATTTGCTTTAAAAAATCTGGTTCAGCATCAACCATGCGAGCGACTGTTTGGGCGTATTCCAAGCGACGTGGACGGTCAGTTGGCAATATGTTTTGTGTTAGCTGCACCTTATAAGGAAACAAATGCAAATCATCCTTCAGAATGCGCCGCAACGTAGTTCCACTGATGCCAAAATGCTGAGCGCGGTGACGATACGACACTTTTGGGTTCTGGGCAACGCTGTCTTTGACCACTTCAACCAATTCATTGGAACTTCTTGGTCGTTAATGAACGGTATGTTGACGATCTCCCACTGTCCCGTACTCAAGAAAATTCGAAACCAAACGACAGATAGTGTTGCCACGATATTTTCGACGTTGCGTTAACACAACTGTAGACGATTTTCAATGTACATTGTGACTATTTCGGCGCGATGTTTCGGTGTAAAGCGATTCATGACTAAAATTGTAGTGAATTGACGTTTCAGAACCACGTATAACCAAATGACTCGGTTGGTAAATATCAAAGTCATTCGATGTTTCAATACCGACATAAAAGACGGCGCACCCGGTATATTTACGCTTAGTCTTCACGGCTACCTGAGTATAAAAAATGACTCACGCGATGGTGGCCTGACGACTGGTTCTCCCAACTGCTCCTGAATAGCCGAGTTGATCAGATCATCATATTCGTTAAACTTGTAACTCCTCGCCTGCCGTCGTTGCCTCAACTGATACACCGGTTCGTCGCTGTCAGTTTCCGATTCGCCGTCCTCGTCTTCCTCGTCCGCCGTTTCGCTGCTCCCGGATTCCGACGAGCCCCGTTTCTTTTTCTTTTTTTCCGTCTTCTCTTGCTCTTTGCTGGGCGGCAACACGTTGTTCAGGCTGATGCCGACGTAGGCTAGACGCTCCTTGCGACGGTCCTCCAGGTTCTTTTTCACTATGTTCTTGTCGTAGTCTTTTAATTTGAGTTGCAGGTTTTCGATCAGTTTTATCTGAAACACAACGCCGACCGATTTCATGACAATAGATTTCGGCGTAATCCGAAAACAAAAAAATAACAAAGTTAACAAACCACCATCTATTATACTAAGTGACATATAAATCCGAACACCCAGTTTAAATGGTTTTATTTTAATAAAAATTTGTGAATGTATTTATCTTACTGTAAATAACAAGTGAAAAAATTTTCAGCCTTATCAGTTGGACATTCCGGTTTTTATACTGCTTTTTTTTAATTCACTAACGCTCTAAAAATGAATATTTCAGCCGCAGTAAAGAATCAACGTTGGCGGATTTTGGTTCTTGACATCCTTTACGATCGGTTACGATGCCTAGAGTACGGAGACCTGTACGATTTCGTCAACTTAGTGAGTTTGATAGGGGCCGTATAGTGGGACTTCGGGAAGCTGGACTTTCTTTTCGGGCAATTGCAGTTAGAGTGCAAAGAAGTGTAGACACTGTGGTTGGGTGTTGTCAGGCATGGCTTCGAGAAGGCCGTACGCAAAGAACAAGGGGCACTGGACGCCGCCGTAGAACAACAGACCGTGAAGATCGCCGCCTAAGATTATTGGCCTTAAGGGACCGTTTCTCCACTACCAGGTCCATTGCAAATGAATGGTTTGCAGAACACGGAAGACCTATTGGCATGCGAAGTGTTTACCGACGAATGAGAAGTTTTGGCTTGTTTTCATACCGGCCACACTGGGTCCTCCCTTTAACTCGAGAACACCGACGTAATCGCCTTGAGTGGTGCAGACAACGGTCACTCTGGGATCAGGAATGGAACAGTATTGTCTTTAGTGACGAGTCTCGATTTTGTTTAGGCATGCACGATGGTCGTGCCAGGGTTAGAAGGCGACGTGGTGAAAGGAGGAATCCACAGTTTTTTGTTGAAAGACATGTTCAGCACACTGTTGGAGTTATGGTTATTGGTGCTATAGCTTATGGTTCCAGGTCACCTTTAATCTTCATCAGAGGTAACATGAACGCGCAGCGTTATATCCACGAAGTTCTAGAACCCCATCTTTTACCCTATCTTGACACCCTGGCAGATCCAACTTTCCAACAAGATAATGCCCGACCACATGTTTCAAGAGTCACAATAGACTTCTTTCAACATAATGATGTCACATTGTTACCATGGCCACCAAGATCTCCCGACTTATCCCCAATTGAGCACGTGTGGGATATGATGGGTAGGAGATTTCTCAATTTGCAACGTCCTCCTCAGACTCTAGAAGCACTTCGAGAGGAGTTGGTGGTTGCCTGGAATGAGATACCACAGGAGGACATTGACCACCTGATCAGAAGCATGCCTAGGCGCGTTGGAGAATGCGTAGCACATCAGGGTGCATCCACACATTATTAAAGGTCAAAGGGCTTCAAAGCAGTGCAACCATTTTGAAATTTTTATCATTTACTTATTATGCTTCATTAAGTACTTATACAAAATTTTATTAAAATAAAACCATTTAAACTGGGTGTTCGGATTTATATGTCACTGAGTATATTTGCTGTGAAATTAAGGATTATAACGATTGTGAAAATCTCCAACGAGACCTTGGAGGTTCAAGGGATTTGTGTGATGGTACAATGTTTGACATATTGAAGTTTGTGACAGTTTAACAAAACACTTTTTTATATAAAAGGCATTTTTACTATGAAGCTTTGTACATTTATTGTATGGACCAGTAAGTTCAAGTTAATTTGTTGGATTATAATAATAATAATAATAATAAATGTCTTTATTAATCAGCATACATCAGTGTGGCGAAGTTTAGCCAAATGGCTACTCTTACACTTAACCTCACTGTGTACGAAAGAGTAACACAGTTAAACTCGATACACAAACAAACAATAGTAATAATAAGAAAAAGAAACAAATGCACACTTGAACTATTAATATAATAATAATAATAAAGTGTCATAAAAATAAAACAAACCAACAACTCAAACACTGAGAGACGATTACATCTCCAATAGCTGTTTTCCAACTGATTTCTTAAAAGAGAGTAAACATTCTTGTTTGTTAGCCGCACTGACTGAATTGTAAAGCTCAACAGCATTATACGTGAAAGATCTCTGATATAATGAGGTGTAGTGAAGAGGAATATTGAACTGTTCATCATGACGTAACCTTCTTGAAATTAAATTCCTACGCGGAACTAACTTATTTGCAAGGTAAATAGGTCTCTTGGTAACGACTGTTTTATGTACAAAAACCAACATATGAAACTTGAAAAGATTATTGAGCTTCAGCCACCCCAGCTCACAGATCTTGGATGTAACATGGCTATACCTACGAAGGCCGAAAACAAAACGACAACAACAATTTTGAATTTTCTGCAATCTGGTTTTTGTTATGGAGTCAAGACAAGGATAAAACAGTATAAAACAGTAAAGCAGCTTAGACATAACTAAACTTTCCACCAATTTCTTTCTAGTCTTGAAATTGAGAATAGAACGATTGGAGTATGCATATGTAGCTTTAGATATATTACTGACGTGGTGATGAAATCTAAGATTTACGTCTAAAGTAACACCTAGACTTTTTGCATGCGTGACGAGTGGAATATGGTCATTATTTACCCTCAAATCAATCATCCTTTCAAAATGCTCATAGCTGGTTTTGGGATAGAACAACACCGCAAAACTCTTGGTAGGATTGAGCTTCAAACAGTTAGCCTTGCAATAGTCAGTTATATTTACCAGATCTAAATTTATTTTATACGAAGCTTGATCCACATTAGTAGAGTCAAAAGTGAAGGTCAATTGTGTATCGTCTGCGTAAGTATGAATACTACAAAACTGTAATACAGTATGCAAGTCAAAAGTATAAACTAAATATAGTAAAGAACCAAGCACGGAACCCTGAGGAACACCAGAAGCAACATCGGCACTAAGAGAAACTTATCGGATCAACTTACGTGTTCACAAGGTGGACAGAACCAGTCACCTTCAGGAATAGAAAGTAATGGTGGTCGCAAGCAGGAGCAATGCCAACCGTTTTCACATTTATCACAGAGCAGTATCCATTCTGGGTGATCAGATTTGCCGCATTTTTGGCAAGGGAAATCTTCTTCGTCTTCTTCCTCAGCAGAATCTGCGAATACATAATTTTAACAGCTGACTGACAAATCCATCCGAGATGCGCTGAATAATTTTGGAATAAAGTGACATACCATCTTTCCTCTTTGCCGTCCTCGCCCTCTTAGGAACCTGATATGCTTCGCCGCTCTCCAAATCGCTTTCTGGCGAAAACTCATGATCCGACTTTGCGTTAAACTCCAACTTTTCCTCAACTTCTTCCTCCTCCTCCTCTTCCACAGCCTCTTCTTCCTCTTCGCTCGACTCGCTGCTCGACTGCCATGGTCTGCTTTGATCAAACAGCTTGCTCGGTGCGACCGATTTCTTTTTCCTCCTTCTACCGCTGGGTTCCGGCTCCGGTTCTGGGGTGGCTGGTTTTCTACCGTGTTTCTTTTTCTCGGGCACGGCAGCCTGAAATTCCCAGAAATAAGTATTGATATACTAATGACACATAAAATGCAACATTATTGAATTTTGATAAAAACTAGTAAACATATTTGCTATCATGTATCGAATATACGCTGATAAAATATTGAAGGCATTCCGGGATATACTGTTTTTGTAACGGCTTTATTTGTCATATCAGGATGCGGATATGAACTAGTTTACTTAATATCACTTGACAACAAATTTTAGTTTTTTAATTGTATCTTGTGGGAAAAGTGCACTTCTTTGTTAATTTTGGGGCGCTGAATCCAAAAATGACAATGAAATAAAAAAATTAGTTGCGGTTTAGAAAAAAAACTTTTTATTTTTAAGGATATATTAAAAAAAGTAACAAGATTCATATACTTATAAGAATCACTATATGCGCTGTCTTTTTGCTGTTCTTTTATGGATCGTTTCTGGAGCGTCTCTACTAAGAGTCCAACAGTAGTCTGCAAGCATGGAAGGATTCCACTCTACCCTGGTACCTTTTTCCATTGTTGAAATATCCTGATGAAAAAATTGTCAGGAAAAAAGTCCAGGTGTGAGTGTAGGAAATGTATCTTAAGAGACATATTACAGCCCATCTTTTGATACGATGACAGCATATTTTTGACAAGGGTTTTATAGTTGTCAGCTTTTCTATTTCCCAAAAAATTAGTGACCACCAGACGGAAATCATTCCAAGCAGTTTTTTCAATACCTGTTAAAGTGTTTTCAAACTGTGTATCTTTCAAAATATTTCGAATCTGTGGCCCAACAAAAATACCTTCTTTAACCTTTGCCTCACTTAGTCTTGGAAATTTCTGACGCAGGTATTGGAAAGCTGACCCATCTCTATCTAATGCCTTAACAAAGTTTTTCATTAGGCCCAACTTGATATGCAGTGGTGGTAATAAAATTTTTTTCGAATCTACTTATGGCATATGCTGTACATTTTTTTGACCTGGCTCTAGGAATTGACGAACAGGCCAGTTTTGTCTGGTGTAATGAAGTGCCTTTGCCCGACTGTCCCATTCACACAAAAAACAGCAAAACTTTGTGTAGCCTAGCTGCAGCCCAAGTAAAAGTGCAACAACTTTCAAATCGCCACAAATATGCCATTGGTGCTCATCGTATTTTATGCATGTCAATAGGTACTTCATATTGTCATATGATTCTTTCATGTGAACTGCATACCCTACAGGAAGAGATGGTAAAATATTTCCAATATGCAATAACACTGCCTTTAAACTCAATGTTGAACTGTCTATAAACAATCTCCATTCTTCTGGGTTATAGTTTATATTTAAAGCCGCCAGTAAGCCGTTAATGTTACTGCAGAAAACCAAGTTATTCTCCATATTGAAAAATGGTTCTAAGTCTTTGTGGCGTTTACGAAAAACACATACCGAAACATCGTCTTCTAACAAGTTCCACTGCTGCAGTCTTGATCCAAGTAACTCTGTCTTACATTTTGGAAGTTCTAAATCTCTTACAAGATCATTTAATTCTGACTGTGTTATTTTGTGCGGTTGGTGGCATGACGTGCTCGGTATAAAATCAGGATCTCTTGACGTTGATGGCAAATCTTCTTCCTGACGAATCACTCGATCGCCATGATCTGATTCGCAAGTATAGGATTCTGGGGGTTTTGGAATAGGATTTTCGTCACTGTGAGGCACAGGTCTCATCGCAGATGGTATGTTTGGGTAGTTAATAACCGATTTTTTTTTCTTGGACATACTTGTGGCTTGTCCAACACAAGGTACCATGCAAAAGTAACAATCATTAATATGATTTGTAGGCTCTCTCCAAACCATTGGGACAGCGAAGCGCATAGACCGTTTTTTGCCATTTAACCAGCTCCTCAGACTTGAAGCACATGTATTACAGCAGATGTGGGGTGCCCACTGTTTGTCTTGATCACCTAGTTTACAACCGAAATAAAGCTGATATGCCTTTGTTATTAGTGGAGTAATAGACCGTCTCTGAGACGCAAAAGTCACATCACCACACACGTAACAAAACTGATCTGGATTGTTTACACACTTTCGAGGCATCTTGCATGAACGCTGTCAGCCAACTGAGGAAAAAATGGCTAATATAAAACAATATAATGTACACGTATGTATAACGTAACACAATCATGCCGATTACATCATCTTTCCATGCCGAATATAAAAATGTAGCACGTGCATTCTTGTGAATTACAGTATATTAACACTGTCACAGCAGGAACACATATAATTACCGTATCTCTAAAACTTGAACTAATATTGAAAAAATAAGTTTCATTCCGGTTTTAGCACATTAAAAATAGTAATATTTTGTTGATTTTATTTAGGATATTTTTTGGTCAGTGCAATAAGGCTGAGAATAAATAGGTAAAATGACAGGAAGAACAGTGATAAGACCACTAAGATAAGCGTTTTGTGCATTAGTGTTTCCTAGTTCATTAAATTCACGAAGAAGTCTACAGTGCTCAGGTTCAGAATCAGTAGTAAAACAGCGAAAACGTTCACAAAAACAATCAGATCCAAGTTCGTGGGTAGTGGCGCGCAAGGTTTTCATTACGTCTGTTTGTCTTCCTGTTTTTTGCGTTTTTTCGTTTCTCTGTTTGATGGGCCTGGTTCATTTTCACTTGAAACTGAATAGTCACTATTCATTATACACAAAACCAGTATTATAAACTAAATTAGCGAATATAGTCAATATTCAAAATATCAGCGTATACAACACACGTGGACTCTAATAGTAAACTAATGGCTGATCCAATAACGAAGCGCCCAAGCGGTGCGGCCGATGCAACGCCGCCTTTCCATATGGACTGAAGCCGTTTTTCCATGCACGCACAGGGACTCATGCAATTCTTCCCCGGCACAGGGAATCTTATAGCTGTTATTTTGTGAACCTAAGCCCTCTTTACAATTTAAGAAGCTGATTACAAGCTGGCATCAGGAAAATGCCACCAAAATACGAGTAAACTGAAAGCTCAATTCAGCCAAATAATGGACCAATGCCGTTTTTCCCCGGTACCCTTCAAATGTCTATACAGGGTGTTTCAGTTTATTGTTGCATAACTTTAAGATTTGATAGAACTTTTAAAATTAATGCATAAAGTCTATATAAACATGGGTCGAAAAATGCGTAGCTTCCGAAATACAGGGTGTTTAAATTTACTTTCTAAAATAGTTTTTTTTAAATATTTCGAACAATATTTGATGTATAACAGTGAAAATTGGTATACAAGCGTTTTTTGGTACGACAAAACGAACCATGGGCATAGTTTTACTGTAGCCGCTAGAGGGCGCTCTCTACTGTACCTGTAGTGTATTAAAATGACCGAAAAAATTTTCTTAGTGCAATTTTTTGCTTTTTGAATAAAACAGCTGATTCTTCGCACTTTTCAACATAAAAAAGCTCTCTTGTGAATTTTCGTTATAGTTAGCCGTTTTTGAGATATTTCGATTTTTAAGGTTCGATGCATTTTTAATTACGTAGTCATGCCATAAGTTCTGTCCCTCGTTTTCAAACAAGTGTAGACCTGTTAATACTTGTCCGATTGTTTACATTGTGGTGTCAGTTGATTAAGCGCTTTTCGGGTAATTACATATACCTCAGTTTGTATTGATCTCTCGAAGCATAACGATGGAGTGGGGCAAGGCAGAGAACCGTATTGCAGTGATAGCTTTACATAAGTGTAATCACAGTGCTAGTCAGATTTTTGAACTCTTACGCGGCCTTCAAATATCGCGTAAATTTGTGTCTAGGACTATTCAGCGGTACAATGAGACGTCCTCTGTTGATGACAGGCCAAGAAGCGGAAGACCTCGTCAAGTAAGGACTCCAGCAGCCATCAAAGCCGTAAAAGCCAGGATTCAAAGGAATCCACTCCGGAAGCAGAAGATCCTATCCAGGGAAATGAAGATTCCTGTCCGGACGATGTCGCGCATCATTAAACAAGACCTAGGGCTAGGGGCTTACCGGAGACGTACGGGCCAGCGACTTACGGCCACCTTGCGACACATCAGGGCGACAAGATCCAAGAAGCTCTTGGAGAGGTACGCAGCTGGGGGATTCCGAAAGATTTTGTTCACGGATGAGAAAATCTTCACCATAGAAGAAAAATTCAACCGACAAAATGACAAAGTGTATGCAAGGAGTTCACAGGAAGCTTCGGAGATCATTCCGAGAGTTGAGAGAGGCCACCACCCTGCGTCAGTCATGGTTTGGTGGGGGGTGTCCTACGAAGGGGTCACTCAGCTCCATTTCTGTAAACAGGGCGTGAAAACAAAAGCGGCAAACTATCAGAGCGACATACTGGATCCTATCGTCAAGCCTTTAAGTGGTACATTGTTTGCCAACCAACACTGGGTCTACCAGCAGGATTCCGCCCCCGCTCACAAGGCTAAGAGTACGCAGCGCTGGCTGGAAAGCAATGTGCCAGAGTTCATTGCTGCGGAAGATTGGCCCTCAGGGAGTCCGGACCTCAATCCTTTAGACTACAAGTTGTGGGACCTGCTAGAGCAGTTGGCCTGCTCCAAAGCCCACCGTAATATCGAGTCCCTGAAAGCGGATTTGATCCGATCAGCGGCAGCTATTCCTTTGGAAGCTGTGCGTGCAGTGATAGATGAGTGGCCCGCGAGATTGAAGCAGTGTGTGAAGGCCAAGGGGGGACATTTTGAATAAAACTGTTTGATTATGAATTCTAAAAATGTTGTCGAATAAATAATATCTTTCATATAAATATATCTAATCTTGTTTCATTTTTATCATGAGATTATCATGGGACAGAACTTATGGCACGACTACGTATTCATGATAAAATAACGTTAAAAAGTCAGTATCTCGATAATTTTTAGAAGTAGGCTGTGCCTGCAAATATTTTTGAAATTGAAAGCAGATTAAGGTTAAACGTCAATTAGTTGACAGTTAGTTTTGTTGTCTGTTGAAACCTGAAACGTTTTTTTGCAATTGTGAATGAACGAAATTTAGTTTCTTTT